TCAATACCAAAGGAAATAACACTCACATGTCAGATCACTGGGTAAACGCTAAACATTTTTAGTGCAGTACTTTCCTAATAAATGCTCCCAAAACGTTATATCACACATTTTGATACATGCCTATCAAGACAACATAAACAATTGTTATCGAAGGTAAGGGTTACTATCGTTATTACATAATATGAATGCCATAACATGCCTAAGCCCTAAAGACTAACAAAATAAACGGCAGAAAAGCTTTGATACGAAACTTTCTTGGCTATCATTTGAACAAAGCTTTCTCCGGATAATCAGCTTCCAGTCGAGATGATGACTTGTGTCACTCACAATTACCTCACTAATAGTGAAATCTGAGTCAAAACTGTGAAATTTCAGTCAAGAAAATGGCAGAAAAGCTTCTGTTTATAAGTTGTTCAAAATGTCCCCATCTTTTCTAGTGATTTTCCGTTTATCAAGGGGACGGCAGAAAAGCTGCTCTTAAAAAATCTTCCAAAATCTCTTTTTATATTCTGATGATTTTCCATTTATCAAAGCTTTCTTTAGCTTTCTTTAGGGATAGATCTTTGAGTACCTCAATCGTGTCTTGTGCCATCCTCAGTGACCTTGCAAGAAGATCATTCAAGAATAATTCAGTCAAAAAAGTGAAATTTAGGTCGTGGGAAGCTGAAATTTGAAAATGTCCTGCCAGTAGGAGATATTCAAAATGTTCATTGCATCAAAGTTATGTCTGGATATACTGCTTCCAGTGCCTTGATGGCGACTTGTGTCACTATCACTGACCTTACTGATTGGTCACTGGTCAAAATTTCAGTCAAATTTGCAAAATTACGGTCAAGGGGACAGCATAAAAAAAAGAAGAAAGAAAAGGGGGGACCCCCAACCCATGTAGCTGAGACACCTCACAGCAAGTAGAACAAAGTGGCTCTTGCTTGTGAACAGCAGAGGCGGCTATTGTGGGCGTCCAGGCGTCCGTGGACGCCCTAAAATTATTATCTGGTGGCTGGTGCTTGAAAATAGAAATAGTGATTAGTAATCGTATTCGGAAATATCTAACCGCAATATAAAGCTCTCTATTTATTCAAACATTCGATTGTAAGCGCATGCATGATGTTTGTGAAATTTTGTGTTGTAGGGTGTCCAATCCTCGTTTGGACAACTTAGACGCGCAGTTTTAACACATAGTTAATTGTAAACGGTACAAAGCACATCAAGCGCATCCACTACAGGTAATCTATATGATTTGGTTGTCCAGGACACCTTGCAATCTGAACTGTTATGATACTGCGCGGCTGAGATCGTACACGTGTGTGTCCTGTTTCACTCATGTTATAAATTTTTGTTTTTGTTTATCTGCTGTCGCCTGTGACACATTACATGCATGAGGCACTGTGGCCTGTGTGTAACTGTAATGTACGTTGGAATAATTTAATTAATTAATTAACTCTCTGCTATGGTAATGGTATTGTATGCAGTCATCAGTGAATAGACATTAGACATCGGCAGTTTAGGGGGGGGGGGGGGGGGAGCTTGGGGCGGCCCCCAAGCCCCCTCCCCCAGTCGGTCGGACAAAACTGCCAGCCAGCTCCCACGAGCTGCCTCTGGTGAACAGTGCATCAAGTACCTGCCGAAGCGGTGGGTTAGGAGTCGCCCCTGGGATCATTTCGTCCGTTGAATTGTATACAATATAAAATAGTACAGTAGAATATCTACAAAATTTACATATAAACAAATCTAGGAGACCTCAAAGCTCAAAGGATAGGATGAGGTTGATAGGATAAGGTTGATAGGATGAGGTTGATAGGATGAGATTGACGGAAATGTCTTGCAGTTCAATATGCTGGGCCTTTAATCTCCCTCTGATTCCCCTCAGTGCAATGAGCGTAATTCTTAACAGATCAAATCTGAATCGTGTTCTGATATGATATTTTACCTGACTGGCTCTTGGCTTCTTTTTTGTGGTCAGCTATCATCTCAGAGACACGATCTACAAACACAGTGCTGAGCGGTCTCATATCTCCGGAGGTTGTGAAGACTAGAGGGACAAAGGATCCTTTCTCTGACTGAAGTACTCTCTCTTCATACAAATCTTTCTTTTCTCATGATCTCTATAGATCTTATCAAGCGGCTTAAACGCATTTGTGTTGCAGTTAGGATGTGTGACCCTGATGTCAAAGAATGTTTTTTCAAAGGGTGCATACAGTCCGACAGCTGCAACATCAAAACGGGCTTCATCCGGGTGTTGGTCTTCCTTAAGAATGAGCTTGGTTGGACTGTCAGGGGTGCTGGTTCTATCCTTACGTCTTAACACTTTGCTTCTCAGAGGAATAAAGCAGCTGTGTCTCTTATGGCATTGTGGTGCATGGAAATGTATCCACCTAGTTTACAATAATATAAAGGGCATGGTAGACACTGTTTACATTTCTGCAAGCACCTTTACATTTCCCTAAAAATTATTCTGCTTCTGAAATTTTGGCTCTAGTAAGAGAACAACAATTTCAAGTAATTAATAAATGTGACATGTAATTGTAAGATTACAATTGAATAGACCCAGCGCGCGGCGCTTACAGCCGCACCTAAGGATTTCTCAACAATGTGTGGCTGTGTGCGTGTAGTAAAATCTCTAAAAAAGTGTGTATCAGAGCAAAACGCGCAGTTTTGCTAGTACTTTAGTTAAGTTTTCGAAATTGTCCCAAAGTCCAACGACAATTTGGCGTCCCCCTAAGATGCCCCCCCCCCCCCCCCCCCCCGCACAGCGGGGTCAGCGGGGCTCTTCGCTACGCCACTGGATACAGTCCAGAGAACTGTTAAAACCGCTGTAGAAAATACTGTTCAAGCTGAAATTAAGTCTTACAGTGCTACTGTGTCAAAACATTCCCACAGTGCTGCCTCCACTTTCACTGCAGAGAACTTTAAGAAAGTAGTTCAGAATCTGGTAGCTGAAGAGGATCGCAGCAGAAATGTGTTGATTTTTGGTCTCAAGGAGGATGCAGGAGAGAAACTTGGCGATAAAATTTGCGATGTGTTTGAACAAATGGCAGAGAAGCCACGCTTTGAAGCTGCTCGAATTGGGAATAAAGCTGTAAAGCTGCTGAAAAACATAGAGCTGTCAAAGCATCATTTGGAAGCTCTAGCACCGTTCATCAGATACTGATCAAAGCTAAAGAACTCAGACTGTCTCAGTGTTTCAAAACTGTCTTTGTTTCACCGGATCGGTCGCCGGAGGAGCGTGCAGTACATAGACAGTTGGTTCTAGATTTGAAGAAGAAGGTTCACGGAAAATCCTAATAAACGTTATTTTATCAGGACTGGTAAAATTTGTAAGATCAGAGATAGATGAGTAAGATATAATAGTTTATTTCTTATTTGATAAAATAGATATTATATATATTTTTGGCCATTTTATATGAACTCTTACACTTTACATTTACTGGGAAAATACATGCATTCTGGAGTTTAAATTATCATTTTTGTCACCACGCCAGCCGCATTTGAAGTCGGCAATTTTTATTTTTAATAATATTGGTTGTTGATAAGCGGGACATAAATGCTTATTATTTCATTTTATTTCATTTCATATGAATATAACATTATATTACTGGGCCGCGCTCAGCCTGTCATTCCGCCAAATCTATATGTTAATGAACATAATAGCCTGGGGTCCTCAGGTAAAACATTATATTGATTGTTTTGTGGTAGACAAAAATTTTTTAAATAAATTTGTTTTTCTTTAGATTAACAATTAAATAATATATATATATATATAAGGCACTAATTGGATCTTCCAACCATGCCGTAGGCGTATGCTGTTTTGGAACTCCTGCATGTTTAAAACATAGTTAAGGTCCTTCAGCGGTAGTATAGTGTCGAGAGCCAATTTTTTGAGGCTTCTTTCTCTTTTGCTTGCAGTCTAGGTGGTTCTCACTCAGAAAAGCTGCTCTTCAAAATCTTCCAAAATCTCTTTATCATATTTTGATGATTTTCCGTTAATATCGTTAAGCTTTTTTTAAAAATTGACGGATGTTACTCGTCTAAATTTCTTCGAAGTAGCGCGCGCCGCTTTCTTCTCGAAATGGCCCGACGGCAAGTGCTACGAAGTAGCGCGCGCCGGGCCAGATCATTAACAATGGTCAATTTTAAAATAGAACTGCAGTGAGACGTGAGTACCTCAATCGTGTTTTGTGCTTGTAGCGCGATGCACTACTATACCACGGGCTGCGTTGCGCATTTGGCATTAACAATTAAATAATGCTTCTCGCAATCATGTAGTAGATCGGCAAAATCCACCACTGGGCCATGCAAAGGATTGACATTGACGAATGTTATTCGTCTAAATTTCTTCGAAGTAGCCCGATGGCAAATGCTACGAAGTAGCGCGCGCCGGCCAGACCATTAACAATGGTCAAGATTGACATCGTAAATTAATTCTTAACAGGTGCTTAAGGTGATACTCGTAAAATATTTGTTACATTATAATTAGCGGACTGTCCGCTACGAGTCCAACTCGGCGCGTGTCTTGGTAGGTTATAAACGTACAAATCAATTTTGTGTCATCATCATTCCTCAGTGTCTTTATTAGCAATTAGACATGTGACATGGACATGGTCATTCAAAAATGTAATCAAAACAGTAAAATTTAGGTCGCGGAAAGCTAAAACTTGAAACGCTTTTTCATTTTACTAAATGAATGCGACAATGCAATTAATGAATTTTATTAAGTGAATGACAATAAATGGTAGTGATACAGCTTTGTATCACGTGGTGACCCCCACGGTCGCTTCACTTCGACGCTACAGGGGGAGCCGCGCACTTCGTGCGCGGCGGGTCATACAACGTATGACAAATACAGCTAGATAAGTGATATCAGATATACACCTTTTAATTTTATAATTCGCCGATTTGGTTCCCTCGACGAACGCACATAATTTAATACATAATAGAGTTCTGACAGTGTCCTGATTGCATACAATAACAAATAAAAACCAGTTTTACTTTCATCTTTGCACTTTGATGTTTGATAGAAATTGGATATATGACAACTAAATTAATAATAGCCGCTATCTCAGATATCTCAGACTCTTTACCAAAATTCAAGCATTGTTTAAAAAGTAAATGAGTTTGAGACAACAATCATGTGCACTTTAATAAATTTGGCGAATTTACACATATTTTGGGGAGAGAAAAAGTTATCTTAACACTTAAGTAATCTTCATAATCTTGAGGCCGTTTCAAACCGTAAAAACATGATGAACTGCTCCCTCATCACAATATCTACCAACATTCTTTTGGTGTTTAACGTAATCAGTATCACACAACAAAACTGAAAAATCTTTTACAAACATAAAATACTTATAATAACAATCAAAATAAGACAACAATTTGATTATTTTCTTTGTGACATGATATTAAAGAAACTATGCCATATAGTAGAAACAATTGAGAACTAATTTATTCAGAAAGCGGCTTTCAGCACAATTTGTTTTATTCCCATAGTCGTAAACACACGTGGTATACACACGTGGTATTTAAGACACGTGATAAAGACGTGGTAAATACAAGCGGTTAAGACACGTAACATTTATAGAGTTCAAGGGTTGAGTTCTTTGTTGCATGGACCACACACTCTCAGTTCTTTCTTACTGGAAGGAGTAGAGCTGCGGAATCTCGAGCAGTGGTCACAGTAAATACCTAGTGGAAAATATGTTATGATTCGAGCAATGGTCACAGTAAATACCTAGCGAAAAATATGTTATGATTCGAGCAGTGATCACAGTAAATACCAAGTGGAAAATACGTTATGATTCGAGCAGTGGTCACAGTAAATACCTAGCGAAAAATATGTTATGATTCGAGCAGTGGTCACAGTCAATACCTAGTGGAAAATATGTTTTACTTATGATTCGAGCAGTTATCACAGTTCAAATACCTAGTGGAAAATATGTTATGATTCGAGCAGTTATCACAGTAAATACCTAGTGGAAAATATGTTATGATTCGAGCAGTGGTCACAGTAAATACCTAGCGAAAAATATGTTATGATTCGAGCAGTGATCACAGTAAATACCAAGTGGAAAATATGTTATGATTCGAGCAGTGGTCACAGTAAATACCTAGTGGAAAATATGTTATGATTCGAGCAGTTATCACAGTTAAAATATCTAGTGGAATAATAACTGAACTGCCATTTTGTACTCACCGTCTACAATACTCACAAAAAGTACACTAATAACTGTAATGTAATTCTTGTACTCACAAAAAGTACAATAATAACTGGAATAAAATAGTGTTACTCACCTCCACAGTTCCTACAGTGATGTTTACGTAATGACACCCCGAACTCTTTGTAGCACGACTTGCAGCTAGTTACCTCCTCGTCGTTCTCCCACCTGGTAGAAAAATGTATTAAACAAATAATTAACTTTTAAAAATATTATTATTGCGCTGTTAATTCATAATTTTCGTATCATTTACGGATTTACCGGGTTGTACAAAAATGTCCGCGATTTGTTCTATAATACCAATAACATGAGTAAAGTATAGAATTTTGATTACGATTAAATGATTTGTGCTTTTGTGTTACTTTATCTGTTCAGAATTAGATGACAATTTATGATTTTAACTTCATTAACTACAAATGGCCGAGATTGATGTGCCAGTTTTAAAATTTATTACTTTTATTTTCATTTCTATCGCTGATCAGTGATCGTTACGGTAAACTTCATTCTCCATAAAAATAAAGAGGAAAAAAAATGACGTATTCAGTTTTGGAATACGATAAAGCTGTTGTAAAAGGGATTTACATTAATTTTTATGTTTCGTTTTGTTTTACTTGTCCAGTCGATATAATAGGCCGGGAAGAACTTGCAAAATTAATAATCGATTGCCTAATCACCATAATATCACTGATGTTGAGCTAATGAATGTGACTCCAAACTAAATCAAACCAAAAACAAAACTTGATGATCAGTAGTAATCTACTGATCAGTAGTATATATATATATAAATCAAGAGGCTTGCATATAATGAACATATTGACACATATATATCAGTAGTATCTTACTTTCTATTTTGCTTCCTGGCTTGAGTGTAGAGAAGGTGGGAGTGTTCCTGAGCTATCTCGTTAAGAGTTGTCTGTGTTTTCTCCAGGTCGCTGATCAGCTTCGTATTTTCTTGTGCGATCACGTGGTTTCTTTCCTCCGACTCTAGAACGCTGCAGAATTAAATTATTCATGCCAAGGAGTTCTGGGATTTTCACGCTATTTTGTGCAATTATGGACCCTGTACAGTGTACAAACTGACGAACAGCTTCGCTCGTTTGCAAAATTTGGGCAGGAACCCAATTTGTGGTAGTAAAACTACAGATATAAACACGCAAACGTGACTAGCGCTGGTATACCCTGATACACCAGTTTTATATGTATTATCCAGAACATTATATATTTATTTTACACTGGTTTATAAGCAGTACCTCTTTTGAAGGAGCTTTCTTTCGTCCATTAGATTCTCGATTGTAACTTCAGTGATGTTAACTTTACCGTACAATCTTTCATTCTCTTTGTTCAATTCCTCGACCACTCCCTTCAATAATGTTAAGTTAAATTTTATCAAGTGGGCGTCGATAGATACCGTGTCACTGATTATGACGAACTGAAAAGGAAATTAAAAATGAACCTCACAATTTTATTTGTCATAATATTTAACATTCCCGACATTATAAACGAAACCTCAAATACGAGCTACAATTGAACCTGAGAATCTCGTAGTTTTTGTCTAAAGCTACTCAGTTCGTTATCTAGTTTCTCCATCTCAATCTCATGAGACTTGCTGGAGTGAAGGAGTTGGTCTGACAGACTGTCTATCCTGGACTCTGCCTTTTTCTAGAGGATCATGAGACCGGGATTAGTACGACCAGACTTGATAACATTATTTTAGCTCATGTAGAATGTCAACTATTCGTGGGAAGAGTTGGCTATACCGGCAGAACGATTGGATAGCAAATAAGATTTTTTAATAAAAAGCAAAAATCTCACCAATTCCTCTCGGTGAGAATCTGACAATGTTTCCATCTCTGTATTTGCCTCATTAAGTTGCTCTCTCAGCACTCCTAACTGCGCAGCCCTGGTACGTTATAGGTATGAACAACTATTCAGGTATGGGGCAACTGTGCCAAGTTATTTATGTAGAATTACGGAGTTAAAAAGCTTAAGTTCTGAGGTGGGATGGGAAGTATGTGGCCGCAAAGGGGTAAATACGTATTTATTTATTTCATATGTTTGAATCAGTGCGTTGTACGCTCATACTCATCAGTAAACATTCCAACAATTTTTGTTTTCGTGCGATTAAACTTTAACAATAAAACGTTCAGTTTCTGATCTGTCAAATTAAATTTTGCCTGATAATAATCAGTCTACTATCAAAAGAAAAATGTTGATCGACACGAAATTGGCAAATGTCCCGACCAGGAGAGACGGAGAGTGAGTTAAAATGTTCTATTGCTTCTAGAACATTCAAAGAGAAATTTGAAAACCACGTATGTAACAAAATTATTTCTCATTTTAGAGTTTTAGGCTTTTATTCAAGCAATCTTTCTCACAAGTTCCTTAATTTATTTAATTAGCCACTTAATTAATTGTAGACGTTGTTAAATTTTAATTACAAAACTAAAGGAAGGTTTAATAGAAACTAACGCGTGCTCCAAATCATCAGAAAGCTGCTGAACATCCTCGTGAAGTTTCATCTTGTGCGAAATGAGAAGAGCATTCTTACTGTTCAAATCTTCTAGCTCCTGACAGGAACATAAATAACTGTTAAATTAAGTGACCGCCTGTCAATTTATATTTCAATGATTTTTAACCGATGTTTGAGCTGTGCCTAATTAACAAATACATATACCCTGTACATTATACAGGGTGTTTTGAAGAGAGTGTAAACTTTTTTTCACTCTCGTGATTTTTGACAAAATTAAAGTTCACGGTTCTTTTATCTGAATTTCATCAAAAATGTGATATATAATGAAATATATAGTACTCTATATATACGACAGAATATAATATATTATAGTACTCCGATAATCTGATGATATTACCTTGGAATGCATCTCAGAACCCTCCTTAAGAGCATGCTCCGTCTCATTTAGTTCCTGTTCAAGACGGATTTTCATTTTTGTAAGCTCGGTGTTGGCATTTTCAGCTGATGAAGCTTTATTACTGGCTTCTTGTAGGTGACTCTCCAGCATTTTAACCTGTCAATATTAATCCTTTTATGATTTAAAACAATAAACAAAAAATCCAGGATTTATCGGAAGGGAAATGATTTGACTTGTTCTATTTTGGAACCTGAATTGAAGTAAATTACCTTTCCTCCAAGCAGATCATTGCTGTCCTGAAGTTGTGTCCTAGTTGCTTTTAGCATAGCCTCTGTGTTCATTGCGTTCTCCTTCTCCCTCTCCAAGTTGTACTCTAGATGTAGGAGCTTTTCAGAGTTACTCTCGACACTTTCTTGATATTCGGCCAATTCCCCTTCAAGTTCGGATATTTTAGTTTTCTGGGCTTCAGTTTCAGTTTCAAGCTCCTGAAATTTAAAACTGGTCTAGTGAGTTATTCAATCGATAAACAAACCTTAAAAGCATTTATAACTCATTTAGATATTTAAAATCAAGCTAAGTCGTAGTTAACTGTATCTTACTTAAAAACAGTATATATTCAACCTGTATTTTAGAATGGGATTTGTTGATTCTGCTCTCATAATTCAAGCACATTGTACAAGGTTTGGCGATGTCAGCCTCCAGTTTTTGTACTTTTTTGTTCAATGCAAGAAGCATCTCATCCTTTTTCTCAATTCGAGTGTTCAAATCTCGGACACAACTGCTGGAAACCTCAAGTTGTTCCTCGACCGATTTAATGCTTTCTTCGAGTGTAGACTTTTCAGAGGTTACGACCTCAAGACTATTCTTAACCAAAGAATATTCGTCAAACTGAGATTTGAGAAGAACCTCCTTTTCAGAAGCACTCAGACTCAACTCTTCAATATTTGTTTCCATTTGACCCTCTTTAGCTAAAAGAGATGCCTTTTCTTCCTTAAGTTTCTCATTGCTGAGAGAAATTTCAGAAAAATCATTTCTTAAACTAGTCAGCTTAGAGTCGAGTTGATAAGTTTCATTACACTGTTTCTTGTATCGTTCAGTGGTCTCTTGCTCAGTTTCCTCAACTAATTTCTCTAGCTCAGCAACCTTCCCTTTCAACTGATTGATTGTTTGGTCCTGTTCATTTGCTTCATCAGATAGACGGTCTCGCTCTTCAGCCAAATTCTCACTTGTTTGTTGAAGTTCAGCGTTTCTCTTTTCTAAAGACGACAAATTATTGTCCCTATCTTCCAAAGTTTTGCTCAGTCCAACAATTTTACCGGATTGTTCTTGGGTCATCACGTTTTTGGTAAGATTGTCAATCTCAAGTTTGCTAATCCTCTCAGACAAAAAGTTGCTGTTTTGGTGAGCTGCAACGAGCTGTGACTCCAACTGAACATACTCTTGTTTAGTGTTTGATAGTTCTGCTCGGATTGAGTTTAATTCAGTGGACAGTTCGGCGTTTCTGCTTTCTTTTTCCTGCAGAGAAGATTGGAATTCTGTAAAATTTGCTGCAAGCTGCTTCATTTCGCTGCTCTTTTCCTCGTCATCTTTACCGATCTGATTATTCATCCTGAAAGAGTTGATACCTCACGAAATGAAGGAAAGCAAAAGACTCCGTAAATAGTTTTAGAAGAATGGAAGTTGAACTTTCAAACAACAACAATTTTGTTAACAGAAACAGGCGAAGGGACGCATATACGCTCGTGACTTAACTACTGACTTGATTTCAAAAAGCAGTTTGGCGACCGCGCGCGCTGTCAATGTTTATAGTCCATACTTATTACTTACTGTGACAGAGTAGAATTGAATCCGTTCAGTCTTTCGAACAGTGAATTCTTTTCGTCTTCCTTCCTTCTTATATCATCAGTGTAACTGAAAAATTAACATAACCGCTCAATCCTTTGGATAATGTCTACACTTGAGCGTTTTCGGTTCGTATCGGCAAGAAAAATATCTTAGTTTTTAAAATCGGTCCGATAAGTCCAGAAATGAAAACATTCTGGAATGTATTACAATATCGGTACTTACGTAGAACAAAGAGATTCCAGCTCAGCTATCCTTGCAGTGAACTGCTTCATTTGTGTATCTTGTAGGGTTTGGGCTAGTTTCTCCTTGTCTACTGCGTTTTGTAACTGTGATATATCCGACGACAACCTGGATTTAATGAATCAGGATTGAGTGACGTATCATTAAAATAATACAATCAGTATTCCGTTAACATTAATTACCAGGGGACAATCAGAAAAACAGGAAACTAAGATACACGTACGTTTTGTTTTCGTTATGAGCGGTATCAAGGGCTGCCTCTTTCTGTGCAAGCTTATCCTCCATCCTGGTAATTTATACATTATTTAGTTGGTACGTGTCACTTGTGTAAATTAGTAATTAGAATGTCTGAATCATGTACTAGGTATTTCATGGTATCAATGTATGTCCTGATGTTTAGTACATTTAGAGGAACCTACTTAGTCTTATCACTGAGATGGTCGCTGATCTTCTCTTTCAGTGTATCAGTTTCCTTTTCACCAAGAGCTAGAATAGAGTCGATCTGAACTTGGCACTTTGCCAGCTGCTGTTTTAATACGTCTACATCGTCATTTGAAGTGCTGGATGGGTTTAAAAATAACTGAATATTTCGATCTAAATGCGTTTTCTAAGATTTTAAGAGGACTGCAAAAGATAATTCCTGTGGTTTAAGTAAACAAAATTATAAAGAGAAAGACGTCCAACTGCCACAGGTAGTCACGGCAGTGGAAAAATATGAAAACCTAATGTAAACGAATATGAAAACCTAATGTAAACGAATATGCTATAATTATAAAACAAAATGAAATTATAAAAACAAAATAAAAAGGAAGAAAATGTAATTACTTCATTTAATCCCAAAATCTAAGGAAACCTCCAGATAAGCAGATTACCTCTGAACAAGTCTAGTTTGTAATGTCATCTGATTCTCACATAATTCCTCGTTAGTCTTCTGCAAGTTAGCTACATGGAACTCTAGTGAACTAGATTTGCTCCTCTCCTCATCAAGCTCTGAACTTACTTGGGCCACTAAAACTGCCTGAGGGGCACTTTTTTAAATTACTTGAATGCTGTGTAACAGTGTTGGCTGTTTTTGTGCATATAGAAGCTTTAAATCGCTGCCACTGGATTACAAACATTTGCCACCTCCCAACTATTATCATATCAACTCTCCTCAGCCTTCTTACCAACAAAGTTACACTTTACAGTAAGAATTGGATGATTTTAGTAATTCAATATCATCGTAATACATACATACTTGGGTATTTTAAAACACTACACTACTCAATAAAAGAATTCACCAGACATGATCACAACAGGCCACCTACCAAGTCTGCAGCTTTCTTGCTGACCACATCAAACTGAGAGTTTCCACTTCTGGAGCTAATGCTTGCTTTCAGAGCCTGCAGAGTGCGGGTATTATAGATTTAATTAGCAACTAATTAAGTCATTAAGAAGAGGTTGGTACTTGACAATAGATTTAAAACCAATATATTTAATAATTATTTAAATACATAATCTGTACCTCGTTTTCTTCCTCTACTCGTTTTAACTCTTTCTGAAGTTCAGCTGAGTACCAACTCTCTTCCTGACATGTAGTTTACATACATTCACACGAACATCGATCAAGATTGAAACGAGCAAATCAGTCTTATTTCAAATACCTTTTTCATTGAATTTACAGCCCTTTAAACAGCCATTTAAAATTGTCAGCATTAGCATGAGATCACTAATCAACAAATCAAAGCAATCGAATGGAAACTAATTGTTTACTTAACTAACCAATCAAACTTAACATTGAATTAGATAAACAAACAAGAACAACACACCTGTAGAGAGATACCCAAATCATCTATATCCTCCTTCAGTCTAGCTGAGGTTTTCTCTGATCCATTGAACTGAACGCTCGCTCCTCTGTCCTCCTCAACTGAGCCGGCTCCAAAGCTCTCCTGAGTACGCATGTGATAAAGTCATTACATGAATATTGGTAAGAAACGTTTTGCTGTTTAGAAGTTTGAACTGAAAGATAAACTCCCTGCCCAACTCACTGCTAATTGCCCTCTGAAAGCACTGTGTGGCTAGTACAGTGATATTGTTCTACCTCATTATGTAAATTACAGACCCATTGTGTCCCTAGCTATCTCATTAACAAAGCGCGGTGGGTACCTCAAAAGTCAAAACCCTCAGCGCCTCGCATGCTGCGTATAAAGAACACAAAGAGCTGCCTTCGCCCCCAAATCCTTTAATAAAACTCCTGCTCTCGCTATATTGTATTTCACTTTATTAACAACCTCCTGCTTTATACATTATGTATTTGTTCCTCGGGAGTCGGTTAGATGTCCACTTGTTCCCTTTAATGAGATAATCTCCATCAGAACAATGAGACTGCTACTTATCACTCAGGAAACCCAGAGACGCTCTCTTTACCTGGCTCACTTTACCTAGCTCACTTGGACTCTCTAGTTCTCTATTCGTTTGTCGAGGAGTTCTGGAAGCTTCCTATTCATCTAACTTCTAACGTTATTTCCTAACCACTGATCACTTGATAGCCGCACCGTTCTTATTAACCAACAATTCCAATACTCACACTATCTTATTAAATTATGTCAGTTTATTGTGATCTGCGAAGTCTCTTTTCTTTAATAGTCCTTACAATCAATACCTAGCTCCTTTTCTCGACACTTACCACTTTATAGGATACTGTTTATATATAACTGTGTTTTTATGTTTAGCTGATATACAAACAAAATCAACCTAAACCTATACTAACGAAATGGTGAATGAATATTTGAAACTTTTTTCCTATCTAGACACAATGACAAAGTCAATGTTTCGATTACTGGCACTTCTCTGTATCCCTCTACTTCACTGTGGTTAGTTTTACGTTATTCGGGAATCTGTGATGATTTTAAAATTATATCATGCGATACTAAATATTTTATTTCTAATTATTTCCTGATATTTCAGCGTCAAGACAGAGACTATCTGGTGAGACAGTACCAGTCAGTGCTGAACAGTCCCGTACTAGCGAAGATAACGAGGAAGAGTTTGCTGCTGTGAATGCAATAGACCTAGACTTTGCTACCTAGGTACTCTAGAACAGTCGCTGGTCCTGACGGTAAGATCTGGTTAGAGTTAACTCTAATTCAGGTGCAGTGTGTTGGACACGTGATAAGGTATGGCCAGGATGGCAACACTATGCTCACTTTCATCTGCTCTGATGCTGACTGTAGTACCTGTGGGGGTACATTCTGTTCCCAATTCACCCTCACAGTGTACGAAGAAGGAGTTTCGTCTGACAACCTCCCTTATATATCCGGCTGTAAATACGGAGACAGAGTGAAGTTAGAAATGAGTGATGTTAGTGATGGATCTACGGGGCTTAATGGGAGAGAGATCGCGGTTATCAGGAAAGAAGGTGATTTGCACAGATCAGTCGTTTAGGATATATTTCAATTATTATTCAACGGAGAATCCTGCCAAAAAATTTAAGTTTCTCCATGGGTTATAATAATAATAGTATGCGAAAACACTAGCGGGTCGAAACAGTGATAATGCAAAACTCACAATTTTTCTACAGATTGTGCTCCTGGGAGTTATATGGACTCTACAACAAAGCACTGTACAGAATGCCACGCCGGAACTTTCAATGATGAAACAGGACGAAACACCGAATGTTATGAGTGTCAAGCAGGAAAATACAGTGATGCTGGATCTGCAACATGTTCTGAATGTGAAGCAGGAAAATACAGTGATACTGGATCTGCAACATGTTCTGAATGTGAAGCAGGAAAATACAGTGATACTGGATCTGCAACATGTTCTGAATGTGAAGCAGGAAAATACAGTGTTGCTGGATCTGCAACATGTTCTGAATGTGAAGCAGGAAAATACAGTGTTGCTGGATCTGCAACATGTTCTGAATGTGAAGCAGGAAAATACAGTGTTGCTGGATCTGCAACATGTTCTGAATGTGAAGCAGGAAAATACAGTGCTGCTGGATCTGCAACATGTTCTGAATGTGAAGCAGGAAAATACAGTGATTCTGGAACTGCAACATGTTCTGAATGTGAAGCAGGAAAATACAGTGATGCTGGATCTGCAACATGTTCTGAATGTGAAGCAGGAAAATACAGTGATGCTGGATCTGCAACATGTTCTGAATGTGAAGCAGGAAAATTCAGTGATGCTGGATCTGCAACATGTTCTAAATGTGAAGCAGGAAAATTCAGTGATGCTGGATCTGCAACATGTTCTGAAAATTGCCTCAATCTGGATCCTCAGTTGAAGATCGAAGTGGAATTACCAGCGGAGCATGGTAAAGAAATGATCTACCGCTGTCCACGTAAACACATCAAGAAAGACAAGACCGCTGCAGTGATTTGTCAAGATGGAGATATAACTTTTCAAAGCAGACCCTCTTCTTGCTTCATTTTTGTTTGATTTAAATTTCTGTACAGAAAAAAACCCAAATTCAAAATTTAGATTACTAAACTCAGTTTAATGTCAACTTAAAGTGAACTAGGTTAGGAACAAACCATATTATGTAATAATTGTTCCTTCCGATAGGGCTCGGTTGAAACAATTATTCCATTTTGGATTTTGAAAACTTTTATATATTATTCCATTACTGCAGTGTTTATGGAATGTGTTTACTGATTTAGTACGCAACTTCAGTGTTTTTAGTAGCAGTGCCGTTATTTTCACTAATCTTCAGTTTTTAGGCAGGTTTACATTGTACGATAAATAATATCACTCATTTTTAGTGCGAAATTAGGACAATAATCCGACTCACTAGTCAAATTCGTTCTTGTGATTATTGAACTAACACCACCTCCGGTATGATATAATATTTACCTTAACACACTATTAGGTCGTCATATTACCCTGCACACTTTATCCCAAAATTATAATACATAATTAATTAATTGTAACACATAACAAAAATGTTTCATAGTTCTTACATGATAATCAGCAGGAGGGTGAGCTTTAATGTGATGGTCGCTGAGATCGTCTATAGATGAGAAGTCTCGTCTACATTCCGGACAGATAAAACCTTGTTTTTCCTCCTGAAACAAAGTGGTTTACGTGCCACACCTACATTCTGTACCAGTCGGTATGTTAGTTATTTTGAATATTATGCAGTTTTATTTTCATCCTTCCAACGAGACCGGATCTCATAATTTTCGATTATTTTTTCTGATCAGATTCGGAGAGAATAATACTCTTTCACAAACTTTACAAAACATTACAAATTACAAAAGTTGAACTCAAAACTAAAGTCACGGCAGCAGCAAATTCCTTGAACGGGACTCCGATTTCGTAAATTGTTGTAATGTTCATGATAAAATTAAGAGATCTCTCTAAAATACGTACTTAACCAAACCCTACAGCAAACCCTTCAGAAGTACCCAGAGTTCTAGTAGAAACTGGGAACTTTTCATTACATACCTGCTGGTTGGTTCGAGATCGGTTTAGGAACTTGTTAAACATGATTATATCTTCTGGTACCACCAGTCACCTCCTTTCTGAGCTCCTCTAGCATACCAGGCTACTGTTGTGGAGACGTTAATACTAAGATAAATATATAGATACCCAGTAAAATATTAGGTTACAAAGTTAGCACTGGTCGGTTTCTGGACAGCACTTTTCATAAACAGTGATTAATTGTGAGATGACATACATTTTACATTGGATCAATTCTTACATTTTTAAACCAGGTTTTATAAAATTGTTGTGATTGATTCGTTATTAAGAATACATCGTACAAGTATACAAATATGATATCATCATTATTCAAGTTTAAAATTGAATTTAAATGAGAAAAGAAATAAAAAAGTTTAAAAACCGATCAAAATAAATACCGCGGTCGATAAAATTTGATCCCTGAAAAATAAACTTGGTAGAGATCGCCAAAATAAATAATAAAAAGTTATAACTTTAAAAACAACTTGATATATGCAAGCATGACATCAACTATCCCTCACTTCTCGGTGCCAAAGTCCTCAGATCCTTGATCACATTATCATAACCCCACTTATCACACAACCTAGGAAAGAGTTTGTCCACGTAGAACTGTCTCAAAACCACCAGATTCCTCTGCCAATCAGGATCCAGCTCCACTCTGGTCACGTGGGATAGATCCTGAGTCCAGGTTATCGTGTCACAATACGATCTCCCAGAGAAATACAGCGCACCCTGAATCTTAGAGTAAACTCTGTGAGATTTCTTCAGAACAAGCTGCCCTGACTCTGATTCCTCCAGGTAGAAATTAGGGTCGTTAAGAGCTACAATCTCCCTGATATTAGACACGTTCTTGTATTTGTACAAACATCTCACATCAATAATCCCTCTACCGTCAGGTAAGAGCCCCTTAACACTTGCTCCTAAAATACCACTTGGATCTAACCACAATCCACTGGGCAACACCGTCACTGACTTCTCCCCCTCATACTTCTCGATAGCTTTAACTGTATTTACCCGGGTTAGTTTGGCTATGTTAGTGTTCACCATGTAATACTCGTCCATTATTGATTTGTAGAGGGAGGCAGCGTAAGAGTCCCTACTTACAGCTGATAACACTTTGTGAAAAGAGCTGGAAGTTAACCTGTGCTCTCTAATTGTGAACCACAGCTTAGAGTGGAAATGTTCAAACGGGGACGAGGTCAGAGCAGCCACTTTCACAATGTCATCCTGGTTCATCTCGGGTAGATCTCTTATCACAGAGGAATCATAACACCCGGGCTCTTCACTAACCACACCTTTCCTCATCCTCCTCTCCTCTCTCTTCTGCTTGGAATCCTCCATTATCTTATCAATATTAGACACCATGATAAGATACTCCTCATAAACACACTCTTCATCTGGATTACCTGTTATTCGGGGCAGGAACTGTTTGAAGTAGAAGGTAATGAGTTTGGAGAGTGACTCTTCCCAAGCAGGGTCCTTGTCTATACGCAGGATGTAGGGCTCAGACACTGGACTCCACACACAGAAGTCACAGTACTCTCTCCCTATTATGTAAAGCATTCCTTGTATCTGGGGGTAGTGGAGTGTGGTGAGGTAATATTATGGTTTGGGATACTGCATTAGAAAGCACATTTGTTATATCAGTTGCAGCTTTTTTTGTGCGTAATATGAACAAATTCGCGCCATTATTTGACTTATAATATCAATTTGACAAATTAATTGGCAGAGCTAAACTTCTATAGTTTTATAAAAGTCTCAAACCTGGTGATAATAAGGATGTTTAGGATCCAAATAAACAGTTCCATCGTCCCTTCTCTTGATATAAAAGCGAGGAACAGTCCCTATAGCGTCCTCTACCCTCATCTCTCTCAGAGTATAAGGACACTTGAACTCTACCAGCCCTATACCATCAGGGAGGAGCCCGTCTGGGGAGGCTCCCAGGATACCACTGGAGTGTAACCACAACCCACTTGACTCTACTTTTACTCCTGGGGAAATGGTTTTTGTACAAATTAACACCTTTATTTTATCATGATATAATGGAAGAAAGTTTATGATTCTTTTAAACTAAAACGTAAGTTTCATAAAATAATTCAACAACTTACTATAAAATTGTAAGTCATTCGAACACATAACACTAGCTTTGATTTGAATAACAGTGCTGAGTTACAAAAGTTACTACTTAAATGAGTAGTAATTACCTGTAAATTTTTCGTAAGCAAGCTTAGCATTATCTTCATTGTCATTACCCCACTTGATTGCAGCAACATGAGATAAATCATACTTGTTCAGCAGATTTTTAAACAGATAATCCGGATACCTCTTCCCATCAATAGCCTTGAGAACCATTCCAAACATGCTCGCAGTAATGCGTTTCTTTCTCAGCAGTTTCCAGATGTTCTCCTCCGCAGAGCTCTGCCCCTCGGTTAGTTTGGCGATGTATTCTATTGTGTCTGATGGTAGCTGCTCTAAACTTGGTAGAGTTTCACCTTTACCTTCCTCAGCTTGTACAGTCGGAGATATTGGAGATGTGGAGGACGTGGTGGTACCAGCATCGTTTGAGGGTTTGTTGATTGAAGGAATGCTAGGAATGCTAGGAGCTGTAGGAAGAGGGGACCACGCTATACCCGTAATACCATTGAACGCTGCACTGATATCTGACTCTGTGTAGCTGTAAATAGAATAAGACAATATAATGTTGCCGGTCTGCACAGTACGAAAGCAGCACAGAATGGTATGCATTAAAAGTTTTGGTCGATTAACAAAACAACATCAAGCTAATAATAAACGACGAAAGCTACAAAACAAACCTTGCCAAACCAAGACGTGAAGCAATATCTCCACATTTCAGAGATTCCACATGAAGCACCGCCGCTAAAGAGAACTTGTCCGAGTTTTCAAGCACACAGAACCGTAACTTCATGTCCTTTATAGACGGGGTTGACGAGGCTGGGCGCTTCATAATCTAGGAGTACATAACATTAACATAACATGTGTTATGTGTGTTATGTGATGTTTACATATTTCTTATATTATATGTGTTGATAAATCGTATCGCTTCACTCGGCTTTATACGTATTTGCCTTGTAAACATGGCGAATTGCCAAAAATGGGAAAAGCAGTGACAGTTGAAGCTCAGGGAAGAACTTAAAGTTATTCTTTCAACACATCAATGCAATGTATTGTATAATATATAATATATATATATATTATTATGTGTAAAGCGTATCGAGTAGGAAATAACTGAAACAGGAACTGAAGTCTGAACCACGCTTTTTCTGTCTGACCGAACTTATTTGCGGCCATAAAATGGCATGTTTTGTGAACTTAATTGAAGGTAATAAGTAAGATTGCGTGAGCATCAGCTTGGCTAAATAGTGATCGCCATTCGACTTTACGAGTATAAGTAATGATTTTGATGAATGATTTTAACGGAAGCGTAATATAATTTCAACAGAAACGAATCTAACCAAACTGAACCCTAATTTCGGTCGTTTCCTAGTATTAATTACGTAACACAAGGATACATGAACAGAGGATGAGATACCTACTGAAATTCGACCACCCAAAGATAAGGTAGCACCGGGTGAATTCTCCGAATATTTAGTTTCCTGTATTGGCATGTTTCTTAAACTCTTGATATCACTCCTGAAGGGAGATCTCTCTTGCAGACAGCGTGCTATGTCATACCTGAAAGATGTACAGTAAAACAAATATTTATTGTGGAGTTTGGGGAAAGCAGTACAGGCGTCCGCGCTAAATCGGGGTTTTAGTGTACAGTGTAACCGTACTTTCAAAAAATAAAATCATTAGAATACAGGTTGAAGCAAGTTTACCATGAGATTGCGAAATGTCATTGTTTGAGTGGAGCATTTTGTATGAGTTGCAAAAAGAGAAGAAAAATAAATTGAAAGAAACATTTTATTATGATTGCGAAATGACATTGAGACAAAAGAAGATCTTGAGACTGCTAAAGATTTTACTGTTTCATAAATACTTACGGTCTGTAAAGCATAGATTCAACTTTTTCAATCCATAGTGTACCATCGTGATCAGAGTCAGCGAAATAGTCTACTGTATTCTGGAAATAAGATTTTGTCAATACGCTAACATAAAATATGGTACTTAATTTTGGATGAAAAGCTCGAATATCGATTTGTAATGCAGATATTGAAGAGAGAAGATAGAAATGTGTGCTGATAAAGATCACTCCCCAAAAGTTCTGAACTGTTGACCTCAGACCTATATGTTCTAACAAGTAACAGTATTAAATAAATTAGCAGTTAATTAATACCTCAGTAACAGACACAGTTTGCGTTAAGATAAAGTGTAGTCTTGTACTGCTATCGTAAAGTAGCTGTTTTGATAGCCTCCCCACTCCCGACATCCCTCCAGTCAGCTCCTTCTTTTAACACTTTTGACGTAGCCTCCTTACTTGGTTGCTTAGGTAAACTGTTGTATTGCAGTAGAGTGGGTGCCCCACAAACAAACAAAAATAAAATACTTTTGTCTTCTGAAATCTGAATGCTTTCATTTATTTTTCGTTGATTTGAAAATTTTTCCTAATTTTGTTCCTAATTAACAAACATCGAAACTTTCAGTATGTCATTGAATAAATAATGTGAATTTCAAGTACACAACTGCATAAATGCATAATATTAAATATTTAAAAATAGGTCATAAAAACATTGTAATATTAAACTTATATAAGATTCATAAAAATGATTAAAATATGATTAAAATCATCGCTTAGAATGTTAGTTTCAGCGATGCGGTTACCGCAACTAATTCAAAATTCCGACTCTAAAAACTGCTGTAAGATTTTGGGCTCTACAGGAATGTAAAGAACCTCGGACCCATCAACATGACGTGTCTTTATCAATCTGTGATCTTTAAACTCAGTTAGCTGTGTTCGCAACGTAGCATCACTGTTAACCAGAAACTTCTCACGGCACTTTATGTAAAAATCTTGGAATGTTATACCCTGAAAATCGGGTCCGGATTCCTGCTGGAAAGTTGCCAAAAGTTTGAAAATACCACGTGCATTGGGAGTGAGAGAGCGCAGCACGTGCGTCATAGATGACAGAGCTATCGCGCCAGTTTGTTTTACCATCAGAGAAGTCTCAATAGAAGTCTCGTCAGAGTATTTATCAAATGTGGTACAGTCAAACCATAACCAGTTAAACAGCTTCGCTTTCTGTTCGTCCCAGAGTAGGGGTGCGTTAATGTGATCTATAGTAGCGATCACGTGCACGTGTTCAATAGCTGATAACTCTGCTAACACTTGCTGACTTTTATCGTTTCTCAGATTAGAACCGTCTATATTATTGATAAGAAGGTACAATTGGTTGTGTCTGCTGTTTCTGATGTAATTGAGCTGATCATTAGTTGATCTGAAAGTTGAGCTGCATCCCAGCATATCATTAGAGATACTGTTGAGGATGTCTCTAACTGTAAGATTAGGAAAATACCCGTTTATAACAACATGATGATCGTACTTCAACATTTTCTTAGCAAAGTGAATGAGGAGTTTCCGTTTAGATCCCACACCGTAACACACCAAGTTGTATCCCTCAGTAAGATATATCAACCACTGTGTAAAGGACTGGGTGTGTTCAGCAAACAGAGCCGCTTGCTCCTTATCATACCCTGTCTTCATCTTAGATAACAGTTTTGTTATCTTATTGTGATCCAACTCCTCCAGTGCTAGATCATGTAGGGTTTTATTGGATGTCTTCCCAGCACGCCTCGTGTGAAAGTAAGACTCGATATTCTCCTTGTTTGAGACATGCTCATCAAGCTCCTCAACCTTGCGACGCTGCCCCACACTCAGCTCCGCGTCATCAGACTCATCACTAGAGTTGTCACTAGCAGAGTCCGAGGAGTCTCCTGAAGACTCGTCCGAGTCAAACTGCTGGAGAGGCATGGTGTGGGCGTACTTGGTTTGTTTTAACTTGCGGAGGAGATATGGTGTGGAGATGTCACGTTTTAGCTTCTCCGGACTAGGAGATTTTAAGGGGCTTTCAGCCATTTCTGCCATCAGTACAGAATGTAACCGTACCAACCTGATAATGTTATGAAGACAAACTACGTCAAGACTCAAGAGGCAAGCAACGGATTTAAAGTTTTGTGGTTATACAATATAGAGTAGTAGTTAGGTAAATTATGACGTCAAACATTATCATACTGCATAAAACGGTAGTAAATTTATTCAATACTCAACAAATTTGATATATAGCAGGTAAGGTGAGCCAATACGCAAGTAAAACGAATATTGTTTACATTAACTTACATTTGATAATCAACGTGTCATACTATAATACAAATCGAATGAACTTTATTTGTTTAATCTAAACATCATCTACAATTCACTTAACAGTTAAGAGGGCCCGGCCACGGTGCATACAAAACGTTTCATTCAAATTCTATCTATACAATGAAGTATAGCAGTATAAACCAATTTCACGCATTTACAGGCACTAATTGGCACTATAAACTATAGAGCTATTATATCCGGCAGGGACAAATTCACTCCGTAAAACGAAGTTACACTTATTGTGCTTGCCTAAATCTGAAAACAAAACCCTAAGCACGCATCTAACTACTTTATCGATATAAATTACAAAATCAAGAATGCACAATCAAAAACAATCAACAATCATCTCAGAAAAGGTCTAATTCGCCCTTATTGTCCACTTCGTTGTAACCGACCCAGTCTCTAGCAATTGGTGCAGACAACATCTCGTCAGATATTGCGAAACTCTCGACTAGGTTCAGAGCTTGAGGGGTCAAGATCTGGCAGAGTCTGTCAAACTCTGCTGTTACCTGATGGGATAGAAGTTGAAGTTGCGAGTAAAACTTTAGGCAAAATATCTGGTGGTGACATTATTAACTTGACATTTTACAAGAAGTGGGTATTGAACTGCGGAGTCATTATCGCAACCCACATTCTGGGATTTCTCTAGAAATCACCCAGCTATACGGTTCAACAACTGAAAGTATTACAGCTTTCCAAATTCCAAAGTACCTGTTTAGCCTGATCTGGTGAGATGAGTTCCTGAGTTAGGAACCAGGCTGAGTTATCTTTAACGTAGGAAGTTAAGTGGAGATCTAGTAGGTCTTGTAGTACTTCCTTAGTAGAGCCCTAAATTAGATGGGGTTACAGATAAAGGAAATTATAGATTGGAGAAGGAGGGACTTGGTTTAAAGAGTGAGTATGAGTGATTTATCACAGCATTATGTGTAAATTGTAAAAAATATAATAATATTTTATGTTTAAATATGTTTTATGAATGTCAATAAAATGCAATATTTTATGTTGTCATGTAGCTCACCTCACTATTATCAACTACACTTTTAAATTCGTCAGCTACAATACGCTCACCATATGTTCTTCCTGCACTCTGTAAAAGGTAAGGATCAAGGTATATTCATTTCAAACATATTAAAATAACCAGCATTACGTTCTGGATTCAATTCAGAAAAAAGAATTTGTATATTCCATGAACCTACCAAGGCCAATTAAACTTTAGCATAATAAACTGCATGATTGGTGATTACCTGCATGGCATGTTATAACATTGCACACTGCTTAATTAAACTATCATATCACATAATATTGTATTCTGTATATTGCATACCTGGATACTCTCATTCTGTTCCAACATCCACGTTTGAAACATCTTCGCTCGGCCAGCAGCTGCAAGAGCTTCACCAAGTCCTGTGAACAGAGCATTCTCTCGTAACTTGATCAGATTTATCATCTGATCCGTTGTAGCGATGTTATCTGATACCGGGACAGTTGCTTGTGGTTTAAACATTCCCAACCGTTCTTTCGCTACCTGATCAGGGAGGGGATTATAAAGCGAGCAGTGCAGTCATAGGTTTATAAAGTAACAAATACTGGGAAAGTGAACTTTAACGTCACCAGCTATTTATCGAGTACAGAGTAAATAGCAAGTACTCAGGTACTCCTTACCTTCTGCATAAGCACGCTATTATCTCCTTCTGCAGTCATAGCAGCATGCGCTAGCCCAATGAAAGTTCCAAAGCGGTTACAAGACAAGTAGCCCTGACCACCACACCTCTCCCTGCACACAGATACAAGGTTCTCTAAATGCCAGCTACAGATGGGCTTCAGCGCACAGCACATTGCCACAACCTCCAGGTGGTCCTCGGGGATCTGTTCCGCCCACTTCCTCTTTACTCGGTCAAGTCCGATGTTTAGTGCGTATGTGCGGGCTAGCAGGGGGAGGAGGGCGTGTTGTTGTAGTTGGTAGGACAGGATTGCTGTGTCACTCTTCCCCTTACTCCCTGAACAGTTTCAAATTAGAAAATTTGTTTGGATAGAAATGCACATCATAGAATCCGATATACGACATAATGATTCTATTCTTAATGATATGGCGACATTGAAGCTTTAACTTTAAGACAGCAACCCTACTCCGGTCTGAATCCGACCATAATACTTAAATTTATGATAATATCTGTGAGCAAATATTGTACGATATTGTACTACTACATTGATTAATAACTCACCCACAGTAAGTCTAGTAGCAGAGTATTTGACAGCTATAGCAAGACTAGCTTTAGCTCCACCAATACACATACTCGCAATACAGATCCGGCCAGCAAGCAGTTGGTCTGCTACTGCAAGAAACCTGCAAATATGTTTTGTTATCATCTGGGTCTGAACTGTGAACCAGCCGGACTGTCAAAACTGTTGGGAAAGTTCCGTCATGTCAACCACCGTTGTGTTTTATATAGTGCACCCCTAACAGAGACAACGTTTAAATGCGGTGGGTGCGGAAAAAGTTGGTATATTTTTGCCCTGGATAGTACTGCTGCGTGCAATGACATAAGATCGATAATCGATACGATATAATTGATAATTGATAATTAATACAATACAAGAGAGGAAGAAACGTGACTGGAAGGAACAATTCATCAATGTTGAACACAATACCCAACATGAACAGATTCAAATTGTGTCACTTAAGTAACGACTGGATATTTCAGTTATAAAGAAATTTAAATTTAAATGTATCAGACAATGTATGTTATTGCTATTTATTGTATGTTATTGTATGTTGTGTGTGTAAATCTGTTATACTTCTGAAATTTTCGGGAAACTCTGTGTAAAATATTGTCCTTGTTCACGTTCTTTGAGCTTTCTTTATTGTCTTAAATTGAACAATCACGTGATACAACGTTGTTACATAATACATATATAATAATACAGATAGGTCTGTATTTTAATTGTAAGCCGTGATCAATTGAGATGAATTTTGGGTAATATTATGTAATATGAAGTTAGTATAGTGATTATAATAAGGTGGTCGTGGCGTCCAGTATTTTACCGTAGTATTTTGGGGCATATATTAGTATAAGATATTTAATGCAGTGAGAGGGCAGAGAGGTTAGTTTAACATATGTTTGAGTTAATATGAGGTTGGTTTGTGGAGTGTTTAGGGATTACTAGAGTTACTATGTTGTGTCTAATGTCTATCGACAGGATAGTTAGGGATTGTTTAGAGATTGCTAACAGGGAGTGGAAGATTGTTTAAATTATCTGGGGGCGAGAGGGATAGAGGGTTAGCTTTTTGGGAGAGGTCAGTGACAGTTTACCCGATCGACAAGTGGGTCTATTTGATGCCGGATAGGTTCGGGAGCCAGAACCTATTAAGGTTAGGTCTTGGAGTTAGCTGGGTAGTGGTTAGTAGGTTAGTGGCGGTAGTGTTATAGTGAAGCATTACGGAGTTACTGTTATCAGGATAGAGGCATTTGTAGCGTAGAGATGGTCAACAAGGGTTGATTCAGGAGAGCTGACATAGGCAGAGATTGGCTTTGTTGTAGCCGGGGTCAACAAGGGTTGATCTGACGCGAGGGGGCGTCTTGACAACTATAGGGCTCGGGTAGAGCGAGAATCAACAATGGTTGATCTAGGACGGATATATTAGGGGTAAGGAAGTAAAGCAATGGTTGACTTCAATAGGTAATGCTAGTTTAAGGGTAAGACTCCGAGAGGAATGGTCAGCGAGGGTTGACTTCAATAGGTAAGGGTAGAATTAAGGGCTGGAATTGTGTTGTGTAGTATTTGAGGTAATATGAATCGGAGTAATTAGGAGTTTTGTTGTGTAGTATTTGAGACAATATGAGTCGGAGTATCAGTAATGAGGAGTTTTGTTATGCAATTAGTCGATTATTCGTTGTTCAGTTTGGTACCTTTGTTACCATTATTATCCATCTTGTTTCCATTGTCCAAGCCCTTAATTAAATACGAATAAACTTCGAACGGGAAGCAAGTGTCCACTGCTTACATAATTAAAGAAGATACTTCAAACAAAGCCGCAAATTTAAACTTATGCTGCGATCAAGCCCCAATATTTGCCAAATTTGCCGCACTCTTGCAGCTTGCTGCATATAATTTAGGCAGGTGCAGAATCGCAGTATTCACAAAATTGTACCGCATTTATTAAGTTGTCTCTGATCCCTAACATTGTTAGGGACTCTCGTGCGTTGTTAGGGCCTAACAACGCACGAGAGTAATAATTCAGAACCCGGTCCTACTCCTCAGTGCTGGAACTTCTAGTTACGTTTGGTTCTAGTGATAGTTCCGTATAGTTGTATTAAATATTTCGTTGTCTGAACTGTCTCAAGATGGATTGTGTTGCTCTTATCGTTCCTTATATTATTTAGAAGCAGTCAATTATTAAAAAAGAGATGAAAATATGTGATCATGTATAATATATAAATGACAATTCTTTGTTAGCTTGATTTTCTCCGTAAAAGATTTTAGTACAATAATGAATAAAGCACATTTGTCATACAACGAGAACTCAGCCGAAAGGAGAACATGTGTAAACTGACAGTTCCACCACATCGGAGTGGACATGTCTAGAGTGAACACAATTAGTCTATCCTCAGTGCCTTGTACTTTGGTGTGGTTTTTAGTTAATCAGTTCCGTTGCAGCCTAACAAACATTAAAATGTTAATATTTTAGGGAGTATACAGCCTGTCGGGCTGCAGTATATTTATCGTACTTTCTCGTGCTCTTTATCATTTGTGTGCAATTAGATTAGGTGCCCACCAACAACTGATATCACTCATGGCTTATATAACCGAAACACTGATATTATTGATTAAATTATTGATTTTAAACTAATTATGTTATTATTATTGATTAAACTTATTTTAGAATAGGTTTCATAAAAGGTTATTATATATAATACGGAAAATAATAACAGTGGAATAATCTCGCTGCTAAAAGTAAAACATTGCAGTATTAACCTGGCTCTGGTTGATTTAATATCAGAAATTAAAGTTCCATCCTCACTCAGTTTACTGAACTTATCCAGTAGGTTATCTATCGGTACTGAAATTAATAAGTTAAAGTTCCATCCTCACTCAGTTTACTGAACTTATCCAGTAGGTTATCTATCGGTACTGAAATTAATAACCTTGTCTTAGATTTATTAAGACAAGGTTATAATAAATGATAAATTATAGTGGTATAATGTATTGTAGCGATTGTTGAAACTTCATAATATATGATATATTTACAAATCTAAGACAAGGTTACAAATCTAAGACAAACATATTGTATAATATATACAATATCTTTGTCTCAGCGGCTCTCCTCAAAAAACTTTCTCTCCTCAAAAAGACATCCAATCAGATGATGAGTGCTGCATAATGACATTATCATATTGTTATCTTGCTGAGTTTATATGCATTACAAAAGGGTGGGAGGGGTGGGGCAGGAGGGTGGGGCAGGAGGGTGGGGCAGGAGGGTGGGGCAGGAGGGTGGGGCAAGGTAGTGGTTGCAACATTGCACGTCTTCCTATCACTTATAACTTAATAAACTAAATAAGGGGGAGATGACTATACTTGTACTTTAATATGGTCATCCCCCGCCTCCCCCCCCTCCCCACCCGAAATAAATATTATATCTTATCAGACCAGCTAGCTTACCTCTGACATTGTCGAATGTAAGTTTAGCATTGTCGACACCATTGAGGCCCATCTTGTAGCCCATCTCCTCCACCAAGACATCGGGCAGAACGTTCAGTTCCTTATCTCTAATGGGGACCAGAACAGCGTGGATACCTGCAAATAATACACATTTTAGCTTACTCTAAATGCCGGTGTACACTATATAGTAATCAAATTATATATTTATCGTGTCTATATTAATTATAATATAGTTATTCAATGTTTTCTACAGAACTTATGTAAGCCGTGATCAATTGAGATGAATTTTGGGTAATATTGTGTAATATGAAGTTAGTATATGATTATAATAAGGTGGTCGTGTTGTCCAGTATTCTACCGTAGTATTTTGGGGGCATATATTAGTATAAGATATTTAATGCAGTGAGAGGGCAGAGAGGTTAGTTTAACATATGTTTGAGTTTGTACGAGGTTGGTTTGTGGAGTGTTTAGAGATTACTAGAGTTACTATGTTGTGGCTATCGACAGGATAGTTGGGGATTGTTTAGAGATTGCTAACAGGGAGTGGGAGATTGTTTAAACTATCTGGGGGCGAGATGGATAGGAGGTTGGCTTTTTGGGAGGGGGTTTTTTTTTTTTTTTTTTTTTTTAAGAGAGGCTGGGCCTGGTTGGCCCACGAGAGGATAGCATATGGATGCTTTGCCTACCTCTGGGGTATGGCAGTCCTGTGGGAGGATGCCAGTGGAATCAAGATGTGTAATCACGGATGATGGTAAGTGTTGTGGGGTGTGTCATAGATAAACGCTTAATTGGTGGTTGAGTGTGGAAGAGAGAGGTGAAATAAGACGGCGTTAAAATAGTCGCTATGTTACACCTGTCTGGTCCAACTCCTCCAGCACCACTAAGCGTTTAGTGTGGTTTGTAAAGTTGACAATGGTGGAGATGTGTTGGTTGTCGAATATGTCATTGACAGAGAGGTAGTAGTCCCGGAAATATTGACCTCTTATTTGGGCAATAGCCGGTCACTGTCCGAGAAAGTGTGAGACAGTCTCCTCTCCGTCGCCGCATTTAGGACAAGCACTTGCGTCTGATTTGTGAATGGTGTGTAGGTGTTTGTTGAGGCCACAATGTCCCGTGATGAGGTGCACTGCAGTTCTGTAATTTTGTCTGTTGTTACTGAGTGTAGTGTTGAGATTTTTGATGATGTTGATGTTTTTATGTCCAAGTGTCAGTTTAGTGTGTCTGGGACCATTAGTAATCCATGATTCTTGATTAAGTTTTGTGACTTTGTCGTTGATCAGGCGTTTGATGTAAGATTGTGGAATTGGGCAATTCAAAGTGGATTCACTGGTTGTGCCATTTTTGGCCAGCTCGTCTGCTTTTTCATTACCCCACAATCCGATGTGTGCTGCTATCCATCTGATCTCTAAGGTGTTAGTGGATCCGAGTGTATTGAGGGTGTCGTAGCAGTCTCTAGTAGTTCTACGTTGAAGGTGAGGATATAGCTTGAATAGAGGAGAGACTGTCTGACCATATGATGATATGTGTGTTTGTGTAAGTTGATAGATATTTACAAGCTTCGATGATGGCAGTGAGTTCTGTTTGATAAACGGTGCAATAATCATTGGGAGGGGGTGACAGTTTACCCGATCGACAGGTGGGTCAATTTGATGCCGGACAGGTTCGGGAGCCAGAACCTGTTAAGGTTAGGTCTTGGAGTTAGTGCAATAGTTGAGGCAATATGAATCGGAGTAATTAGGAGTTTTATCGTGCAATGTTTGAGACCAGTTTTGTTGTGCAATTAGTCGATTATTCGTTGTTCAGTTTCGTACCTTTTTTACCATTATTATCCATCTCGTTTCCATTGTCCAAGCCCTTAATTAAATACTAATAAACTTCAAACCGGGAAGCAAGTGTAAACTGCTTACACTTATAATTATTGTGATGAGGAATTCGAAAACCATTGTATCGGAAAAGAAATGAAAATGAGGTCAATTGAGTATCATTTCGCCGTCCTTCTACTGATGATGTACCAGACCGGTTTTGATCTAACTAAAAAAAAACTATAGTTTCTAATCTAATCACTAATGACTCTACAATCTTGCCTCGTGAGGCTGGAGATGTTGAAAATATTCGATATCTACATTATCTAGTGCAACTGCAGCTGTTATACACCCTCTTGGTTCAATGTCACAACATTCAAACTTCGAATTATTTATTAATAAACAAAGCTTAAATTGTTTTGCACGTAATTTAATAAGCTCGACAGCTGGAAGCTTCATGTGATGTACTTCATCATGGAACCAGTGTCTGAGAAATGGGTCTTTTATTCTCTCTTAGTTTATTCTGCAGTCGTGTCACATAGTAAATAGTTGTGTTTGTTAATACAGGGTGGCCCAGAAGTAACTGCCCAGCGGGAACCCTTTAATAACTCACGTAATTCTTCTTAGAATTGCACAGAAATTTCAGAGATTATAGATATGGGTCAGACTTAGATTTCCTGAAAATTTCGTCAAATTTAATTACTTACAGTGGGTGTGGCACGCAACTCCCTCTTTTTCACTATTGTCACCATAAAGTGAGAACGCTTTCAGCTAGGAACTTCAAAGTTTTTAGACACATTGGGTTTGATAATTGAAGTGCTTTCCCAAAATTTCAAGTTGGTTGTTCACAATTTAATCGAGTTATGACCCTTTTAAGATCTTGCAGATACGTGATCCAGCACTTAATCAGTGATATCTTTACTCAATCAATTCCCTGATTGGTTGGAGACTGCTTTAAATAGAACAGCAACCGAAGCGCTATAACGAGAATTTCTTCGGTTTTAAGGAACGTCACTATCAGTATATTTTACTCAAAGTGATCATATCGTCATCCACCAACATGCTCGTTACCGCCTAATGAGGGTCATTGTTGCTCGCTAGCGAATAGCTTCCGATGAGATTACTGATAAGGTGACGCGTAGGGAGCTATTGTCAAAGTGGTCATGTCACACACACTCATATAGAAATATATATCTAATATAATAAGAAAAGTAGAAAGATGTTAACTGTTTTAGTACTCTCTATTATAAGAAAGTTAAAGGGAAGTTATAATGCACAACTTTGCATGAGGATGTAAGAAACGGTAACAAAGAAAGGCGACGAGTCCACCTGATAATTACAATATGGGTGGTTACCTAGTATTCTATATACCTTTAGATTAAGTTTGAGAGCATTTACGTTTAGCAGTGTAAAGTAGTCGCAAATCTTTTAATTTGTACTGTGGAGCAATTAATAGCAGTTTCTACTTGCAATTGAATATTGATGTCGCCCCATTATGAACTAAAGTTTTAAGCTTCTAGAACTGCGAACTGTGAGTTCAGAGAGGCAGGTTAATCTGTCTTTCCTCTGGATGTGGATACTAGTGGGGAGCCAAACTGTGTAAGAAATGTTTCGACAGTGACAGTGATTCTGGGTTTTGATTGGTCAGTATTTTGTTAATCACTGTCACGTGTTAGAAACAATAAACTTTCCACCAATATTCATATCTATGATAATATAACATTTTATTGTTACAAAAACTTAGTACCTACACAACTCGTCAAAATATATCGGGTATATCATAACAATCAGTATTATTATAGATTGAATTGAGGTTTTATCTGCATCTGATCACTCATCTTTCTAAGTTATCTTTTACCCAAGATTTAAACCCCTATTCTATATCGACAGATCTAAACATTCCACCAGATAAGTTAACATATCATTATCCCAGGTAAACAAGTATGCGATATATTCATGCCAAAGACTTCTCCTTCATAATGGTGCTTGCTTGCGCTCTGTACATGTTCACAAGTTTATTGTTTAATACCCACACAGTTACATTTGAAGAGTTGAAGCATGAACTTGACTATTATAACCCCATCTCAGAGCTCAGCCTAGTGATATTTCCAGAACATGAAACTAGCAGTGAAACGGTTCCAGACAATCATGTAAATGTGGTACAAGAAACTGCAAGGTCTCCTGCCTCAGATGATGAAAATGGGATGTCCAAGGTAAAGCACAACTACTTCATGGTTATATTTATACCTTCCATGCCTAAATCATCAATGCAACGCCAGTATCTACGAACAAAATGGCTCAACATGTCCAACTGGAATGAAAACGAATTCAAAGGTATAGAGAAGCAATACCTGACTTTCAAACTCATGTTTGTAATAGGAAAAGTCATAAACAAGGAATACTCAGAAGAATTCTTGAAAGAAGTCTCAGAAACAGATGATATTTATCTAATAGACACAGAGGAAAGTAAGTTAATTCTATCAGTCAAACTGCTCTGGGGTATGAAGAAAAGTGTAGCGCTCTTCAACTACACCTACTTTGTCAAAGTGGACCATGATACGCTTATTGACCTTCCCCACCTTATCAGAGGTCTTTCAGTAGAACAAAGGGAGAATTTATATACGGGGTGGTGTAATAAGAGGTTGCTAAGTACAATTTACAAGAGAACATTTAAGTACTGTTTAGGGGGCGGGTATATCTTATCACGTGATCTGATAGAGAAGATTTCATTGTTAAAAGAGAACGTGACAGACATTGGAATGCCCATGGAAGACGGATATGCTGGCTATTTAGTATCAAAAGTTGTCAAACAATACAATATCACTGGAACTATACCACGCCATACTCCTGATGGACTCCAAATATATGCCAAAACAAAATTTTTGTTTAACAAGTATTTCTACCACTGGCTGAAGAAATTTGGACATATGGATATGGTGTTTGAATGTCGAATAATAGCTAATAAAACTATGTGCCCCTCTATGAGGTATGAGTTTCCAGAAGGGATGGATCATTGTATGTGTATTGTGGAATCTACAATACAGGAATGAACAATATAGGGTAGCATTATTATTATAGTATGGTTTTTATGATTTACAATTTGGAAATATTTTGATGTTCTTTATAAATACAAAAATATAAAATCTGTCAGTGAAAATGTGCACTGCAAAGAAAATGGTTTTTAAATCTTGAGTGATATGAGCCAGCACGTGTATCTTTGAAATACACATTAAAGTAACCAATTACGTTCATTTTGAGAAAGGGAATTAAACGGTAAAGGAGTTGGTTGATTTTACTGCAAACAAAAATAACCAAAATAGTAAATACATACCATAATGATAAGATATCCGTCCAAAACTTACCATGGTTAACTCCATGAGTAATGAGATGTGCAAACACCACCACATGGTGAGCGTGAAGTGCTCCATTTGTGATCCAGTACTTCTGTGCAAGAGGATTTGGAGTGTGGACTATCAGCTCTCTGTTGGAGATAACAGTTTCTTAGGTGGAAAATTTTATCAAAATTGGATTCAATATAATATATATAATACTCCAATACTTGGTAGGATGGTGCGAATAATCCCTCTTTCTAGGAGTAAGGTACTAAGGTATGGTAAATTTACAAATTCACAGACAAAGATCAAGACTTACTTGGTATCAGGATCAAATATTGCAGTGGTTTCCATTTCCACTGCATTGTTTCCATAACCAAGTTCAGTTAGTCCAAAACAACCGATATCAGCAAGTGAATCAATGCCTGTGAGATAAACATGTTATGTTCAATAGTATGAAGTAAACAATTTACACAGATAAAACCACTGGGATTTCACCACCAACACAATGCAATGAATATGCTTATAAAAAATTAGTTGAGATACTACAATTGATTCAGATAACAACCTTCAAGAAGCTGCTTATGATGTTTCTCTGTGCCTAATTTGAAGACAGTACCACCAAATAAGTTAAATTGAACGGTCATTTTTGTTGTCATTGCTGGGTCTGAAATTAAAAAATGTTATTAGTATTTTCGTTCCGAAAGACTAGATGGTAAACAAAAGCAAAAATACTGATAAAGAATTTATTAAGAAATCTAATATCATAATATATGATTCACACTGAAACTGTTGTTAAAACGACGAGTTAAGTTCTGAAGCTAACATCTATCATGAAGACAAACATGTGATGATTATAACAAACCTATTATAGCAGCCAGTTCGTGAGCGGCAAAAATACGTAAAGGATTATCACGGAAATCTAACACAGATATGAAGTCATTATCACAAATACGCTGGAGACGGTCCAAAGCTAATTGTCGCTCTTCAGCCAAGGAAATGTTGTATCTGGGTTTCATCACAGGATCTGACATAAATTTTCGAAACCTGGAGAGTAAAAAATCATAACCTAGTCATCAACACTGGTCTGGTGCATGTATATTGTATAGGCCTTAAATTTTTTCCATATGAAAATGACAGCGATGACAATAAAACATACTTTTAATGCATAGCAATACAGACCTAAACGATTTCAAACATCACTATATTTATCATTAAAAAGGATAAAGATTGATTTACCTTGCTCTCATGTCATGATTATCATGGTCAAGCAGTCGAGTTAAAGATTCTGTGCTGTAGTCTGGTTTTGGATATTGTTTCTGCAAATCTGAAGAATTTAGTATCTTTAGACCCTAGTATCTTTAGACCTTCCATAAGTATAAAAAGTAAAGAATACAGGAACATCAATTTTGCAAAACAATAACAATATACAAGTGGATAAGTTTCATCAAAGGTGCATTGGAGAATCTTCTATCATCTAACCTGGTGGAGAGGTTTTGTTGGAGAGGGAAGGCATGGTTGCTGACATGGAGGAAAGCAAACATCGGCTGTTTGCATGATTGAAAATTGGGCGTAGGTGGAACATGCCTAGAACAATGAGTTAGGTCATTAATCAATATTTAATCTTACTTATAATTCAAAGAATAATGTTTGTATGTCTGTATGTACGACCGCCCACGTGCAAATTAGATAAGAAATAGGAAGTTGCATAGTAACCATGGTAACGGTGTTCAAAAGCGCATGTGCAATCGCCATTTTTTATCACGTGCGAGCGCCATTTTGATTGGTTACATTTTCAGCTACATTTTTATCAGCTGTATCTTTGTTTGTGAGTTGTGATGGATATTTTTTGATGCAATAAAAAATGACTACCAAAGAATAAATAATAATACTAGCTTCATCTCTGTTAAAACAGGCTTTCTAGTATTATAGAAATAGCTGCTCAAGCCATTTTATGTAACATTTGTGGTACAAAACCATCAATTAAACCACTTATCACCGGCCGATTTAAAAAATTTGCTTATGGGCTTCGTCAGAGTTTTTTTGGCACTATACCGAAAAAACCAGTCCCGTATTACCGTTTTTTAATATAACCGACCGGAAATTACACACGCACAGACAGACAGACAGACAGACATACAGACAGACGATCAGACACACACACATTCTTAGATTATTGTTTAAGATAATTATCAATTTTTTGAGTTGCCTGCATTTCAATGCTACTCAAAGTTTAGCCAGACAGAATTCTTTCAAGTACAGCTCCTGCCAAATTTCAGAACAATCCTATGAAAAAATATTTCCAGAAAGTAGATTTATTAGAGGCAGGCTAATAAATTACAAATCCAGTCCTCAACAGCGATTGAAATTTGTATATTTAAACAATGACGCTTAACCATCCATAGCTTTTAGTGGGATCATTATTTGGATTAAGCGGGAAATGTCATTGTTAGATCTCACTCTCATTCAGTGAATATTATTTTAGTCTATTTTGAAATTCCATTGACCACACCCTACCTTCTAAAACAAGCAACAGATTAGTTGTGCTAATGCGTTGTACAATCATGGAGAGCAAGATTAGAGGCTAGGTGGCCTAAGTGGTTACTAGAGGTTCGAATCCCAGTCGCACATAGTCTAAGGAGTTAATAAAACAAAAAATTATGTCTCCTCGATCGATTCAGCTGAATGATCTGATAGGGATCGGAAATGCGATTGGGGGTTAAATGAGGTGGGCCCTGCCAAATGATCAGAAATATTCTTATGATACCCTTTCAGTACATATACATTGTACAGTGCAGAAAACATACCTTTAGTATGGACAAATATCGTTTCAAAAAGTTGGTCCTAAATTATGGAATGAGCTGCCTTTTGAATTTAGGAATTTCATGTTGTTGGAGTTTGGAATCTTTTATCTAAAACCGTTTCTTTTCAAATTTACTTTCGATTTTGTTTAAATTTATTGCATCAAATCTTTAAATTATGGTAATTGCCTATTTAACACTGAGTGCATGCATGCTGGCTTCGCAAGCTTTTTGCTTATTGAACAAAATTAATTTTTTGTTTCACAGAAATTAAACAACACATTTTAACATTTATTACTGCATTTGATTGACGATGTCAATCTTTCACATAACAGTTTTTATATATTAGTAGTTTAATAATGCGTCGCTATAATTTGGCGCATGTGGTTGAAATGTGCAACCTGCATGCAATGAACATTTTTAATGCGCAGTGCGGCAATTGCTCTATCCAAAGCCCTTAAGCACTTGCAGTGAAACAAGTGCGCCTGCATTGGCGCAAAAGCACATGGTTTGTCATACGTTGTATGACCCGCCACGCATTAACATAGCCATGTGTCTACGCGTACTACGTGACGCGCTTGTTTCACAAGTAGAATCCTTTGCCGCCTTCGGCGGTCGCGCGCTACTGAGCTGCAAGCGAAAGGGCTCTGGTTAGAGCAACGCCGCGCACGAGTGCGCGGCTCCCCTGTATCGTCGAAACTCTATAGTGAAGCAGCAGTGGGGGTCACCACGTGATACAACACATGGTTAGGTGAAGTACGGCAAAACAGTGCGCAGTGCACTACGAAAATTACTATTACAATATAATGAACAAAATGAGTTGACACAGAATGTTTGTGAATAAATGAATGCAGATTAAACAAATCTACCGAAAACAGGAAAGGACAATTGGTATTTTGGGCTTTGTTAACAAGCTGCGCCGCGCGCCTTAGCTGCGCTAGTCATTATATAGATCTGCTACAATTTTGTAATTGTTTATTAATTGTTTTCAAATACTTGTTACAGGATTTTAATCAGCTCAGTCGTACAAAATTATAAACGCCAATTTTATTAATTGAATAAATATGAAATAACTTTTTGAAAATGATTTCAATTCACTCAAATAAACGGCGTTCTAATCCAAAGTTTTAAAAAATTGATTAAAGCCGTAAAAATGTGCATGTGTAAAAATAAAAATATTATCAACCGTGGAATTAACAAGCGAAAACTGGAAAAATGAAAAAGTGAACAAAATTTTCAAAAAGTGCGCGTGTCGGCAAGCGCTGTGCAGCATTTAAAACATTTTCTGCTTATGGTGGAATTATAAAGCAATGAAAGGCATTAGTTTGGTCAAATAAAACAAGTTTTATGGCACAAACAAGTTTTATGGCACAAATTTATTAAAATTAGAAAATATATGCCAATTTTGGCATTCACAATTAGAATTGTTTTTAACTTGAATTATTTTAAGATTAGTACTATTGAGTAAGTATTAACCACTGTTATATTTTTGTCTCCTTAGTATAGTAGACAGAGGTATAGAGACAGGGGTGCGAGAAACAACTTTGTTGATATGAATAGTTTAGATTTGAATTTGGAGCCACAAGGCCAAGGGTGATTTTCAAATGTTTCTCCCAATATTTGAGATAGGGAATATATGTAATAAAATTATTCAAACAATATACACATAATATAGCAATGACCCTATATAAAATCTACCCTTTAAGAATTAAAAAAGTTTTCTAAACAATCAAAAATTACCCTTGGCCTTGTGGCTCCAAGTTAAGATCTAGACTGTTTATATCAACAATGTTTTTTCTCGCATTTCTGTCTCCACGGAGAGAAATCACTGTTGTTCTTAGGATTTCAAAGCGAAGGCGCTTTCTAATGTATCCTACAGCATCCGAGTACCTCTGGCCAGTGTGGTACTCCATCTTACTGGCCAGCTTCTTAACCAGTCTTTCAGCTTCACCACCCATTCCACCAGAAGTCGAGAAAACTAAAGGTGCGAAGCTTCCTTTCTCCACTTCAAGAACCCTTGCGTTGTAACATCGCTTTTTCTAATTTTCATGGGACTGGTACATCGCTGGGATTGATTTGCTTGCATTGGAGGGGGCTGGGGCATGAAATACCCTTACAAAAAAAAAAAAAAGGAAGCAACTCACGGTATCACTCTCAGAAGAGACATGTTTCATCATTTACCGGAATTGCAACCAAATATACACAATAAGGTTTGGTACTTTATCCGTACATCCCCTTTAATAGCTACAATAAATTGTCTATAAAATTTACATAAACAAACTTAAGAGACCTCAAAGCTCGTCTTCTGAGGAATGAGATTGAAGGATACGTCATCCAGTCCAAGGTGCTGGGCTTTTTGTCTTCCTCTGATTCCCCTGAGTGCTATGAGTGTGCTTCGTAGCAGATCAAACCTGAATCGTGTTCTGATGTGATTTTTGACCTGGCTCTTAGCTTCTTTATTGTGGTCAGCTATCCTTTCAGAAATACGATCTACAAACACAGTGCAGAGTGGGCCCATACCTCCGGATGTTGTAAAAACTAGTGGGACAAAGGACCCTTTCTCTGACTGAAATACCCTTACATCAAAAAATGCCCTCTCTGAAGCATTCCAAATCGATCTTGCAGAAATGTCCAGCCTAGCTTGGTCTCCTAGGACTGTTCCCTTTGGTAACTCTAGACCATCAACTGGAAGAAGAACTGGCTCAGTCTGCACATCCTTGCATTTCACAGTTCTCATTAGTTCTGCAAAGGTTTCTCTCAGCGAAGGTGTCTCTCAGGGAATATATTGATTTTTGAAGGGTTGTTTTTATATAGGGTCATTGTGACAATTATGTGTGCAGCCAAGACCAGCCAGGACAAAAGCCTCATCATGGCAAATCTTAGACGTCGTTTGCGATTTGAGCTACTTAAAACAGTTTTGATTGCAGTGAGAGGACACAGAGGACGGTATTATAAGAAAGCAATACCTGTTGACAAACTGGACCTAAATCTTGCACACACCACCAGCGATGAAGACAGGGGTGATGATGTTGATGATGAAGATGAGGAAGTTGATGATGAGGTTGAGAATATAGATGAAGTGGTTTCAGCAGAGTGAGCTGAAAAGAAGACAAGATTCTATTCTCATTTATTGATTATTATATTTATTGAAATAAACATATAATATCCATTACTCCAGGAGTGATGACAGGATATATAAAAATTTAAAAAAAGTTTTTTTACAGTTTCTTGTTTCACACCTGTCTAAGGTTAAGATGCACAACTTCTCAAGTTTAAGTGTCTTTTAGCGCTGAGCGTAAGGGTTGAATCTAATTTTTATTTTAACTTTTTGGTGCTGTATATAAATAACATTAATTAATTATCGTTATTATTGAAAGTGTGAGAGGAATTTTGTTATCTTTAATTACTTTGAATGGTGTTTGTGTTAAATAAATACTGAGAATGTCCCTTAGCAGCAATGAAAAGAAAACGACCATACAACAATCATGCTCAGCAACAGCGCGATGTTCAACATATTCCTCACAACAATCCAAATGGGCAACAAGACCGCTACAATACACCTGGACCAAGCATTGGCTCCTCATCGTGAGTTCTCATGTTAAATTATATAATTGTTATACCTTGAAAATATAACCTTTGATTCCTTGGTATGATAATAAAGTGATTTAAACTACATTGTAGGAGCACACACTAACATTCATTTAATTAAGAATTTTGATTTGATCATATTGCTTGAATTTCAGCGGATTTATACCTCTCAGCAATGGACATCGTGCACCACAATCGCATCCTCCAAGTCATGACTCAAGGATGTAAGTATCCATATAAATAAATGTACTGTCAGGGTACATCTTTGCCAAACCAATTTTCTTAATGAGCTGCCTAATTTTATCCTTCAAAATAACCATAACATGATTGACAAGAATGTCATTTACAATCATTTACAATCATTTACAATCATTTACAATCATTTACAATCATTAACATGTGAATTAATTCAGGAAAACTCCACGCAGAACTAACCAACCACCCTCGCGATCGCCCTACAACAACAATAAATCTAACCACCATCACAAGTCAAAAAAACAGGTTGATAAGCCAGCTGCTGTTATAAACTCCTCAGCACCTCTTAAAAATTCGAAAGGAGCTCCTCCTGTTCAAGTTACCAATACTACGCGGAAAAGCATTATTGATAAGAAGGATGATATTGATAAGATAGACATAATTGATAAGAAAAGAAGTGTTGAAAAGACTGACAGTAATGAGGACAAGGATATCATTGTCTTAGATGAACTGTCCTCTACCTCTCCGGATCATGATAAATCATGGTCAAAAAGAAGGAAAGTTATATCCATTGCGAGTGATGATGAAGAAAAAACTGATGGTGTTGAGGATCAGGCTTCTAGTTCAAATCAGCATTCTTCCGGGCCCAGTAAAGATAGTGAAAATGTTCTTCCACATAAATATATCAATCATGTAAGTATTGTTGCATTTTCAGTCACCTTTTTATTTGGGTATTTGCTAGGACTTAAATAAACTGTAAAGAAGCCATCTAAACATGTGAATGATGGATTTAGGAACTGATTCATGATGTGGTTTATTTCTGCAGTTGACATCTGCCCTGCGAAAGTATCATACGAACCAAATGCAAGATAAAGCATTTTTGGACAGGAAACTCTTTCTTCGAGATGGAATTCAACGAATTGTTGGCCAAAATTTTGGAGGTAAACTTTGTGTGGCAGCTGCTTGTTTCATTACTTTCTTTGACTCATGATCATGTATCATTTTACTTTTGGGGTTGTTATCTGCAGCTGCTTATTTGTTAGCCTTTTCTTTACTTAATAATAATATCTGAATTTCATAAATTTTAGAGGGAGTACTTCACTTGACTGGTTCGTCCATGTCTGGTTTTGGAACAATGAAATCTGATGCAGACTTTGCATTGGTATTTGACCCACAACTCAACACAATATCCAAGAAAAAGTCTCGTAATGTCATTACACGTCTTGCATCATGTCTAAGACGGCAAGGTTAGTCTAACTATTACAAAATTGGGTCACATAATATGTTTATTGAGATATGTATAAATGCATATTGCATGTAATATTTTTTTTTGTAACGATTGTTATAGTTTGGTCTTTTTGGGAGAAGTGTTGGATTACTTTCGACGAATGTCCCCCGTAATACGAATTACACAATATTCCACACTGCAAGTACAATGCTGAAAATCATTTGAACCAATATACACATAATTTCAGCATTTTGCGCAAACGTTGAGATGATATTTGCAAAGGTTCCTATCATCAAGTTTTTCGACAAAATCAGTAGCTGTGATGTAGACATTAATATCAACAACATAGTTGGTATCAAGAATTCTTTTCTACTGCGGTCTATTTCATTAGGTAAAGAGAGTTGAATTTAAAATTTGCAATATTCTTTGAATTAAAATTACTGCAAAATTATTATCATATTTCATCAATTATATGTTTGTTAAAACTGATTCTTACTCAACCCCTGTCCCAGCTGATGACCGTATTCCACCACTTGTGATAGCCCTAAAAGCCTGGGCCAAGTCACATGACATCAACTCTGCCTTCATGGGCTCTCTCTCCTCCTACCTCTTAGTCACAATGATGATCTACTTTCTACAGAATGGTGTCTCCCCTCCCATGTTACCGCCACTGAAACAATATGTAGACAGTCTACAGTCTGTTAATGTCAACACTCAACTTCAGCAGTTTGTGCCAAAAACTTTCCTAAAGTTCGAAGTGCGTAACAAGGAAGAAATTGGCGAGATCTTTGTGAAGTTTTTCAGGTTTTGGGTGAAAAAGTTTAGACAGAACAAGGTGTTTTCAGTGTACACAGCACAGGAAAAGATAAGAACGTACAATACTCCTTACTTGGATACCAGTGCTTATGTGCTCGTATTAGAAGGTAGGTCAAGAGTCAATAACCAATTAAGTTTTTAAATTTTGTATTCCGTTTAGTTTATAGTTCCGATTTTCCGATTAGATGAGTTTGATGAGATTCCAAATATTTCATTGTAAGTTGCAAACTAAGCTGACTTATTACTTCACCTGCAGAACCGTTCCAGAAGGACAACATTGCTAGAGCAGTTCGACCTCAGCAGTTGGGCGAAGTCAAGGATAAGTTTCAACAGGTATTTAGCATTTATAGATAAGGCCTTCGGATACTAGTGTTTTGATAAAGTGTCATTAACGTTGTGTCATAAAGTTCTTAATCGGGATCGAGATCATTTATATTTTAGTATTAAATTGTCCCATAAGTTACATATTTATACGCAGGCTTTAATCACAGTGCCTATTCATTGATCTATACCTTCCCTCCGTACTTCAGTATAATCATATTTGCTTCAGGCATGCGACCAGTTTAAAGATATTGCTAGGTTTGATGAGTTGTTTGGTGAACTGACTTAGTCGTTGGAATATTCACATTGTTACCTTCAAGAGGTAATCAATTCTACAGAAATAAAGAAAGCATGAAGTAGCTCCGGAGTGTCGACTTCTACTGAGATTTAAAAGATACAAGGTTCAGACCAAGAATCTAAAGAATTTTTTTATGACGACAGGTTATTTACAGCTACTAAATTTCAGCCAGTCGAAATAAAGCAGGGCCCTTTATTGTCTGGTTCGGGGATTTTTAACGTTCTGTTTTTTAATTCTATGACAGAAATCATGAGAACGGGTTTATAAACACTACTGTGCTTATTTATTATGTTTATAGATGAAACGAGATATATTAACTTATATATTTTCATCGATCTTTATTATGGCCTATTTTTATTTATTTTAGGTACCGTATAGTTTAATTCAGTGATATTTTTCATTGTATCGTGATCTATGGGCTACAGTTAATTTATTGTAATGATTTCAACCGTTCCACGTTATCGATTAACGAGGCCAGGGCTGCAACAAACCATTTTGACCAACAAATGTTTTTGCCCTGTTAACGTTTCCTTTCTCTTCAAATATTTGGAATTTTATACATGTTATGACCCAGAAAGTATAAACTTTTCATCTAATATTGAACTTTCATTCCAATAAACTGTACTTTGCTCTCGTCAAATTGAACACTAAATCCGATATTAATGTTTCACAATTCCCAGTTTTACAATCACCTCAAAACTCACCACACGCTCCTCAAGAACTAGCACGCTGATGTGAAGCAGCGCCCCACACCTAGCAGCGATATGACGCCCAAACAAAGCATGTGGGGAGAGACCAGTGTGTTCGTGACTAAGTCGTTCAGACTCAACAAGGTCCTCTCACATCGGGTACCCAGCCGGATTACTTTTACTGAGGATGATAAGAAGATGTACTTCCTGGCGGGGAGTGGCAGGTCTTGTCTCTACAGTGTCGACTTTGAACAAGGTTTCAGTTTATATCATGTGGCATTTTTTGTGATGATATCAAATTCTATGTTTGCCGGTTCAGTGTCAAATTTAAATAGCTGCAAGTTTTCTTTAACTCATTGTTTTTCAGAGGTGGAAGATATTGACAAACCTCTTGAACCGACACAGTTCTTTGATAACGCCTACGTTCCAATAAGCCGCGAAGAGGAGGTTAGTTTAAAACTTGCTCCTAATTTCAGTTGAATAAGCTAATCAACAAGTCAGTTAATGAGTTAACTTAGATTCCCAAACTTACTGAGAATACATAAAACTATTAAACAATGGCCTTGTTCAGCTATTACGAGAAAGACAGAGAATCTGTAAGAATGGTATTACCACGTTTGAGTACTGTAACAAAACTCTTCTAGTCCCCCTGGGATGTAACCTCTTCTACCACGACATGACCATTGCAGAGGTAAACATTAAAAACACTAAATTAAGACCAGATTATTTAAATTTAAGTCACAGTGCATACTTCTTTCTCTACATGAGGTTACAGCATATCAGAATCACGTGACATCACGTGACAAGTGTATCCTATTTATAACCACTCCAGAATCAGCCAAGTCTAATAAAAGAGAGCGAGCAGAACATGTACTACGACACCAAGCTGTGTCCTACAGACCCGCGACTCATCAGCTTCATCAGAAACAACGACATCTACATCACCTCCAGTCTTCTCCAGGAGTACACTGCTATCAGGCTCACTGAGTCTAGTAATCCTTCAGGTTAGACACAACAGCTACCATACTCATCGTTGCAAATATATAATAATAAAATGGGTGACACAAAATTTCAGACAAATTATAGACAAATCTTCTGAAACAAAATTAAATCTTAAAAACAAAAAATTCGAGAAAGCAATCCCCTGTTCTCATTTCTCAACAATTGTACCCGAAAGCGCTCCAATGCACGTCACAACGGCTATAAACCACATGGCACATCATCAGCTGAAATGTTCTCCACCGTTTGTACATTAAATTTAAATTTAGTAATGAAACCTCGCTCTATGAAGATAGACGGGCATCTACCCTTATAGTAACCGCTCAAAGTGACAGTAACAACAGGATTTGAAACGAATCCACATCCCTCATAGCTGATAAGTTTATACGATTTTCCGAAACTATACCAAGCGTGCTTCCCAGTCTGGTCGTATCTTGCAACTCCAGAGCATGTCAAAGCACAGGGTTCGGGATGGGTTGCTCCGTCGGGGCTGCTCAAGATCTTCAACTCACTCGCGAGAGTGGGGTTCATTAGCAACATCACAGTTAGCATATAGCCGAGACGTTTCATCTTGGGCAGAGTTTGAACGATTGCAATATTTTGTAAAGCTAATAAAGTGACTTTCGAAGGATTATATAATGCCCGGGATTTTATGTTTGCAACAACCATATGTCACTCTAACTTTGTCACAGATAGTTAGAGTGACATATGGTTATTTATTGTCAAGAATACATGGGAATAAATGTGATTAAAAGAAGGCGAAAATGAATTTTCACTTTTTAAAGTTGTTAGGTAGAAGGTGTAATATTTGACTTGCCATTTACAAAGATGCTGAAAATCGATCCTCCAATATTTAATCAATTATAAATATATTGATCAATTATAAATTTTCATGATGTGTGAAATACATTCGATACGTATACAGTGAAACAAAACAAAAATGTGCAATAAAGTATAGTTAGGATAGCAATAGCTAAACCTCAAAATTAAAAATACATTATTTCTTGGTTACTAAGTTGATAACTAAGTTGATTACTGAGTTGATAACTAAGTTGATTACTAAGTTGGTTACTAAGTTGAAAACTAAGTTGATTAGTAACTTAATTTACTAACCGTTCAGAGCTGTATAATGGAGTACCGTCCTTTGTGGTCCAGGAAGAGTTTGACAGATACACTGGATACTACTGGAGACCTATACAGGTAGTTTAGAATCATCATTGTAATTCAAATTGTAATCAAGGCGCCGAAGATAGAGCGCTTTTTGTTGTTTGTTTCCGCCTGTTTGACCTCTAAAACGTGTGGTACCTACTTTTGCTTATAACATCCACTGACTGTGTCCAGGACGCTCCGGAGACGTATCACGTGTTATACGAACAAGTAGACGAGACAGGAGTACCAAGTGTGCGACTAAGTGCGGCTAGTGAGGAGAATCAGAGCTACAAGTTCCCACTAGCAGGACAGTCTAACGCTGTAGCTAGCCTTAAACTTGTCAAGTTTACCCTTGATACTGAGGTTAGAGTCGCTAGCCTGGAAATATTAAAAGTTACTTTTAAAGACAGTTATTCATTGCTTTTATAATGAGCTGGGGTTTAAATTAAATTTTTATATGTATTAATATATTATATAAATAATGGTCGAAATCTTAGTTTTCCACTACAGCATACTCCAATACGACGAGAGGAATTAATATGGTAAATAATCAATATTTTCATCAGTCTAAAAAGAATGTAACTGATAAATAACATATTTTGTTATGTAACGCAGGCCAAGACTGTGGGGCAGATAACAAGATATAATCTGTTGGAGGAGCTTCAAGTGACATTCCCGTGGGTAGAATACATACCTTGGTTTAACTGGCATCCTTCTGGTATGTCAAAACATTATCAACAATTTTCTTCTATGTACCACTTTAATAATGGAGTAGCAAAGAAATTTGTTAAATTCTTTTCTCATGGATCGTTCTTTGAATTAAAGTTTTAAGCTGTCTAAACTCTTTTCTCAGACAGACTGAGAAAATCTCAATTTTCAAAACAAAGATAACTGGTCTTCTAACGTATGTTGGCCTGATTAGAATGACTAACTAGGAATATATATTTTACTATCTATCTATTCTAATATTAATGAAAAATCCGTGGTGTGCGTGTGTAATTTACAAATGACTTAATCAAGAAAACATAAAAGAGTTATGGGACTGGTTTTTTCGGTATAGTTCCGACCCCGTTCCGACAAAACTCCGACGACCCCAAACGATTACTTGGTTTTTGTGAAATTGAAAACTATATTAGACTGTTGTCATTTTTTATAGCGGTGGATTCAATCTGAAATATATACGAGGTCTACTTCGTTAACAATACTTTGCTCCCTGGCCTGAGTGAGAGAACAGATTTGCCTTCATGCTACTTAACTATGTTTAAGCGTGTTCTCTTCATCCTCACTGGTAACGTTTCATAATTTTGTTTTAGGTATGTTTTTCTGTCTATGACATTTTACAAACATATCTTGATCGCTTGATGCGTGTTTTCGACTTATAGCGGGTTTATACTTTTGCACCGTTTCAACTGCAATAGTGGTGTTCCAACAGTAGGCCGGGTTACTCTAATATTGATATATTATACTGTGGTTATTACTGACATATGTTTTGTAAGTCTTTGGAATAGTAGTCAGAAGGTATAGTATCGTATGTACACTTTTAATTCCTTTCTTGAAATTTTATTAAAGACTCCTATTCTGTATTTGTGTATTTTAAAATGAAAGTGTTAAATTCTCACAGTCACTCCCTCACTCAGGGAAGAGTATTTGGTGTATGTTACTGGATCGACCTCAACAAAAGTTCTCTCTCATTACACTCCCTTTGGAATACTTCACAAAACTCACAAATGGAACGTCGGAGGAGAATGAGGTAAAACCGAGCTCATCGATCACCACTCTCGTCTCCAAAACATCTCAGACTTGGATTAATGTGCGTTACTGGTTAGCAATTTTAGCGACTTGAAACATTTTCTTCAGTTGCGTTAAACTTTTTATCGTTGTTTTTTATTTCCTTTCAACTGAGTTGATTGATTGAGTTTTATTTAAGTTTTTAATTGTATCAACCATTAAATCGGATTTAAACATGGCTTGAGCAATAAGCGTATGTTTTGTAACTTTCAAGCGAACTGAAATATATGAGAGTATAGACTTTAAAGTTTACATCATAGCTGATATTCAATCATTGGAAAGATAATCTCCATTCCCCCATTTATCTGCGAACTTAGTGACGGCATAAAAATGTTGGTACATGAAATGAGAAAAGCAGTAAGTTCCACAATCTCCTTCAAGGTATCAGAAGACATAAAGTTCCTACCCTCTGAAGAAGGAACATTCGACTTTGTGTTCCTGCACGAGGATAAACACAACCACCTGTACCGGGTAACGTGCACCGGCTCCACCACTACAGAGACCCAGCTGACTGACGGAGACTGGAGTGTTACCTCCCTCCTCGCTGTTACCCCTTCTACCGTGTACTTCCACGCACAGCGTAACCCCATACAACAGCACCTCTTCAAGATGGAGCTGAAGACTCCGGGGGTGGTGGAGCAGCTTACTCCGGAGGGGTTCTTCCACACTTGCACTCTCAATAACTCTCTCACTGAGTTTGCTAGTGTTTACTCAAACTCTTACACTCACTATCAGTGCTCTGTCTTCTCTTTAGGTGACGTGTCATGCTTGTTGTTACTTTGATTATGTTACGATCTACTGTTTTAACAAGATTTTCTAGTAAACCTCTGTTGATTTATTTCACTATACACTGAAGTACTGAACCTCAATGCTCAGTATCTTCACAAAAGTAAACGGAAATTGTAATCTCAGATACGGGAGACAAGCTAAGGACAGTAACCTCAACTCTAAACTTTGGTGAAGTGTACCTGAAGAAGACAGGAGTTGTACCTGAACCCCAGAAGGAAGGGGGACAGATAACCACGTACCGCTACGATACTCCCATTATAGATAAGATAGATTTGGACGGGAAGGACGTGTATTATGTTATCTACCCTGCTAAGGGTGTGGATCTAACCCAACCTCAGCCTGTATTGTTGTACGTGTACGGGGGTCCTGCTATACAGCTCGTGGTTGATAGGTCCGTATTCAACATTATAATAATTACATATATATACAATAATTACATCAATACGTTATCCTTGTGATCTAACTTTTTTTATTGTAATATACATACAAAAGTATAAAGTCTAATAATGTCGCGTATAGCGAACATTGACATTAATAGAACTTAGAAGTTGTCATAATTTTAAACAAGTAATAGAAGACCCTCTCAAGCCTAACCACAAATAAGCTAACATGTATTAACCCCAGGTTTAAAGGAATCCACCACCGACAACAGAACCTGTTTGCTACACTAGGTTACAGTGTCGTAGTAGCAGACTGTCCAGGATCTGCTAACAGAGGTAAAGAGTGGGCTGAGGTACTCTACAAGAAGATGGGCAGTGTCGAGGTAGACATGCAGATCAAAGGTACCTTTCTATAAACTATGATATTTTCTGTTTTAATGAGTGCTTGGTTGGTCAATTTTTTTAAAACTATTCCGTAGAAATTGTGCCCAATGGATGGCACCATTTATAGACTTTTCATTACATCTTCTCTTTTTAATCTTAACCTCTTCAGTTCTGGAGGCCCTATCACAGCAGCACACTTATCTGGACCTATCGAGAGTAGCTGTGATGGGCACTTCTTACGGAGGATATGTGGCGCTAATGGCACTGGGACAACGTCCTGATTTCTTCAAACTGAGCATAGCAATAGCGCCTGCCATATCATGGCATTTGTACGATACGGCGTACAGTGAGAGGTACATGGGCCTGCTTAACGAGAACCAGGACGTTTACTACGGACCGAGCTCTGTACTTCACTACGTACCTAACTTCCCGTCTGAGTATGTGAATATTTTGTTTGGTATTATTCCCGTTTGTTAAGGGGAGGGCGATTCACTGTTAAATAATCGCAGATCAAGGGTCTGCTTGAATTATAACAATAGACTAATTTTAAAATCTTTTACCGTTGAATATTCGAAAATGCAGCATGAGCACCATATTGAGCTTTGTCCCTTCAAGTATTGTTAGATATGACGTTTCAATCTTTTATAGCCTAATAATATGAGTAACTGTTGCAGGGAGCACAGGTTGCTGATAGTACATGGTTTAATGGATGAGAATGTGCACTTCACCCACACTACCACCCTTATTAGTGAGATGATATCTGCTGGTAAACCCTACGATCTACAGGTACTTACCCTGCTTTTAACCCGCTATATTTGATTCTTTTAAGAAATTATTTGGCTCTGATTCTGTACGTGACTTTACTGAAATGTCCCCTCACTTTGTTCTTATCACCAAGAATTCAATTTAGATTGACGTATAATTTGTACAATAACTCATGCATATTATCATAATAATATGTACGATCTGTAATTCTTCTGTAATCAACATTTTCTCCCTGAAACTGAAATGTAATCTAACGTTGAGTGTGATATCAGGTGTACCCAGAAGAAAGGCACGGAATAGGGCGAGGAAACGCTCCAGCTCACTGCGATACAACTATAGCTGTCTACCTCAACAACCACCTAAAACATAGAGATTAGCACTTTCATTTTAGTAGTCCTGTCTTGAGAGGTCTTCCTACTTGCACTTGAGATGAATTGTAGCGTTAGGAAATTGTCAATATGTACCCTTCTTGTTGAATGTTTTGCCAGTGAGCACACTTTATTGGTGACGTAAGTCTACCGTACTAGATGATTTTTAGCCGGGAACGGGGATTTTGCTAAATTGGTTGTTTTCTTTGACAATTTGTTGTTTTTCTTAGCTTGAAGCGGTAATTATCCAGTAGCGGGAATATAACCGCCGCTGAGCGAGAAACAAGACTCAGACATCAACTCTTAGCAAGTAACCCGAGTCTGAGTTGCAACATTATGGTAGATTTAAAACAGTAATCGGACGATTATTGGCCGGGCACCGAATGATCCTATTCGGCCATACTAGTTGTGGAAGACACGATAAAAATAATAAATAGACATTTATACATCGCTTTATAGCCGAAAAGAACTCAAAACCCAAAGATTCAGTTCAAGCCATCTGAAGCGATTCATGAACATGTACATAAGCACTAAGAATTTTATGAACCATGAATTTATACGAGAAAGTTATTATACGATGACCCTTTAATGTGCAATATCATTGAATACATTTCCAAAAAGGTCTTAAGTTTCATTTTAAACATTAGAATATCATTAAAAGTTCTCTTCTTTTTTGTCTTGAAAGAAATACAAATTAAATAATAAATCGTCCAAATTGGATCAAGGTGATAATATAAGACGTGAAACACGTTTATATATCTAATAAATAGATTAAGATAGTTTGAAAGCACTTGTTAAACACGAGAAACAAGGTGTTGTATATCCATCTGCATCATATATGATATGGTTTGAACTTCGCCGTCGACACACAATAAAAAGACGACGAAAGATAAAATAACTTACATTCAGAGTAAGAAAAAAGCACACTTACTCTGTTCGACACAAAATATTTTGGGACCTTGTGAATTTGTTGATGTGGTTTTGATATTTCTTTGATATGTATTTGATAATTATATCTTTGCTTTGTTGTTTGCGTTTTTCATTTACTCATAATTAATCTAGTATGGCTTAATTATCGAGTCTTACTCCAGATTGATACAAATATCACAATTAATTGTGCTACCGTGCTTCAACGATGACCTTATAATTAAAACTATGAATCGATTACTTATGTTTTTATGGAAGTGGTGTATGTATTACTAGCGATATAAAGATCTACCATTTATTTAGGAGGGAAAAGTGGGCACGATGAACGTCCAGAATTTAGTGAATAAGAAAAAGAAGGCCTTTATCGGGATGACGGCGCCCCCTGGCTATGTGCCAGGATTAGGTCGAGGTGCCACAGGTTTCACTACGCGGTCTGATATCGGTCCAGCACGTGATGCTAGTGATATTTCTGATGAGAGACACAAGAACTTCAACAAGGGAAAGTCTGGAGAAAGGCAGGAAGAAGAAGAAGAGGATCTTAATGAGTCTAATTTTGATGAGTTTACAGGTTTGTAGCTCATACCATTTGTTAGCCGATTTAATTTTTCGGGTGTTTTCTCTTGACGTATACAAACCTTAACAAAACCAGTTGCAGTTCTGTAAGATTTAAAAGCTCTTACCAAAGTGGAACTTGATAATCTTTGTTCTATCAGTTAATCATAAAGTCAGCTTCAAATTTACAACACTCTTTACAGGCTTGCTTCTTTAGTCAGAGGTAATAAAACTATTATCTCCTCAACCAACAATAACAGTTTATTACCTATTAATAAAGGATATTACAGGATACGGGGGTAGTTTATTTGGAGGTGGAGCGTACGATAAGGAGGACGAGGAGGCGGATATAGTCTACGAGAGTATAGACAAGCGCATGGACGAGCGGCGCAAGATCAAGCGTGAGGAGCGTCTCTTAGAGGAGATCAAGAGATACCGGATGGAAAAGCCCAAGATTCAGCAGCAGTTTGAGGATATCAAGAGAGAGTTGGGTACGATGAGCTCAGATGACTGGTCTGCTATTCCTGACGTCAGCAATATGACACGTACTAAGAAAAACAAGGTAGGATTTAGTGAGTTCCTAAATTGTCAATGTTTTCAAGCAGTACTTATATTTCCCAAAGCATCTGTCTAAGACACCATACTTGTTTAATTATTTCAGTTCGGATACCATGACTCTAATTTTATCTCAGAACACAAGAGCAGAAAGGTTTACCCCTGTACCAGATAGTATGATAGAGAGAATGGCATCACAGCAAGGCCACAACACATACGCTTCTAGTGGCCTCCAATCAGCTTTACCTGGCGCACAAAGTACGCTCGGTATGAAGACTCCCGCTCCAGGCGAACTTGATTTACTACAAATCGGAGTTGCCAAGAACTCTATGTTGGGAGTGAAACTTGATCAGGTTTGGTTTGGCCCATTTTAACATGTTCCGTAACATCATACTCGCAGTATCATTGTCATTATTGTTACTTGTTAGAGAAAAATAGCAACCATCACTTATGAATTTATGAGTTATCATTATTAAATACCTCCAAACACAGGCTTCAGATAGTGTAACGGGGCAGACAGTTGTAGATCCTAGAGGTTATCTTACAGATCTGAACTCCATCACACCTAGAAATTTGGGGGATGTTGGTGACATCAAGAAAGCAAGGTTAGTACTTAGTATATTGTATTTAGCAAGTATGACATTTTACATTTAACTCATCAATTTATATCATGACTTTTTGCTCTGATAATACAACCATTTTAAAACTCGCTTCATTAAAATGTGTTTAATTTCAGATTGTTGTTACAGTCCGTGACAAACACAAACCCTAAACATGCTCCTGGCTGGATTGCAGCTGCCAGATTGGAGGAAGTAACAGGAAAACTTCAGCAAGCCAGAAATATCATCGTCAAAGCATGCGAAGTTTGTCCAAATAACGAAGATGTATGGATTGAGGCAGCACGACTTCAACCGTCAGAAATGGCTAAATCAATCATAGCCAAAGCGGTAAGTATTCTGTCATATAGTACAGACAGATCCGTCTGAAAAAATCGATCTGCCGACACACAAAGCTTACAAAGGATTTTTGACGTTTTTGAGTCCTAATAGATGTCCTTTATGGCTGACCAACTTTTCCAAACTTTTCCACGTGTCTTAAGGCCACTTTTTGCCACTTTACCACTTTTTACCACCTTTCTTGTTTGTCGAATATCTTTAGTTGTGAACATCGTAAAAGGTTGCGGATCAATCGAGTGTGTTTATATTACTATAAAGAAAAACTTTTGTTCTAGCAATTTTTACGTCAGATTATCAGTTAATTGGATAATTATCAATTAGCTAATTAGCAAAATTCTAAAAAAAATTTATTGGCTCAAAATGATCGGAATAGCTTAAAACACGGAGAAAAGTAGTTTTTAGAAAAACTTTGAAAATTTTTCACTTACATTTTTTTTCGAGACTTGGAAAAATTTCGAAAATTTAAAATATTTTTTTCCGCCAAAAGAGATCAAATCGCATGAAACGCGGAGAAAAATGCTTTTCAAAAAAACTTAGTGAATTTTTCGTTTCAAGAATACTTAAATCACCAATATTTGTAGTTGGAGTTCAGTAAATCGCGGCAGATTTTAGTAATCAGGAATTACTAAGTGGAAAGGTCTGAAACTGAAAAACGTTAACCATACGATATATAAGAGTTTCATAACTAATTACAATACAGCCTTATCAATTTTCACAGAAACTGCACCAATGGCTCAGTCAAGATCGAAAGACGAAACGATAGCCTGCTGTACTATCATTTTATTGATTTCAATGATGAATCAGTGGGGTTAAGATAATCACATTTGTAATAAATAAAACCTCTCTGTACCGTCAATTGTGCTAATCTAAACCGGCCTACCTGGATTACCAGACCTCTTCTTTTCTTCAACAATCAAACCAAGTTGTTCATATAGCATTTGGTGGGCGATGTAAGTACTTATCGAGCTGTATTCAATCACAATACGACACAATACGTGTATATTATATGGCTCTTGATGAGGTTTATGAAACGCTTAAACGGTCAATACCGTGAGAAACCCGGTATAGAGACGTTTTAACAGTTTATCACGAAAACTTATACTTGGCCTCATGGCTCATTTAACAGTTCGAGAAGGCAAGAACAGACCAGGGAAAACAAAGGAACAGCCGGGGGTCCAGAAAGCAAGTGTAAATTCACCTACAACATCAACTGTGACTTGTTTTGTATTGTACTGCATACCGCTTCATTTGCTATGCTGTTATAAAATCACCCCCATATGTCAGGGGTCGGCTAAAATTAAAATCAAGCAAGGGTAACATACGGCAAGGGTAAAATACGGCAAGGATAAGATTTAGATCCGAGCGTCGAGAGAAGGGGTAGTAAAGAACCGGTAATAATTCATTCAGTAAAATGTTCCACGAGAGTCAGGATATTTTGAAATTGCTAATAGTGACAGATCCTGATCAGGAGGATTGTTAATGTTATTGAGGATGTTGATTTGAAAATCTGGACGTTGTGAAGTAAAAATACAGATTCTTCCCGCAGGATATTCGGGGGCCCATGATGATCAGCTCGGGATTAATGTGGGACAGATCGAAGAGCATTGAAAGAGCGAGTTGACATTTTTTACGCTTTCTGGTCTTTTCTTGCCTTCTCTTGAGCTGTCAAAGAGTCATGAGGCCAAGTAGACGTTTTCGTAATAAACTGTAAAAACCTCTCCATACCGGGCCTCTCACGGAGAAACGAGAAGTGTACGGTATAGAACGTTTCATATACCTCATTAAGGGCCATAATAAAATATACACGTATTGCATTGTGTCGTATTGTGATTGAATACAGCTCGATATAATGTACTTACATCGCCCACCAAATGCGATATGAACAACTTGGCTTGATTGTTGAGGAAAAGAAGAGGTCTGGTAATCCAGGTAGGCCGGTTTAGATTAGCACAATTGACGTACAGAGAGGTTTTATTTATTACAAATGTGATTATCTTAACCCACTGATTCATCATTGAAATCAATAAAATGATAGTACAGCAGGCTATCGTTTCGTCTTTCGATCTTGACTGTGCCATTGGTGCAGTTTCTGTGAAAATTGATAAGGCTGTATTGTAATTACTTTATGAAACTCTTATATCGTATGGTTTAACGTTTTCAGTTTCAGACCTTTCCACTTAGTAATTCCTGATTATTAAAATCTGCCGCGATTTACTGACTCCAACTACATTAATATGGTGATTTAAGTATTCTTGATAGGAAAAATTCACTAAGTTTTTTTTGGAAAAGCATTTTTCTCCGCGTTTCATGCGATTTGATCACTTTTTGGCGGAAAAAAAATTTTTAAAATTTTTTCAAACCAACTCAAAAAAATTTTAATAAAATTTTCAAAACCCAAAAAAACACTTTTCCCCGGGTTTAAGCTTTTCCGCCAAGCCCAATTTTTTTTTAAATTTTTGCAAATTTTCAAAACTTTAAAATTACCCCTTTAACAAAAACCGAAAAGCCCCCCAAAAAGGGCCCCAAATTAACACACCCCGGCCCCCCAAACCCCCTTTTCCCCTGCCGGGGGGGGGGGGGGGGGGGGGGGGGGGGGGGGGGCCTCCTTAGCCGCTTGTCTCATAAACCAAAAGCGGACTTTTGGGGACGGGGCGGCCCCATTGGACGGCAAACCCATACGGCAAAGGCGGCAAGCCGGGGGGCCCAAGGCGCAAATCCCCAAAACAAAAAAAAAAATTTTTGTTATAAAAAGTTTTTGTCCGCGGTCCCAAAACAAAACCCCTTAAAAAGGGGGGCCCCCCGCCCCCAAAAGCCCAAAACGCAAAAAAAAAATAACAAATGCGTTCCTCTCATCCTACTCTTCCTCCATCCTCCCCTGGCGGTCTTCCTGATCGTTCCTCAGTCCTCTTCCTCCTCCCTCCTCAGTCCTCCTCCTACTCCTCCTCCTCGTCCTCAGTCTCTCATATTTCCTACAACAGTCCTACTCCTCCCCAGTCCACCTCCTCCTCTGAGTCCTCCATCTGTCTGGGTCCTCGCTCTTCCTCGTTGCATCCTCCTCCTCTTCGCTCCTCGGTCCTCAGTCCTCCGCCTCCTGGGTCCTCCTCCTCGATCCTTCTTATCAGGTCCTCCTCCTCCCCAGTCCTCTTCGCCAGTCCCCCTCCTTCTCCTCCTCCTATTGCAGGCCTCCTCTTCTCCTCCTTCATTCTTCTCCTCAGTCCTCCTTCTCATTTCTCCTAAGTTCTCCTGCTGGCTCTCCTCCTGAGTCCTCCTCCTCCTCCCTCTCAGTCATCTCCTTCAGTCATTCCTCCTCAGCCCTCCTCCCAGCCATCCTCCTCAGCCATCCTCCTCAGTACTCCTCAGTCCTCCTCCTCTTAGTCATCGTCAGTCCTCCTCCTCAGTCCTCCTCAGTCCTCCTCAGTCCTCCTCCTCCTCCTAGGTCCTCCTCCTCCTCGTCCTCCTGGGTCTTCCTGATCCTCCCCAGTCCTCTTCCTCCTCCCCTCCTCAGTCCTCCTCCTACTCTTCCTCCTCGTCCTCAGTCCTCCTCATCAGTCCTCAACAGTTCTCCTCCTCCCCAGTCCTCCTCCTGATCCTCCTCCTGGGGCATTTTCCTGGGTCCTCCTCCTGGGTCCTCCTCCTGGGTCCTCCTCCTGAGTCCTCCTCCTCCTGGGTACTCCTTCTCCTCCTCAGTCTTTCTTCTCCTCCTCAGTCCTCTTCCTCCTCTTCCTCCTCCTCCTCCCTCTCAGTCATCCTCCTCAGCCATCCTCCTCCTCAGTCATCCTCCTCAGTTCTCCTCCTCCTCCTCCTAGGTCATCCTTCTGGGTCCTCCTCCTCCTCCTCCTCCTGGGTCTTCCTGATTCTTCTCCTCCCGGAGGACGGACATAGGCGGACATAGGCGGACATAGACGGACATAGGCGGACATTAATGGACACCTAAATTGCTAAATAAAATGTTCAATTTTTGCTGTTATAGGGGGATCATGTTTTTTGTCCGTTCGGTACCCTATATTTTCAAAACGGACAAAAAATAGAGCGGACAAAAACGGACAAAAATGGACAAAAACGGACAAAAATGGAAATAACATTTAGATGCTTCCTCCTCCTACTCTTCCTCCTCCTCCCCCTGGGTCTTCCTGATCTTCCTCAGTCCTCTTCCTCCTCCCCTCCTCAGTCCTCCTCCTACTCCTCCTCCTCGTCCTCAGTTCTCCTCATCTTTCCTCAACAGTCCTCCTCCTCCCCAGTCCTCCTCCTCCTCCTGAGTCCTCCTCCTGGGTCCTCCTCCTGAGTCCTCCTCCTCCTCCCTCTCAGTCATCCTCCTCAGTCATCCTCCTCAGCCATCCTCCCCAGCCATCCTCCTCAGCCATCCTCCTCAGTACTCCTCAGTCCTCCTCCTTCTCAGTCATCGTCAGTCCTCCTCCTTCTCCTCCTCCTATTCAGGCCTCCTCCTCCTCCTCCTCAGTTCTCCTCAGTCCTCCTTCTCATTTCTCCTAAGTCCTCCTCCTGAGTCCTCCTCCTGAGTCCTCCTCCTCCTCCCTCTCAGTCATCCTCCTCAGCCATCCTCCTCAGCCATCCTTCTCAGCCATCCTCCTCAGTACTCTTCAGTACTCTTCAGTACTCTTCAGTCCTCAAAATGTTTGTCCGCTAATGTCCACCAATGTCCGCTAATGTCCACCAATGTCCATCCAAGTCCGCCAATGTCCGTCCAAGTCCGCCAATGTCCGTCCGAGTCCGCCAATGTCCGTCCGAGTCCGCCAATTTCCGTCCGAGTCCGCCAATGTCCGTCCGTGTCCGCCAATGTCCCAAAAAACACGTCCGTTGTCTCATAGAATCAAAAAAGGACAGGACATAGGCGGACATAGACGGACATGACACCCCCCCTTCACAACTAAAGATATTCGACAAACAAGAAAGGTGGTAAAAAGTGGTAAAGTGGCAAAAAGTGGCCTTAAGACACGTGGAAAAGTTTGGAAAAGTTGGTCAGCCATAAAGGACATCTATTAGGACTCAAAAACGTCAAAAATCCTTTGTAAGCTTTGTGTGTCGGCAGATCGATTTTTTCAGACGGATCTGTCTGTACTAATAATAGAAACATGTTTATTGTTATTTGTTTACCTTATTACATTGTTAGAATAGGTTATTATTGTGCAAGAATTTGTTTTGTAAACATGTCTTATTAGAGGAATTCTTATCGTGTGTAAAAATGTAAAGGAGTCAATTTACAGGTCAGGAATCTGCCACAAAGTGTGAAGATTTGGGACAAGGCAGTACAGTTGGAAGATGACACCATGGCAAAGAGGCGGGTGCTACGTAAAGCGCTAGAGAACATTCCTAATTCTGTTAAATTGTGGAAAGATGCTGTTGAACTTGAAGAACCAGGTCTACCGTCTTTTAGTTCGCATTTTGCCTGGTTTTGAAAATGGTCGAAACATTCTGAACATCTGCTACAACAACAAATACATAACAATAATAGTATCCTGTTATTTTGATAATATTATTTTATTCAGGTGATGCCCGGATACTGCTAGGAAGAGCGGTGGAATGCTGTCCTACTTCTGTTGAACTGTGGTGTGCTCTTGCTAAACTTGAAACCTATGAAAATGCCAGGAAGGTGCTGAACAAAGCTCGACACAAGATCCCAACAGACAGGAAGATTTGGATTAATGCTGCTCGTCTTGAAGAGGCTAACAATAACAAAGAAATGGTGCACAAGGTGAACTATATTAACACTTTCGGAAAGACTTACTTGCTTTTTGTTCATAAACAAAAGGAATTATTGTACGTATGACAGTTGCCAAGGGCCAGTAAAACCAAAGCTTTCACCAGTATTTTGTTTAGAAGAACTACTGGGATAATTAATATTTAAGTGTATTATTAATTAAAATAGTTTAAACTTGTTTTCAGATAATAGAAAGAGCTCTAACATCCTTGAAGGCTAATATGGTGGAGATAAACAGAGAGCTGTGGCTGAAAGAAGCTGAAGAGTGTGACCAGGCTGAATCACCTATCACATGTCAGGCTATAGTCAGAACTGTCATAGGTATGATTTGAGGATGTTATGATTCAGAATTTTATTCAGAAGAGGGAGTGATTCGTGGTATTTCGGCTTGTCGCATTGGAATTTGTTATAAATTGTAACGCGCTTGTCTTAATGCATATTTCTATAACATTTGCTGCACGCAAGATCTTTTACGCGCATTGTAGATTTCATGTCACTACACTTCATGCAGCAAGATAGCAGAACTGGATTGTTTAGATTGGCGGAGTTTGTTTCGACAAACGGCTAATTTAGCCCTTAAAATAACGGAACCGATAGATATATTGCTCGAGTGCTAGTAAACAAGGTGCCAATTTTTCAACTTCGATCCATCAGATAACAAATCTCTCTGTTCAGCTATTGGTGTTGAAACTGAAGACAGAAAGCACACCTGGATGGAGGACGCTGACGCGTTTACAGCTAACAAGGCGTATGTAGCCGCACGTGCAGTGTTCGCTTACACGCTCACAGTATTCCCTACCAAGAAGAGTATTTGGCAACGAGCTGCGTTCTTTGAGAAGAATCACGGTACTATAGAACAGTACGAGAGTTTGTTGCAACGTGCTGTCACTTACTGCCCTAAGGTAATTAGAAAGTCTAATTTACTTTAATGGAGTTCATGGGAAAATGGCAGGCTCTGACCTATTGCTCTCGATGTAATGATATCATATTTGACATACTTATGCATTCACACAAGTTTACTTAGTAATTTTAATATAAAATGGTTCGCTGCTTGACGGTAACTGACTGATACTATACACAATAAGTAACTAATAACGCGCAGGCGGAAGTATTGTGGCTGATGCGGGCTAAGAGCAAGTGGCTTGCTGGAAACGTTCCTGAAGCCAGGTCCATTCTGAACGATGCTTTCGGAGCTAACTCCAACAGTGAGGAGATATGGATAGCTGCTATCACTCTGGAGAGCAAGAATAACGAGCATGAGAGAGCTAGGAAACTACTCCAGAAAGCAAGAGAAACAGCAGGTTAGTTATTAGACTGTGGATACACTGCTGTCTAAAGAGCAGTTATCAACACTGAAGTAACATAATGAGAGCGATATAAACCTGGTGGACATTAAGATATACCGGCTTCTTAAGATATCACTCATAGATATAACTCGTGCAGTAGATGATGAGATACTAACTGTAAACGTTAACAGGAACAGCCAGAGTGTGGATGAAGAGTGCGAGGTTGGAATGGTGTCTTGGTAACCTTACTGGAGCTCTGCAGACTATTCAGTATGGTCTTGGCAAGTTTCCAGAGTTCCCTAAATTTTATCTCATGAAAGGACAGATAGAACTTCAGCAGGGACACAAAGAGAAGGCACATAACACATACGATCTGGGTATAAAACGTTGTCCTAGCTGTATACCACTGTGGGTGTCACTGGCAACGTTAGAGATTATTGACGATAACATTACCAAAGCTAGGTCTATTCTAGAAAAAGCTAGGGTTAGGAATCCACTGAATGATGAACTGTGGGTCCACGCCGTCAGACTGGAGGTAAAAGCAGGTAATGACAACCCGGCCCAGGCACTTCTTGCACGTGCCCTCCAGACGTGCCCAAAGTCTGGGATCTTGTGGTCTGAGTGTATCTTTATGGCACCGCGGCCTGCAAGGAAAACGAAGAGTGTTGATGGTCTCAAAAACTGTGACAATGATGCTAATGTAAGTTATTTTGGTATACATTTAATGTTGAGCACTGCAGATCCTATTTGAATGTTAATAATACAGCGTCATGCTTGTTTGGAATTCATTTTCAATAGTTAGCTGTTAACATTCGAGCCAACAATAATTCTAATCCTGTATTTTCACCTCTCCAGATAGTTCTGGCTGTAGCTCGTCTGTTCTGGCTGGAACGGAAGATGAAGAAAGCAAAGGAGTGGTTCATCAAAGCAGTTAAATTGGACCCAGATCTAGGAGACACGTGGGCAACATACTACAAGTTCACAGCTGCGCACGGTACTGAAGACGAGCTCAAAATTCTGGTCAGTTTAAAATATTGAAACTAGGAACTAGAACATTCATTATGTTATACTCTTCAGGATATTTTGGTACCTATTAATGCGGAATTCATAAAGTTCACACCATGACACAAATATAAATTACCCAGGTAAACAAGTGTGTGCAAGCAGATCCTCACCACGGCGAATACTGGTGTAAAACCTGCAAGTGTATTGACAACTGGAGAATAGACGGGAACACTGAGCTAATGTTGAAGCTGTGTGCCAAGTCTCTCCCTGAACTAAGGTAAGATAGCTGGCAGCTTTGTAGTACACATTTTGAATGGAGATACAACGGCTTATTTTGAGGACAAACATTTGCTGTCATTGAGTCGTTTTCAAGTTTTCAACATTAGTATTTAGGCCCAATTTTGACTATGGCCCATTTTTCTTCAGGTTTCAAACTGACAAAATATTATTTTCAGGTGAAGACATCAAAGCATTATGCAGCAGAAGTTGCATTGATGAACTAATTTGAGAAGACGCTAATCAGAACATGCTTGTACATTGTACAAGTCCTACTACAGTACTACTGGACATAAAAAACTGAGTTAATTAGATTATCCTGAATATTCTCATTACATTATCCTGATTTGACTAATTCTTCCTACCTTTGACAGGTCAAATATTAGCTTATTTATGAGCAAATCGTTTTAATATAATATATGCAACTTATTCCAATGACGTAACGATTTTTGTCTACGGACGGAAGGCGGATGGTATATTTATTAACCTTTGGTATTTAAACAGACTAATGTTGTGTACAGTGTACACACTACACGGTATAATTTTATTTGCTTTTTTATCGTAACTACGTCGTTTTCTTGATCTAATCGAATGGACCAAACAATTGCTGAGGTGAGATAAATTGTGCTTTTGCTAAAAATCACAGCATTTATAAAGAAGCAACATAATCTGTTGACATCTAACATAATCCTCTCGCTATCGGATAAGTGAACAAGTTCATCAGCTACACTGTGGACAGACAAAAGGGGTTGTTCACATATTACGTAAGCCGTTATCTGGCCATTTTATACCCTCTTTCCTCCACTTTAGACATGGCTGTTGTGTAGAAACTACAGTTTTCCCAACTCCCCTCCCCCTGGCTTACCTAATGTGTGAATCCCAATAATAACAATGTGTCTCATGCTAGATGTCCAGGAACGGTCCTGTACTGCTGGTCCTGATGGGTAGCTTCAACCCCCCACACATGGCCCACCTCCGGACGTTGGAGATGGCTAAGGATTTCCTTGTTCAACAATCACAACGCGTCATTGGGGGTTAGTGGTCTCTGCAATCTCCTTTTAAATCTCTGGTCAATATCCGGTCACTCTATTTTGTTGTTGATCGTTTGTTCATTGCTATGCAGGCAACCTGCGTTATAAAAATTGTGGTCACATGGACAATGAGGATTTCCTATTTACATGGCGTGCAAATCTCTCTCCTCCCAGGTGTGATGTCTCCAGTGCACAACGACTACAAGAAGTACAAGAAGACTCTGATAGACTACCAGGACCGGAGAGCCATGGTGGAGTTAGCAACACAGAACACCTGGATAAAGTGCAGTGTGTGGGAGGGCAAACAGAACTCCTGGACTCCTACCCGACAGGTATGACGTCATATCAATCTGAATCATTGTCTGCGCTGTTAGACAACGGATTACATTAGGGATCTCGGGGATTTAAATAAGTAAATTTAAATAACTTACTTGGGAAATGTGAGCTCAATTTCACATGGTATATTTCATTTCTTCCCTCTTCTTATGGAAGAATCCATCCTTTCAGACGTTGGAAGCGCTACAAGAGCAAGCTAGAGTTGAGCACAACGAGCCTAACCTAGTGGCTAAGCTAGTTTGTGGAGCTGACTTGCTGGAGAGCTTTAGTGTACCTGGTTAGATCTTTTTAGTAAACTTTCTTTAATTTTCCTACCTTCTCTGTGTCACCCATTATTGGATGAAATATATTATTACTGAAAGATTTAATCTGTTTGGATCAAAGATCTACCAATATTGCAATTGTTTGGGGAAATTGGTAGATCACCGACCGGCTATAAGCCGGTTATAAGCCGGCTATAAACCGGCTTATAGCCGGCTACAATTTTTATAGCCGGCTATAAGCCGGCTTATAGCCGGTTAGTAGCCGCTTACATTTGTTGTTGAGCGACGGCTATTAGCCGGTTATAAGCCGGCTATTAGCCGTTTAGGTATCGGCTATAAGAAATTCAGTGAAAACGGCTATTAGCCGTTTAGGTATCGAAAGTGGTTATAAGCCGGCTTATAGCCGGCTACAATTTTTATAGCCGGCTATAAGCCGGCTTATAGCCGGTTAGTAGCCGCTTACATTTGTTGTTGAGCGACGGCTATTAGCCGGTTATAAGCCGGCTATTAGCCGTTTAGGTATCGGCTATAAGAAATTCAGTGAAAACGGCTATTAGCCGTTTAGGTATCGAAAGTGGTTATAAGCCGGCTATAAGCCGGTTATAAGATATTAACTCAACTTCATCGTACTGAACGATAGTCAGGAGCCGGCTATAAGAAATTCAGCGAAAACGGCTATTAGCCGGTTATAAGCCGGCTATTAGCCGTTTAGGTATCGAAAGTGGTTATAAGCCGGCTATAAGATATTAACTTAACTTCATCGTACTGAACTGAGTTAATATCTTATAACCAGCTTATAGCCGGCTTATAGCCGGCTTATAACCACTTTCGATACCTAAACGGCTAATAGCCGGCTATAACCGGCTAATAGCCGTTTTCACTGAATTTCTTATAGCCGGCTCCTGACTATCGTTCAGTACGATGTAGTTGAGTTAATATCTTATAACCGGCTTATAACCACTTTTAATACTAAAACGGCTAATAGCAGGCTTATAACCGGCTAATAGCCGTCGCTCAACAAAAAATGTAAGCGGCTACTAACCGGCTATAAGCCGGCTTATAGCCGGCTATAAAAATTGTAGCCGGCTATAAGCCGGCTTATAGCCGGTTAGTAGCCGGCTTATAGCCGGTCGGTGATCTACCAACTGGCCATTGTTTGATATTAAGAGATAACATCTATCGTGAACCCAAACGTCTGATTTCTAGATTTGTGGAAGTGGGAGGATATTGATAAGATACTGGGTAACCACGGAGTTTTACTATGTCGGAGGCAGGGCAGCAATCCAGATCAGTTCATCTTCAAGTGAGTTTTAACTTTTTTAAATGCTTTCTTTTATAAAGTTTCGTGGGGCTGGACAGAATGCTTTAAAACATCACAGTACCATTAATACCATGGGCCTAGCTGTGCTTACTATCAGTGACTGAGTGACCTGTTAGAGGTGTTCAATGTTAGTCTTAGTGAATTAAGTCATTGCTCCCCCCTCACAAACCCCTCCCCCCTCACAACCCCCTCCCCCCCCCCCCCCCCCTCACACCCCCCTCCCCCCCCCCCCCCCCCCCCCTCACAACCCCCTCCCCCCCCCCTCCTCCTCTACAACCCCTCCTCCCAGACACGATCTGTGCTACAAACACCGCAGCAACATCAAGATAATCTACGAGCCTGTTAACAATGACGTCAGCTCCACCGTACTGAGGACTTTGGCTGCCCGGAACTGCAGTCTTAGATTCCTGACTACAGGTGCTGAAGCAGAGAAAAACGACTATCAGCACTACTGATACTTGTTTCTCTCTTTCTCTGTTATGGCTCATTATTGTGATCTATTCGTGTGATTCATGTGACTTGTAATACTTTGTTCGTATAGTTTAAGTGTGGAAGTGGATATTTTAATAGTGATATCTTACTACTACACTTAAACTTCTGTTAATGGTCCATTCTATTAATATCACTCTTTACAAATACTGAATTTGGTTCAAGTTTACTTGATCTGATAACTCATACAGTCAGTGCTTAATTTTTGGTGTTTTTTTGAGCTCAGACATTGTAGCTAAATACTTAAAATGTCGCTCGAAATCTTGTACACAATATTATTGTGAACTACACATGCTTTATCTTGCAGACTCCGTGTGTGACTACATATCAGAACGAAAGTTATACTGTCCTGACCAATAATGTGCTCATTGGTTTCGTAACTGTTTTCTCCCGGCACCGATGCAAATGATGAGCAGATACCCTTATATGGGCATACTATGATGTTAGGATGACTGCATCTTATAGCAGATTGTTGTTTTGAGGTTTACTACAATTATAGTGATTTAATTCCGGAGTATTTACCAAATAGTTACAGACAATTTATATGAGTTAGGACGATGGTGTGTTTTGAGTGTGTTCTACTTTTATAAACGTTCGTTATCTAACACAGCGTGATTTTTAAGCATATTTCAAAATTCCAATTTATACCTTAATGTGGATATCGATTGATCTTTTTGTTGATTTTTTGTTTTTCATTGAATATTTTATTGCGATTGCACTTTTTACCTGAATTTAAGATAAAAGTTTAAGGAGTAAAATGTTATAGTTGTACAGTATCATACCCTGCAATTGTTTAACATTTAAACCAAATATATTAGTGCCTTATTTTTCTGAAAAATCAGTCATTACTGCTGAATTTATCCGATAAACAAATAAACAGACAGAATCCTTAAGTATGCTTTTAGTTTTACGCCAGCAAGGACAGAAACGGTGATGTTCAGTTTTCCGTACCATTACAGCTTACAGTGTGTTGACTCTCCGTATTTATTTGAGCTCCACCCTAGCTACACGAACAGCTTAATCAAGTGTGCTCTCCTCTGAGTCTGACAAGTCTGCTCTACTCGGTGAGGAACCTTTCTCCACCGCTCCCACTAAATCGCTCGCCTAAATTTATAACAATTCTTGTGAAAAGGCCCTGAGGGTATTATGAAACTGAAAGCAATTCAGATCGGTGTATTTTTGGACGTTACCTAGCTTGCTATACTAGTCTATTGCTCGCTCCTCTGATATCTCACGTATCGGTATAGGAACTAGGAAGCAATTGAAATCGAAAATAGCGCCGCGCACAGGGACTGGCGTGCACGTGCCAGGTAATTTTCGACGCTGACATGACTAGCTAAACCCCCCCCCCCCCCCCCCCTGACGTAGGCACAGGGGGCCGGGGCAGAAACCAGATTTTCGATCGCAAACGCTGCTATTTGTCGCCAAAAGCAATTAACCTCATGACACATAACACATAACAGTTGCTTTCGTCAAGTGTCAACGGGTGATACTCGTAAAATATTTGTTCTGCATATATAATTATATATATATGTACAGTCGCGTCGACGAGTCCAACTCGGCGCGCGTCCTGGTAGGTTGTCAACCTACAAGTCCTGGTAGGTTATAAACCTACAAGTCTATATGCTATAGCTGATAATCGCTTCTTTTGCAGATCACGTGTTCAGGAAGCTTGAAAAGAACGGGGCCGCGCCACGCGCACAGGTTGATACATGTTTCGTATCCAAATATCAAAAATAAAGTCCGATTTCCTTCATGGTATGCCCCTTTTTCCGCCTTCGGCGGCGCGCACTTCGCGCGCGAAAAGTGGCATGCAACGTATGTCATTACCTGAGGACCCCAGGCTTTAATGTTGGTAAATAGAGATTAGGCGGAATGACAGGCTGAGCGCGGCCCAGTAACGTATGTCAACGCACAGGCTAGGGATTGTTGACCAATGACCATTGCTAATGGTCTGGCCCGGCGCGCGCTACTTCGTAGCACTTACTGCATACTGGGCCGCGCTCAGCCTGTCATATCATTCCGCCTAATCTCTATTTATGAACATGATAGCCTAGCTGAGGTCCCCAGGTAACGTAGCACTTGATGCATGTTTCGTATCCTTCGGCGGCGTGCGCTTCGCGCGCGAAAAGTGGCATGCAACGTATGTCAACGTAGCACTTGCCGTCAAGAAGAAAGCGGCGCGCGCTACTTCGAAGAAATTTAGACGAGTAACATCCGTCAATAGGGATTGCACTTGCAGATTGGCGAGCCGAGCCACGTAAAGCTCTTTTAGCTCTCGTCGTTGTTCTCCGGGCAGTTATAAAAAACTGTAAGTGTACTACTCACTACTCCATCTCACAACTGGGGTCAGCTCGTGGTTATCAATTATAAATTTATTAATTGATAAGTACAACTGTTTCGGATTGCAGGTTGCAAGCCTATATTTTTTTGTTTATAATTATACTATGTCGAGGCGGAAATTGTACAGGAGACATGGAGACGTACCAGTGACCACCTACTCCACAATTGACAATGGCATCTGATACAATACCAATAGGGCAATGCAATTATATGCGAGTGAACAGTGGTACTGGTATGATTCAGGATTCTAGGGTTGGAGTCTGAAGACAGTTGGTATTAGCGATTTGCAGAATACTTTTCAAAATTTGGGCTCGGTCATATCGGCCTTGAAGTTGAATCTCGTCATCCGGCACTGTAGTGCCACTTATTGATTTGAACAATAGCTGAATAGCATAGCATTAGCAAGACCGACCGCCGGACCGCACTAGTCTACAAGATACTGATAATTGCACAGCTTTACCCTAAACAATAAACATGGACCATTCATTGAGTACAATTAGACTCTGTATTCAACAATACAATTATCACCGTCCAGTCCTGCCCCCTGCATACTCTATAATCAATTTGATGTGATAGACTAGCATCACATTTGGTTTGTTTGACTTCATAGTGAATGGACAGTAATACTACGAAACATGACAGAAGTTCCTGCTATTGACTCCGTTACTCAAGCTGATATCACTATCAGTCCTCCACACACAAAACTCGAGTTTTACTTGCTTCAAGCATACTTAAGTCTGTGTACGGTTTTGGTGATAGCCTTGAACTCACTGCTCTTATTTCTCCTCATCACTAAGGTAACTGTATTGTGGAGCCTAGAATAGTCACTCTTTCGTTTAAATTCAAGTCTAATCAGAAGAAAACGTACTGATATTTGAGCAAAACATCCCCGGTACGTAAACCCAAGCTCTATAGAAAAACCTCCAACTTTCTAAACCAAAATCCCTTGTTTACTACAGGTGAAGATCTCCAGATGCCCCTCATGTATCCCCGTGATGTTGATGTCTGTTTTGGGTCTGATAGAAGGTTTGTGTTCCACCCTACCTATCACCGTATCTCTGTACGGGCTGCTGGATCTTGAAAACCACCCCACCCTCTGTCCGTCAATGGTTGTGTTGCAAGGTCACGTGATTGTTGTCTACATTGTGAACAGCTGTAACGTGGCTCTGGAGGTAGGTTTGGGACTATGTTATCTTATTAGGTAATCCACTTTCTCGTATCCAGAAAGTTAAAAACTTTCCTCCGAGCAGTGACACCCCACCCCTGAACAATAAATTTCCTGCACGTCAGACTTGTAGACTCACGTACTTGTTTCCGGATGTGGGTCCGCTTTAGCAAGCAGCCAGACGAAGTACGAACACTATCGGCTCAAAGTTTTGAAGTTTGCCACCCACCCAAAACTACAAGCAGACTATTTTTCCAGAAATTCTTCGCGAAATTACCAACATTTTTCTACAATCTTAAACTCCACTTTTCCTCCTCCAGGCAGCGTGGGCCATGTCACATCGGTTCACATATCAACCGGGACACGGACTGGTCTATCTTATCTTATCTGGTGTTATCTCCCTGATCCTTCCTATTCCCTTAACTGCTGTCCACCTCTCCGGTGGTTCACAAGGCACGAGGGGAGCAGGTCCTAGCTTCTACCTGAACAAGAGAGTTGGACAGTGCGTGAGAGACTGGGGTGTTGGAAGTCGTGCTGGGTTTCTGTTTTACGTCTCATTCTCTTTAGTGCTGGATGTGATGGTTATTGTGTGTCTGTTCGGTTGTTCTGTGGTAGTTTACGTAAGTTTTAGCACCCAATTTATAGCAGAAGTAGAACACAATTGATGCAAAATCTCTTTTTGACAAATCTATATCGTCGGTTTTAATACTTAACCAAATTTATGACCAGGTCTACATTTGTAAGAGCAAGAAAGAGTTCCACAGGGAAACGTTCCAGGATAGCAAAGCAAGGAAAAGAGCGCAAGATGTGGGTATAGCAAAGTCTGCAATGTTCGAGACGGTGGGAAGTGCGTTACCATGGTTACCAAGTGTCCTGGGAACAGTAGCACTGGCAACTAACAGATCCGGCATGTCACTCCTTCTGGAGATTGGGACATGGTCTTCTCATTCCCTATACTGGATATCACCACTGCTCTGTCTCATTCTCAACACTGCTCTTAAGAGAGCTCTTGGTTGCCTCCGGATGGACATTGCCAAGATTCTCAGGCGAATGAAGAGCTGATCTGTGTGCTAGACGTTGAAATACAGCCTTCTTGATGAAGATAACATGCGAGCCAGGAGGACACTCATCATTATTTATTACCATAAACTGACCAAACTCGACAACATTCTCAATGTTGGTAGGAACATAATTTTCGTAAAAACAATGAAAACTCATCGATATTTATTATGTGTAACGTCAAACAAATGATTAAAACATGAAGAAAACAGACAAGCTGGTAACATCTGTAATACTATGACACTGGAAACGGGAGTATTAAAGTCTCTTAAAAATTATCTTATTGCAGTCCAGAATGAACATAAAAATCAGGAAACGAATTAAAATATTATGTATTTTAAGCAAAAAGTTTGACAATGAATTATTAATTGTTAAGATTAATAGTCTTGTAGCAAATGGAATTTTCAGTTCATATTATTGTTTCATTAATGTAACCGTAACCGTTATTGGAAGTTTCAGTTAAAATCCGTCGGTTAGAATTGGTAACCACAAACAAAATACTGGTACATCAATATTACTTGCATGCATACAAATCGTTTAATATGTATGTTAATGAATTATGTCATGATACGAATACAAAACAAATTCTATTCAGTTCATCTCAGAACAACCGATTACAAGTTCGATTAAATTATATGCAAATAATTACCAAAACATAGTATCCAAATCATCAAAGAATTCAAAATAAGCCCCTTTAAAATCATAAAATATTACCAGGAATCGTCATTGTACGTGATTCTGTAGTGTTACCGATGAAATGATTATGGAGTTTCTGAATGATACCTGTGTGAATGATGTGATATTACTCTAGCGTTCTTATCATATCAATGAATGAACGGCCCATGCCAATACAGATTAACTTAAGGGTGTATTTCTGATCACCTCTGATCACTTTTCTAAATCCCAACCCTGCTCAATATTCCACAATGATAAAAAGTTTTAAAAATTTCATCAACAAAATATTATACTGATATTACAAAGAACGCAACTTGGAACTGGTAAATCATTCCAGCAATTTTAGAAAAAAATTGCTTACTGCATTATTTAACAACCAATAAAGATTAAAAAATGGGGAAATAATCGGATAATGAAGCAAATCAACACTTGTGGGCCCAGGAAACCAATATATATAATATATATTAATATGTATTTATTGAGGTACTCATAGTAAATACTGTCTGAAGCGGTTTGAAAAGTTACTGTGAAATATCTTAGAGCCTTTTTTTAATTTTATCGGTGATTTTAAAACTTCACAGCCCGATGATTGGTGTTGAAGTATAAAAATATCAGCTGACGTAAAAAAAACTCCACTGTACTACAAAAATGAAAAATGCGGATAGCCTCTAATCCTAAAACCGATTTCGAAAGATTTGCAAACAGGAATACTGCAAGTTATTTGAGTGTATTTAAAGAAATGAAACTGTAAAAATTATCCCCTACAAAAACTCAAAACTGTCACTCAGCGGTAGAACCAAGCAATTCCACCAACAAATAGTTAGTAAAATATGCTGCGTGCTATACCACGAGGACAGCCCTCTAGGGCCATTTTCACACCTGAGATTATCTACTGGCCTGATATAATGATATAACTACCCGAATATAACTAAGTTCCTGAGTACAATGATTATATTTAAATTAAATTATATACAACAAAAAACGAGTGAGAAATAATCAGTAAAAACATTAAGTTAGAGCCCGGATAACAATTACCAAACAGAGGCACCCGTATTTCATATGGTGACATTTTAATTATCTAAAATGAATCATCACAAAATTTTCCAATCGTAGAAAAGTAGAAAACAATGGATTCATTCTTGTTGTACTGACGAAGCGAGATGAGGGTGCCCCCAAGAGCTATTTCACAAACCGAAGCTAGATAGCAACATGATACAAAAGATCAGCGAACATCAAGGTAAATATGTCACGACTCGATTGCAGCGTCAATCATAGCGTCAATCATGACGTCATACGTGACCAGATCTGCGCCACTCTGGCAGCGTCTCTTGGGGAGCAGGGGTAGCCCGTTACTGTCAGTCAAACTCAGATAGTCCGGCATACTCATCCTGTTTTTCTTATCGTACGCCTTCCCCTCCCTCTCCGCTTGTCTGGCGATCTCCTCGCTGGCACTCTGCTTGCTGTATTGCTTGTCCGGACGAGGAGAGAGAAGACGTTCTATTATCTTCTTGATGCTTGCACAGATCTTCTGACCTCCTTGTCTCAACTTTGTGTGATCTTTTTTCTGTTTCCGGCCCTGCTTCGTGTCTGAGGGTAATCAGATTTAGGTGTTCTGTGTTTATGCTTTTTATAGTAGCCTAGATTTAAAACGTACGGTTCTCTCATTGTTAAAGCGTGACCATGATAAAGAGGTAAAGGTTCGTGCCAGAATTTAGAGATTCATCAAGCAGTATCATAGTTGAACTGAGAATACTGTTTAAGATAAGAGTTGAAATTAGTAAATATCACGTGACACTACTAATCCTAATATCACGTGACACTACGAGCCTAATGCTAATATGATGTAAAGCTTACGAGCGTGGCGATAAACCTTCTTCAGAATCAAACAACTGATATATGTTAAATTTGAGCCTATCGAAAGATAGATGCTTCAAAAGCAAAATAATCGATGCTTTGCTTAAAATAAATAAGCCCAAGAACTGACGACACCGAATCGTTTCTGTCGTCAATACATCCGATATAATGATTCTGTCGTTAATACACCCAGATATAATGATTCTGTCTTCAATACATCCAGATATAATGATTCTGTCGTCAATACATCCAGATATAATGATATCTGTCGTCAATACATCCAGATATAATGATATCTGTCGTCAATACATCCAGATATAATGATTTTGTCGTCAATACATCCAGATATAATGATTCTGTCGTCAATACATACAGATATAATGATTCTGTCGTCAATACATCCAGATATAATGATTCTGAATCAAATACGAAGCAAAACTGCTTTCTCAGAACCTCAGAATACTAGCTTTAAAATAATTGTTGCTAATGAAGAAGATGTTTAGAATGTTCCGAGAGATTTTTTGTTTTTAAATTTAGAAGTAATCATAATCTACTTTTTATCTACGATGAGATGACATAATTGTCATATGACTATGCTTTATTGCTTTAATGGGTTACGAAAGATATCGCATCTTGTCTTTGGGAATTTAATCTATGGCAGTCTTGCTATAGTTACCCAGATTTTGTCTGTATTCGGCTGTATCATTGTCTCTGAAGTTTCATCCAAATTGAAAAACAGTTGGATAAATAATATGACTTTATATACGTGGCTGAATGACCACTTAAGTATCAGTTATATTATTTAATCAATTTATTGGCATTATCCCACATTATGATTAATGAAACTATTTAAAGAAAAGCCGTGCAGTTCAGTATTTTCAAATGAGCCGTAAAATAAAGATCTACGGCCATTGAGAAACTAAGTCACACAATGAAATCAGATTAAAACTGTCCTCTCTTAACTTAACTTAAAATAGGCTAGAAAGCTGGTGTCAAGGCATACCAGTATCTGGAATATGGTATGTGGAAAATTCTAATCGCTAACAATAATATTAATATAGATCTGATAATCACAATCAGAAGTGTTAACTCGTTGAGTCCGAATGGGTAGAATCATTCACGGCACACAATTATTTGTTGAAATGTGCTGAAGACGTGGGAGTGAGTTGAATCACAGAACAAAATAAGACAGCAAATGCTACAGATTTTTACCACTATCGGAATACATCGTCAACCAATGATGAGTCCTCCTCCTCATCCGCTAAAATGAAAACAGTTCCAGATCTAAATTAACAGTTTCCGTTCTTCTCGAACAATTCTATTTGTGGAACCCAAATATTTAGTTAATCAAGAGAATCAGAGGAGTGTACTAAACTCGCAGCTTGTGAACTCACCTATGCTATTTGGCGTTGTGTATTCGGCCCAGGACTGGGTTTGCTTTACTTTCTTGTTACGTTTGGTAACAGTGGTATTACTTCCAGCACTACGAACCCTGTCACGAGTTTGTTCGACCGTGAAGAAGTTTTCTGCCTCATTTCTCACCTGAGGTTAAAGAATTTGTGTTAATAACATGAAGCTGCACCGTCAAATGGGAACAACGACAAATGGTACAAACGACAGTTGTTGTGATGCTGCAACGTTGATGATTTTTCTAAAAAGGAAAAATCCGCGTAGATTTCGTTAGCAGGTGGCAATTTTGACAGGTTATGTTCATGCATTTGCAGAAAAACGGGACACTTCTAGATATTTCACAGAGCTGCAGCTCTCATGGTCACACACTATATTCACACGCACACACGGAGAAGGAATGATTCCTGTTGCAGTCTTCACACCCATATCACACATCATGCAACTTAGCTGGGCTATTACCGGACTCTGAAATTGAGCCTGTGATGAAATATATAATTGTATGTGAATTTAAAGTTTCATACCTTCCACCAATCACCATAAAGATAATCCTACGGCTACACGGGTTAAAAATGTGTTTGAATCAGGAGATACTGTAAGGTAAACAATAGTCTCACCTCAATCTGGATAACACAACTCCTTACATGGACACCCCCATTAACAGCACTGCGTCTGAAGCTCTGGCTGGTCTTCATCCGGTGAACTACCCGTTCAGCGATCTGACTCTGTATCTCACAGTCACCCACCACCCCACCTGTAACTGCTTCTACCTCGTGCTCTAGATCAGCAGGACTGTACGGACCGTCAGCACTCAGCTGGTCGTACGGTTCAACAGTGGGTTCCCCTTCAGCACGTGGGGCATGAGCCGCGCACATATCATGTGTGACGTCATCAGCACGTGTGCTGTCAGCCGCGCAATCATGGTCATCTGGCTGAGTAGTTGGGGACAATGAGTTAGCGGTTGTTATGGTTTCTGGTGTTGTAGAATAGTCAGTTACTTCACCGGGAGTGATTATCATCCCCCTTCTCATCAACGAGTCGCTGAGTTGAACATCAAAACCAGTCGACAGCTGAGGAGATTGGGAGTCTGGACGAGATAGGATTAAAGGGTCGCTGTTGTTATCTTCTCCTTTCTTTAGCTGAAACAATATAGTGGAATTAGTTTAGATGGAACGCCAGCTGTAGTCAGTAATAGCTGATAATCTATTAAGTAATTTAACTGAACTTTAAAGTCCAAAAAGATGATCAACTGGTTTAATATGTTTGGGCAAAACAAGATCGAAGCATGGCCAATATTAATTAAACTCCGTAGGAGCTCCTCTATTATTATTGATACGATTAAACTTATTGGTCCTTTGAGGAATCGTCAATAATGGGAAATAATGGAGTAGAGATACACTTTAGTTTGTGAATTAAATTTGGACCAGAACTTTGGAACTAACACATTTAGCAGCATATTTAAGCAATAACCTCTCTAAAACCTCAACAGATTTCAGTCTCTACAAAATGTTTCGTGTATTAACAGTATTAATAGTAAGCGCTCTGGTGTTGTCAGTGCTCTCTTTGGAGCAACACGTGCCAGGAGGTGATCAGGGATGGTGCTGGGACCCTTGGGACAAAGTGTGGCACAAACAGGGTGAGAGTTTATTGTTTTGAAACTTGATGTGTAACGAAATATGTGCCGTTTGAAATGGCGCTGTTTCTTAAATCGGAATATTTAGATCATGTTTGGTTTTTTTCTATCAATAGAAAAAAAAATAGCTGTCGTGGTATAGATAATAAATATAACAGGTGAACAATGGTACGGAAAATGTAGGGTGTGCACATGTGATGGGGAGGGTGGTACTATGTGTAGTGATATTCCCTGTAGAACACCACAGATACCTGCTTCCTGCCCGGATACAGCCATACTGGTGAGTTGACCGCTGATCAGGACTTTAAGCAAAAATTAGGTAAATACTAAACAATTTGATCACCATCCCAAATACTGGCATCTTTATAAGTTTATAATATCTGTTCTCAAATCTATTAAATGCTCTTTTTAGGTTAACGATGACTGCAATTGTCCAAAGTATGTGTGTCCTTGAGAAGGAGGAACAAGACCGGATGACTTGAAGGGCAGTTTCTATAACCTCTCCATTTGCTTGGTTCAAATATAGCCCTTCATTTCATTTTTATTCAACTAAAGAAGAGTTTTATTTGTAAATTCACAGTGAAACCCATACAAATCACCGTCTCTCCTCTTCTTTAATACATTGTAGGCGGACGTCGTGAAGGTCGTGAAACCACGTGACACTGCCCACTGGTATCCTAGCAGGTAGCTGAGGAAGAGCCTCCTCCGGTTAGCCGGTATTACGGTTAACAGGAAATATTGTCGAGCATGTGTTTTAATTCGTAGTCAATAATTCTCAAATTCATATTTCTGTACACCACGCCTACAGGCTGCATGTTGCGATGTGAAAATAACATCAGATGTAAGAGCCCGGAAATTCATTAGAACTTAACTCATCTCCTGTAATAATATAATAATGAACCGTGTAGGAGCCCCTGCATGTTGTACACACACACACGGGCAGGTAGTCTCAGTAGAGTGTGGGAAATTTAGAACCACTTTAGAATACTCTGTCTGGCCAGAATTTGGAGTGAGCCCTTTTACATAAAGCCGCTGACAGTAATGCACTTTATCAATTAAAGTAGAAAGCCATTGGAATTTTCAATGAATATAAAGCTTTGTGTTTTGTGGTTATAAAAATTATAAAAACCCTGCATACGAGTTCGGTATTCCCAACCCCGCGAGAAATCCAGACCCAGACCTAAACACTATACTCAGCCTCAAACAGGTTGTATCGAGATTCGATAAGGACCTCGCACCCCCACCAAAAGCCATACCACCTGTTGAGGAGACTATCAAACAACTTAAGTGCTCCATGGAAGGCCTAAAACACGATCTGAGGAAGATACACATCCCCAGGAACTACCTTAAAGAAGATCTCGAGAGCCTAACAGAGGCGAAAACGCGGGAAAATGTACGGATTATCCTGACCGACAAAACCAACAATATTGCTATCATGGAAAGAGAACTAGTGGAGCAAAAGCTAGCTGACCACCTGCGAGAACCTGCTTACAAACTATTAGAAGAAGATCCCACTAATAAGTACGAAACAGCAGCAAACAACCTGTTTACCGACATATGCATAGATCTTGGAATAGATGTCACGAAACCCCCCATCAAACACGTTCTAAGCAACTACTCGTCGGCCCCAGAACTCTACCCAATGGCTAAGGATCACAAGCCCAGCTTTCCCAACACCAAAGTTCGAGTAGTACAACCTATCAACAACAGTGCTATAGAAAAACTCGACATGGTAGTGAGCAAAGTACTGATACAAATTAATCAGCTCCTCCCAAACCGAGTCAAAAGTACAAAAGATTTTCTCACTAAGCTCCGCAACACTTATCCTGACAACATACCGTAACCAGTAGTGTCAGTTTCCAAGCATCCCTTGATGTGGAGAACATGTACCCTACTCTACCCACTGACGAGAGAGCTTTACAAGTCATACTATCGTACATTGAAGATTACAAAGAAAATATTAACCTGTACGGATTTTCGCCCTCACATATTGTCTCCATGCTCGAATTTGTCCTACACCACACTTACATCAAAGCAGGCGACAAATACTACCTACAAAAACAGGGTATCGGCACTGGGTCCCATAGTTCAGGCGCATACGCAGAAATCATCGTCGACTACACCTACAATATAGCAGCAGAAAAGAGTACCCACAAGCCGGAGTGCCTTTCCACGTACGTTGACGACGCCTGGTTACTCTGGAAGTCAAGCGCCGAAGACTTCGAGGAATTCAAAGCCAATCTGAACTCTGTTTGGGCCTATGTAAACTTCACCAGCGAACTTCAAGAAGATAGAAAGCTCATTTTCCTTGATCTCACCATTGAGCTAAAAGAGAACAATGAAATATCCTTCACTCACTACCAAAAACCTACGGCTTCTGGAAGATATTTGCATTACGACTCACACTGTAGTCTAGTCACCAAAACAAACATCATCAGGTCGGAGACTAGGCGGATAGTTCTCAACTGCAAATACAAGGATGACAGCTGGGCATACCTCGAAAAACTGAAAACTCACCTGATCGTAAACTCCGGATATCCCAAAGAAGTCGTGACAAAACACATGTTACAAGCTCTAGAGAGACTAGAAGTACTAACAAGCTCGACCCCACGAGAACCCCGGCCAGAACCCGACCTTATCCTGAAGATACCGTACATTAACGAGAGCTTTACCAGGAGAGTCAACTCATCGATCAAGCAACTGGGAATAAACGCCAGAGTAGTGACACAGGCGGGGAAAGCTGTCAGGAGCATCATCAGCACACCATCTAAAGACGAGATATGCGAGTGCGAACTCTGCAAGGCAGATCTCAACTGTACCACCCGACACTACGTGTACAAAGCAAAATGTAAGAAATGCGGAGATCTGTACATAGGAGCTTCAAGACGACCTATTAGAGGTCGAATCTACGAACACGAGTCTAGCTTCCGACTCAACAACAGCAGGACCACACTAGGATACCACGCTGCTGAACACCGCAGAGCAGACGACCCACACTACACTCCCATATCGGGAAAAAGAGACTTAGCAAAATTCTTCGAAAACTACGAATTTAGCATATCAGAACAATGTAAGGATACCTTAGATACCTTTATAAGAGAAGGCTTAGCAATAGAACACACTAAACCGAAAATCAATAACATGTGTGGAAACGGTTTTACAGACTAATTTCTAGTACACTTTTACTACGCTGATCTGAGGGTTGTAAACTTTCTCTGTTGTGATTTTTTCTTATTGGTAACCCGATTTTTCTCGCATGGATGTGTACACCCCTTTTCTATAAATTTTGCTGAAATTTTCTTCCTAATGGTAACCCTGATCTTTGTCGCATGTATGTTTACTTTCCTAACCCAATTACCACACTCTCTGATTCAGAGATCAAACCTCCCCTTTTCAGTGTAACCTTGATAAAGTCCAATGCGTGACGAAAATTTGGTTTTACAGTTTACTTAGTTCCTTGTTTCACTTTGTTCGCAGTTTCATTTCGGGTGACGTGAAGTCTAAAATGAAAGCTAAATTCGTCTCAAACTCACGCTCAGCCTTAAGATCTATTTGATAAAAATTGTTCGCAGAATGTTAGCCAAAATCTTGCGTCATACCTAACATGCCCATCCAAATTTTAAAATGTAGTAAAATGGAGCGACTAAATGTGTATGGTATTAAACCAATATCAAATATCAACGTTATCGCTTCCTTCCACAAATACGCTAGTAATCTTGTTGAGGGTTAATATTATGTTCCTATCTGTAAGAAATAATTGAAATTTATGATTTAATACTTTAGAACTTAGCAACAGTAATATTTATCGTTGAGTCTGCCCACAATTCAATGTTTTCGCTTCCTTCCACCACTGCACTAGTCATCTTCAGGACAGTATATTCTTATCTGTAATTACTCAGATGCAAAATAAATGAAATTTAGACTTAAGAGCCCTCTAGAACTAAGCAACGTGGACAGATTCCTCTAAAACCTACCATTTCTAACGTACCCCTTACAATTCGTTCGCCAATATTAAATCATGATCTTGTTCTTTAACATTTTAAGTCTGCTGATCGTGCAATCTTTTGAACCACAGGGCCTTTCCTAAAGATGACAGCTATAATGTTTGACACGATAAATAACGATTATATCGAATATTATCCAGACTGGAGTGGTCTGACAACTGCCGTGTCTGCTTGTGGGTGGATAAAAGACTTAGGGTCATTCCAGTTCCCTACTATATTCAATTACCATAGTAGTGAGCTGGTAATGATGGCAGATGGACAATACACTCGCATCTTCAGTGTAACTCGACACTTGAACAGCGGGTTCCCTGTGCCGAAAGGCACTTGGTTTCTAGCTTGTATGACGTGGAGTATGTCATCAACAGATCAGCGATACTACGTAAATGGGAAAGTTATCGGATCGCAGCAAACAGCATCGGGCAGATCACTAAAGACCGGAGGGAAACTAAGACTGGGAAATTGGGGTGGAGGTAACAACAATTTTGGGGGACAAATGATGTACCTTAACTTTTACTCCAAAGAATTTTCCTCCAGTGAATTAGCTAGAATGGTGCAGAAAGGAATGTGTGCTCATATCGTGGAGGCTGACGAGCATGAGGCATCTAGAGTGATAAAATGGGAGGACCTGGTGCAGCTTGAAAGGAGTGGAGCAGCCACGAACATGTATGTAGGAGAATGTGTTGATCTTCTTAACGAGCAGTCCGAGCGGAGGCAGAATGAAACTGCTGAAGAATTGAAGGACTCCCGACAGCAACTCGAGAGCGTTCAGTCAGAAAAAGAAGAGATAGAGGAGGAACTCTCGACTAAAGTCAACGAGCACGCTTGTAAAGGTCAACACTAGGCTTAATTCTACTGTCCGTGAGCTAGAGGAGATGTCGACCAGCCAGAACCGAACGTGGGACTGGAATATCTTCCTCGCGGGAGAATTCCTGAACCGCACCTTCACGACTGAAGACGCCCAACTTCTTCGCTCCAGCTGGGAAGATGCAGCAGGTACAAGGATAAATTCCTAGTAAAAATGGCGTAAACAGCAGCTAATCAAATTTTTATCAATACGGTATAAGTCATCGAATTATGGTTATGACATCAGCATTTTGTTTAACTAATAAATCAGTATTTTAGCAACCTTTTTTCGCTCTTATGAGTGGGTCGATCATATAACTCTCTCTCTTCGTTCCCAACTATCAAATTATAAATCAGTATTTTATTCACATTAACACACCAACTATTTCAGAGAAACTCGTCGGATTAACTATCACAGATAAACTGATCAAAGCATTGGACTACTTCGACTCTGATGAAGACAGGCCCTGGCTAATGTTGTACTCCGAGAACTACTTCAACAAAGTTTTCACACGGAAAATGGCAAAGGGATTAGCAAACGTCTGGGATGGCATCAGTGGTTATTACTTTATTAGAAATCTTATTCAAATTCTTTCTACTTCACACTCACACAGCTGGAATAAAGCTTTAAAACATTTCTCAGTAGAAAGCATCTAGACATTTGACTAGGTATTCTAACACAAATCAGGTTACGATAGTTTTTATATTTTCTAGTTTGTACATTTCGTTATTTCAGGGAAGTTGGTGGGTGTACCGATGACAGAGGAGGTGATTGAACTCCTAAATCACGTCACGGACAAAACAAATTGTGGTTTCTCCTGATGCCACATCTCTCCTCGGATACTAACAAGGAACTGCATCACATTTTTCCCCCGAAAATTTCACCAATTTTAAAGAAACCTACGCTTTTATTTTTTATTCTTTTGGCAAGCATGATTGTTGTCTAAACAAAATGGATACGGGTATATGCCTCACAGAATGGCTAGCCTCACAGAATGGCCAAATTTGTAAATGTTTTTGTAACTAATTTTTTATATAAGACTGGTAAGTTTTGTGGATACCATATGAAACAAAAGTCTTCTGGCAACACTTCCTGTGGTGAAATCATTAACTAGGACCACATTTTCTGGCATAAATATGACTGTTTATGTAAAAATTTTGAGCACTGAAAATTTGTTTTCAAATTTTTGAACTAAGTTTGCATTTTGGTGAGAACTTCTGGCACCAGTATGACAGAAGATGTTTAAAGAATAGTATTCATCTAACAAAACGAACATTGTTCAATATACGAAGAAAAAAATGCTAAAATGGCTACACGCCTCACAAAATGGCCAAAATATGCCTCACAAAATGGCCAAAAACTCCTTTTATTGATGTAGACATGTTAGTTTTGATGGTCTAAAGTATTCACAAGCTATTTATCATACAATAACACCCCAGATGGAGTGTTTTTACAGCCGAATGAAGGTTATAAATCATGAAATCAGGGAATATATGATATTCCCTGAATAATATGAACAACGCCTCACAATATGAACAACGCCTCACAAAATGGCCATTTTTGGTGTAGGAAATTATGCCCTTTTTATTCAGTTCTAAGAAATTTCACCTATATGGGGGTGTTAACAAGGCATATTTATACCAGCAGCATGCCTGAAACAAGAGCCAAAGGTTTTAGAAAAATAAAATTTTCTCGTTTTCTTTTTTTTTTGGCCATTTTGTGAGGCATTTTTTTTGTGAAATAATTTTTCACAGCTCAGTTTTTTCGTGAGTTTTTGGTTATTACCCCATTCCTTAATAGGTTTTCTAACAACGTGTGGTGATAGAAATTTAAAAAGTATCTCCATCAAAAAATTATAGAAATTCAGATTTGGCCATTCTTTGAGGCATGTTTTTTTGGAGGAAGATTTTCCGGCCAATTTTTCTCAAAGAAAAAATGGTTATGAGATTAAATCAACCCCCGGGAAGAAAAATATGAGTGTCAACTTAGCTTCTTATGAGATAAAAACTGGAATAAAGTGTGTTTTGTGATTTTGAGAGACCTTCCTTTTGTTTGGCCATTCTGTGAGGCATATACCCGTAATACTTTGATATAAATATTTAAAATTCCCATTGAATCTGATTAAGATGGTCAAGAGATCTGACCAAGCTCGCAAGGTTCTTCCTTGTAATTTAGCCAGGATCTATATATTACTCAGTGCTATCGAATTGATTTAATACATTTAATTAAACGACACAGCTATTTGTTTTCGCTTTGTTTGTGTCCATGAAATTGAAAATAAAATATTGCATCAAACTTCTGACTGCTGACGCAACCAAAATTCGCGCCAAACGAAGTTACTCTAAATATTTCTAGCATGTGTTGCCAAATTTCAGAATCATGCCAATTAAAATGTTAGAGAAGTAGAGATACATTTTGAAACTAGAAAAATGGCTACATTGGAGAAATCTCGACTGAATATTGTGCCTGAAATTCAATTTAACATACATACAGTATAAGCGATATCCTTCAAATAGCCGCAACTTTGCTCGATCAATAAATTTGGACTTGGAGGTAAAAAGCATCTAGTACATCTCGATTCTCGCTCTCCTTATTTCAGATCCACGATTCACCACATCACATTAAGATATAATGTAAGATAAAATAGCATTTAGTTTAACCTGGACAAGTAGGTCGGGTTGTATGACCCTGTGGTCGAGTTCAGGAAGAGGAGATACCGGATCACAGCACCCTCCTCCACTAACTTTGTTCCTTTCCATCCACTCTGACACTTTCTCGTTGCCATCTATCTCTCGTACCATCGCACTGTACTCCTCGCTATGTGCCTGAAATGTGGTGGTATTTAGACATAAACGTGTCTGTAAAATAAAATGCGTTGGAGGTTGGAAACACCTGGGCTTTAGGGTGGATAACATGTTATCGGTTTTATTTGGTACATATTAATCAGCCGAGAGGGGGAGGGGTTCCCAAATGATTATGGTTGATTACGGTGGGGGAGGGGGGATTTGGTTGTTGATTACGTAATACAAATGTTCTTTTTTACCCTCTAGGATAATAACAATTTGACAATATTTTAATTCAAATTCCACTCAATTTCACTCTGATAGTGATACAATTTAGGAATGGATCGGGTATCCGGCTGCTAAAGTAATAAGTTGGGAAGGTGCTTGGCCGGATATCACAACAATGATTTCGGCTCATAATGATCAGGGTAGCATGAAACGTAGAGAAGTGTTTTCCAGGGAAAAAATCGAAAGGGGGAGGGGGGTCAGGCCATGATTACGTAAGTTTGCTCTCAGGAGGGGGGGGGTTGATTACGGAGGGGGGAGGGGGTCAAAATTGCTAAAATATTGATTACGTAATATGTGAACGACCCCTTATGACGTCACATGATGTGATGACGTCACGTGATGTTATGTATGGACTGACGTATATACTTGGGGACTATGAAGCATGATAACATTTGGTATTACACGCAATTGTCTTAAAATACCTTGTTGGTGGATTGAACATTTCATTTTCTTATAATTAGTGATTTGTCAGATGAATTTGCTTTAGTTTTTAAATTTATCTTTATTTTTAATTGATTTCATTGTTCGGGGTTTGTGCCTTTTAAAGGAATACATTTATATAATGTTGACACTTAACATCAATAATTGCTGATTAATTAAATTCTGTGTAACGTAGATTTCATTTTCCAGCTTAATTTCCAGCTTTAATTTTTCGACTTAAAGTTAAGGCCAGAGGGGGGGGGGGGGGGGGGTGGGTGGGGTAAATGCTCAAAAAAATTTACAAAAATATTATTCATTTTTTGGTGACAAAAATTTTGCTGCCATTCACATATTTGTAAGTTGTAACTGCTTATTAACTATTTTTGATAAATGAGGTTAACCGATTCTTACTAAATTACCTAAACAACATTGAGGTTACTAAAATTGAGGTTAAGATGTTAAATTTTCACTTCAAGATTTTTGAAGTGAAAGTGCTGATTTACTTCATTTTATCTCGAGAAAGTGTTGAAAATGAGGATAACCATCACATTTGGTACTGTAAGAAGTATTTACATACGATTCTTACTTTTGTTATGTACCACATTCACAATATCGCAGTGAGGTATCTATTTGTATTCCAATGCCTCAAATATGATCATGTGACAAAGGTGATTTGGACTGACCATATTTAAGTAGAAGAGTTCACCCGTTAATGGCTAAAAATGAGGTATTACAATGTATTGATAAACCAATCCCAGTGTAATATGGTCTATAGCGAGGTTAACATTTAACAATCATATTTTTACTACTACTACAAGATATCATGATAGTTAACCTCATTTTTTAGACACATTTTGGTTTATGATATTGATTTTCCCGACATAAAGTATCTCAATAAACATCTTCTCACCTTAAAGCAAAAATTGTATGGAGACGCTACTAAATACGGAAAATAATGCACAATTTGAGATTTTGGCAGTGAAATAAAAACACTAAAACTCGTTTTACTTGAAATGGCTATTTCCGTAGTTTATCTCTATCTGGAAAAAACATATTTAGAGTTAAAGTTAAAGTTTTACATGTAATTACAGGTAAACCTCAAATTTTGGCGCGCAATCTCTCAGCAACGCAAGGTCAGGTTTTTATGCGGTTTTTTCTACTTGTTCATCTCCAGCAGCTCGATCACATATGTGAAAACTGGAAAAATTGTCATTTATCCCCCCCCCCCTCTGGCCTTAAAGCTGTGACCAACTGATTGTGTTTGACCATTTTGTTTTCTGACAACTTAAAAGCTCAAAATCTATCATGCCCCACACAAACCGTTTTTAACGTCCTACGTACACTAAAAACCCGATTCACTGTACAGTGTACAGTTTGCGGGAAAACAAAATAGTAAATTGGGGTTTTACTGTACGTGGTTTCGAGAAAAAAGAAATCGTCAGGAACCTGTTCAGAGTGTGACGTCATGGTCGATATTGTGAAATCCTTATTAGAGGCCATTCTATTTCTACTGAGCTGCATGGGGTTGACTATTAAGTTTCTATAAAGGAGGTGGTTGGCAGAACCACCTGTATTTAATTGCTATTGTTAGAATAGTATTCTACCTATTCACAAACTTTATAATGTCATTCTATTTAAATATCACTATGATTTTAGCTAATGATAATCTACAAGCACTTACCTGGGGACCCCAGGCTATAATGTTCATAAAAATATAATAAAGATTCCGCCGAATAAAGCACCTGCTTAAATTGCCTTTGAAATTCGATCATTAAATCGATTCAATGATTTCTCTCATAACAGCAGAATAGGCATTAGTGCCATAATATATTTGATTTTGTTGCCATCACAAATATACATAATATACTAAATACTAATACAGTAACAAGTAGTATTTCGTGAACTCTCGCTTAATTAAAGGTTCATGTAGCAAATTATTCGCAGCTAACAAACCTGATAATGAACACACCTGGCTCAGATTTGAAATCTTTGACAATAAAAAGCGCGAGCGTAATTTTTCTTTGCCAATTATACATGACTACTATACATGTGGTAAGCCAGTTTCTGTGCAATTCGAAATTGCATCGATTAATATCAGGAATCGACCGGGATTGGCAATTTTGAGCTATCCCGGTCCCGGTCCCGGTCCAAGTCAAATGCTGATTTATGATCCCGGTCCCGGTCCCGGTTAATTCGGGATTCTTGGTCCCGGTCCCGGTCCCGGTCCCGGTCAATCACTCAAATTTGCCGGGATTTTGACCGGGATCTTTTACATAATTTCATTCACTGTGATTTTAAGTTTTTCCTTTCATTCATTGTGAATTTCATCTTTAAACATCCTCTGAGCCAAATAAAACAATGTTTAAAATTGCTAAACAAGTTTGAGTAACAAATTATGATCACTTCGAGATGGCCAGGCCTACTCTCATGCTGTCTATATGTGATGATTAATTCTGAAAAACTAGGGACAACTGGGGAATGATCCCAGAACCTCGAGATTTCGCGTCTCTTGCTCTACCAAGTGTAGTTGGTGTTGTACACACTGCGCTGATAATGATATCACGTTGAACGTGTAATGTAAATATAGTGTGGATACATGCGAATATATATCCTAAATAACTAACAAATTATGATCATGAATTAACCAGTAATCGACCGGAATTCCCGGTACCGGGAATCCCGGTACCGGGATTGGCAATTTTGAGCTATCCCGGTCCCGGTCCCGGTCCCGGTCAAGTCACATTTTTCATCCCGGTCACGGTCACGGTCACGGTCCCGGTCACGGTCCCGGTCACGGTCCCGGTCACGGTCCCGGTCAAATGCTAATTTATGATCCCGGTCCCGGTCCTGGTCCCGGTTGATTCAGGATTCTTGGTCCCAGTCCCGGTCCCGGTCCCGGTCCCGGTCAGGCCTGAAATCATGTCCCGGTCGATTCCTGATTAATATTTTATTTTTGTTATTTTTTATTTAGGGGTCGTTCACATATTACGTAATCAGCGGATGGGGGAGGGGGTTTAGTTCCCAAGTATAGTTCCAAAATGATTGTACGGTGGGGGGTTGGGGGGATTTGGTTGTTGATTACGAAATCTTTTTTACCCTCTAGAATAATAACAATTTGACAATATTTTAATTCAAATTCCACTCAATTTCACTCTGATAATTATGATAAAATTTAGGAATGGATCGGGTATCCGGCTGCTAAAGTAAGTAGTTGGGAAGGTGCTTGGCCGGATATCATAACAATGCTTTCGGCTCATAATGATCAGGGTAGCATAAAACGTAGAGAAAAGTTTTTTCCAGGGAAAAAAGTCAAAAAGAGGGGAGGGGGGGTCAGGCCATGATTACGTAATTTTGCTGTCAGGAGGAGGGGCCGGGGTGGGTCTTGATTACGGTAAATTACGGAGGGGGGAGGGGGTAAATATTTCTGAAATATTTATCACGTAATATGTAAACGACCCCTATGATAGAGGAAGCGATTTATAATAATACATTTTCGACAATTTGTACCGGTACCCACAAGACACCTGGCCACCAGAATATAGCATGATCTGTGGTGGTAAAATATATATTTGCAACAGTAACATATATACAGATATTGATAAATAAATGTAATCTACAGGACTGAAAATATAGAAGTGGCAGTGGCAGTAAAATCATCTCTCATTTGGAGACCCACACCACTATGCGACGTTGCTCATTTATCTTGTTCGCCTCACTCTTTCTGCCATATTGCGCCACCAGGTAAATAGATTTTAGATAGGAGTAAATAATTTGACACAATTTGAGAGGGATCTAAATTTTAATGGAAAAAGGATTTTGATTTAGATAGTTTATAGTAGATGCAACAAAGGACTCTTAAATAATGATTAAAGTGAGTATAAGGGCATTTTACGAAGCAAACTTTACAGGTACGGGTCTCGTAACGATCAAATAATGGACTTAGACATGACGGTGAGATTAGTGAAAGCCTTCCTTTGTACTGGTGACAAAAACTGGCTTGACAGTCCGGTGGACTCAAAGGAAACATATACCCACTCACATGCTGGCTTCTTCAGAAGGGTAATTGATTTACCGTTACACTGTTACAGTTATGAATATTTTTACAAAACTGATTATTTAATTAAATCGTGCACTGTTATTGAGTCTGTGTATTCGAGTCCCCTTAATTTTACTAGAATTTAACATAACTCCTTAATTTAGCCTAACTTAATTCGTGCATTACGAACTAACAAGTATTACGTTCAGGTGTATAGGTTTATTGCTGCTGGGATGTGTGGCTATTCTAAAGAAACCTACTCTAGACTGGCAAACATAAACATCACGGAAACCAGAGAGTGGTTCCACTATAAATCACCAACAAAAAGAAGAGAAATGTCCTTGTGTTTGGGAGAAAAGCTGAAACATGACATGAAACTGTTGGTATGCTGTGGTGAATACTCAAGATATCTCACAGGTATATTTATGGACAATGTGGCTGAACTATCCTGCGCGCTGGGTGTTCGTGAAGAAACTACCTCCTGCCGCTTCATGAAGCTTCTGATCGAACCGGAGCAGCAAGATCTGATCTACAAAATTATCAGAGTGTCTGGAATATGTGCGGATAATTGCCCTCTAGACTAGACGAAGTTTAGAAAATCCAACGAGAAACTTAAACGGCACAAGAGGCAATTTGACACTGCATCAACGATTGACCTTTTCCAAGATAAAATCTGTAAAATTTCATATGAAGACATTTTGCAGCCACTTATTCATGGACCCAAACAGAGGGAAAAGGTTGAAGAATTCTTCACGTGGCTTGTTATTGCACGAGGTCCCCTCTGCTGTCTACTATGACGAATACTATTTGGGGGGGGGGGGGGGGCAACCATATTAAAGCATATTATTAAAATGTAGGATTTTTCCCGATTTTGACCCGGGGATATACTTTAATATACTTTAATATACCTACAATATACTTTAATATATCCCTATCTCCTTGGAAGCCTACATCAAAAATTGTTGCCCAAAATAAGCTTGAAATGCAATTCTTAATCGATTCCAAAAAGTTCTTGAAAAAATATTGAAAAGTGATAGAGTTATTTCAATTTTAATGAAGTCATTTTGGCTAGTATTCCGAACCGAGATATTATGTGCAATTTTCCCAATTTTGTTCATGGAGGTCTTTTTACTTAGTATCCACTATATTCAACAAACACTGAGTTATATCTTTCACATAGAGTTAGTCTCATTAAAAAATATTGAAATTTTATCGAATTTGGGCAAAAGCGAATTTGGGCATATTTTTTTAAGCTCATAGCTCAGCCAATTTTTGACCAATCTGGATGGAAATTCATGTACTAGTCCTAAAACAGGCTTATCTTGCGAATCTGAGTGAAAAATATAGTTCATCATGTAAATCTTAATGAAGAATATAAATCTTCTAATTGTAGGTTACATATTAAAGTATATTAAAATGTAGGATTTTTTCCGATTTTGACCCGGGGATATACTTTAATATACTTTAATATGGTTGCCCCCCCCCCCCCCCCCCCTATTTAGAATTAAAATACGTTATCATAAGGAAATTACCCCCATTTTCTCAGACATTAACAATAAATACAAAAAGGGAACTCACGGGTCCAGTTGACACTTTCTCATCATCCTGCTGTCCGTACTCTTTCAACCAGCGCTCCGTTATGAGCTTCTGCTCGGGTATTTGGGGACAGCGGGTCATCCTCCTGGCGTGAATACCGTATGTGTTGTTGTACCTGGGAGTGGTGAGTCACATGGTGAGTCACGTGGTGAGTCACGTGGTGAGTCACGTGGTGAGTCACGTGGCAGCTAGTTGTAGGGCACCAGAGCAGGCAAGGGACGTGACATAGATTTTTGGATGTGCAAAGTTTAATTTAATTTCAAAAAGGGTAAATTCGCTCTAGTATTCATTATTTCAATTGTATAATACGGTGTTATGAATGTATCACAAATTTTGTTGCGGGTAATAATTTAGCTGTTTCTCTTCTCACACATTGAAATGTCATGCATGAGGTGAATATTATGTGGTTTATCAGCGTAACGTTCTCGAATACACTTTGAAGATGTGTTTAAGTACACTTTGAAGATGTGTTTAAGTACCTAGCCTCAAGAATCCCGTTATATTCTTCGAGCTGGTTCGCGAATCCGGGATTTGGATTGATACAAGAGCGTATCTTTTTAACATACTCTTGGGCGACTGATATGTTCATTGAATACTCCTTCATAATGTATGCGATAACCTGAAATACGTTTTCGTCAGTGTTGATGTACCCAAGTAACAAAGGATGTCACTTAATATATTAAGGAAATTAAATATTATAGAGTAAATCTAAAACTGGGAAAACAGACAAGATAATGTGGTAGGCGTTAATAAAGATAAAATTAAATTAGTACAATGTTAAAGTTATAATACAATATGTTACCGGTCGCGGTGTAAAGTGGAATAATGTTATGTAGTCGGTGTTTCAAATTGAAACTTCTCCAAGTAACAATTAAAGTAACAGCGTATTTAATAATTAATTAACAATTAAGGGGGCCGGGGGGGGGGGTCTTCATCAAAATTCTCTCGAAATTGATTTTATAGTTGTTTCTGATAGAGGGGAGTGATATCTATCAGCTGCTTTTGGTCCCATGGAAAAATATTGTTCCTAGCCAAAATTATCGCCAGTCAAAGGTCAGCGCTTATGTGTAATTGTATTGCGCGAGCGATTTTCAATCGCGCGCCCTGAAAATCGAGTCTAAAAATCTATCTTCTCCTACATTTTTTGAGCAATCACCCTAAAACTTTCAGGATATGTTCTATGGATCATTTAGAAGATATCTGTCGAGCCGAATTTTGAGATAGGCCTTAGAAGATTTTTTATTCAATTTTGAAAATCTTGGACCTCATTTTTTTACGATTTTTCCAGGTCCAAGATTTTCAAAATTGAATAAAAAATCTTCTAAGGCCTATCTCAAAATTCGGCTCGACAGATATCTTCTAAATGATCCCTAGAACATATCCTGAAAGGGGGGGAATGCAACGTCAATTAATATCAATTAATGTCAATTAATGTCAATTAATGTCAATTAATGTCAATGTCAGTTTTGCAAAATTTTGGAATACTGACATTAATTGACACGATATTTTTCGACCAGAGATTATGTAGTTCTACCATATTTTTAGCACTTTAGAACGTTTATATCATCAATTTATTCACTACTATCACATATGGAAATGTGAAATGTGAAAAAATTCAGATCATTAAACAATAAAACTAAAATAATACGGTTTCCCGAAATTTAATTTTCTTAAGGGGGCCGGGGGGGGGTCTTCATCAAAATTCTCTCGAAATCGACTTTATAGTTGTTTCTGATAGAGGGGAGTGATATCTTTCAGCTGCTTTTGGTCCCATGGAAAAATATTGTTCCTAGCCGAAATTATCGCTGGTCAAAGGTCAGCGCTTATGTGTAATTGTATTGCGCGAGCGATTTTCAATTGCGCGTTCTGAAAATCGAGTCTAAAAATCTATCTTCTCCTACATTTTTTGAGCAATCACCCTCAAACTTTCAGGATATGTTCTTAGGATCAGTAAGAAGAGAACTCTAGAGCCAGAATTTTGAGATAGGCCTTTAAAGATTTTTAATTCGATTTTGAAATTCTTGGACCTTAATTTTTAGAGGTCCAAGAATTTCAAAATCGGATTAAAAATCTTTAAAGGCCTATCTCAAAATTCTGGCTCTAGAGTTCTCTTCTTACTGATCCAAAGAACATATCCTGAAAGTTTGAGGGTGATTGCTCAAAAAATGTAGGAGAAGATAGATTTTTAGACTCGATTTTCAGAACGCGCGATTGAAAATCGCTCGCGCAGTACAATTACATATAAGCGCTGACCTTTGACCAGCGATAATTTCGGCTAGGAACAATATTTTTCCATGGGACCAAAAGCAGCTGATAGATATCACTCCCTTCTATCAGAAACAACTATAAAGTCGATTTCGAGAGAATTTTGATGAAGACCCCCCCCCGGCCCCCTTAAATGGGCGTGGCCATCCAAGGGCGTGGTTCTCAACATCATCAGAACTTAAAACCCACATTAAACGAAATGCCTTCATGACATTTATATTTGAATAACGAATCTTAAACAGCTAACATTACTCCTTCATACTAAAAAAGCCGATTCTAGATATTTTACCTGTATAAGAAACCAATAAAATATGGGCGTGGCCGGTGGGGATCGAAGATGGAAGAGTTCGAAGCTGAAATCTTTTTTGGTGGTCTTTGAACCTAAGGATCAACAGATAAGAACATACTCATAATTATTCAAGGACATTTTGTTTTTTTGAACCGGTCTAACTTACATAGACGTGAATATCTTGAATATTTATCGAATAATGATAATCTCAAATTTCATGACATATTTATGTCAATTAATGTCAATTAATGTCAATTAATGTCAATTAATGTCAATTAATGTCAATTAATGTCAATTAATGTCAATTAATGTCAATTAATGTCAATCAATGTCAATGTCAGTTTGGGGTTTTTATGGAATACGGACATTAATTGACGTTGCATTCCCCCCCCTGAAAGTTTCAGGGTGATTGCTCAAAAAATGTAGGAGAAGATAGATTTTTAGACTCGATTTTCAGGGCGCGCGATTGAAAATCGCTCGCGCAATACAATTACACATGAGCGCTGACCTTTGACTGGCGATAATTTTGGCTAGGAACAATATTTTTCCATGGGACCAAAAGCAGCTGATAGATATCACTCCCCTCTATCAGAAACAACTATAAAATCAATTTCGAGAGAATTTTGATGAAGACCCCCCCCCCCCCCCGGCCCCCTTAAAGTAACAGGTTTATTTAATAATTAAAACTCACACAGGAGGCTGATCTGCTGACCCCCATCCGGCAGTGCACGAATACTTTCTTGTTCTGCCTCTTAGCGTCTTTGATGAAGTTGTAGGTGTCGTCCCAATACTGCTGTAAGTAACTAGCTTCCTCGTCCTTTATCCTGGGAGTTATAAGTTTGATGAAAAGGAAAATACTAAAGATATTATAATAAGTAAAAGACAATTTAACCTGCAAGAAGATGCCGGCAAGTGGATATGGTCAAGAGTCTGATTCTAGGAATCACACAAGAAATTATGAGTGGCACACACCTGATAGTTTTATAAACAAATTCATGACTGAAGAAGTTAGCAATCTCCATGGTAACGTTCAGAACATGGGTGACTCCGTACTGCTTGAGCTGTGTCAAGTGACTGGCATTCCATTCGTTACCCAGGTACAGGTAGTCAAATATCTTGCTCGGACTCTCCGTCGATTGGCCGAACACTTTCACAATCTGAGGGCACCCGATACTGAATATCTTTTTAGTGAACGGTGTAAAGTGGATTAAGTTATCTTGACAGGATCTGTGTTCTATGTAACTGAATTAGGTTGTGTCCTAATAAGGTAACATTAGGTTGTGTCCTAATAAGGTATCATTATTCGATATAACATAAGAAATTTATGAATAATATTATGTGGGACTAATATTGTTCTCTTTGATTCTTGAATAATATCAAAGGATCCTCTGAAACCAATATTTTTACACATTGCAATATTTTTAATATTATGGAATTAAAAATCAACTTAAATATAACGCCAAAAAACTTAGGCCTGTAAAGATGAAATACCAATGTATTATATATTATTACTATTTGGGATTCCATTATTGGATTTATCTTAAAGGTTTTCCATTGCATTGGGGCACAAAAGTTATGTTTTTAAAAATATTCATAGGTATCGTTTTTAGTTGTGTCATTTCATTTCCAATGTTACACTTTGTAGGAACTGATATTAACCGAGTTTCTGATTCAGGATGTTACTGAAGATAGTAATGAAACTGTTTTAACACCTCAGTACTGTGTTTTACTACAGCTCAACCTGCTCAGTCTGACTATTTGGGAATTTAAACTCTTGATATTATTACTATAATATACTATTATATTATATAATGATTAAAATAAACCTGCTCATCTATAAAGCGTTTGTAGGGAGTGAGATTAACATTAAAGTCGGACTCCAGCTGTTTACGGATTTCCAGGCAGCTCGCATTATCAAGATCTATCGTCATTATTATCTCTCTCATTCGGAACAGGATCTTCTCCATAATCCTCTTTATCTTATCACTGAAACAGCCAGGTAATTTACAATATAGGAGTTTTTCTTAACGGTTCAGAGAAATTATTCCGCTGACTGCTGAAACATAATCCCCAAATTCCCCACAATGTATACCCTGGCCTTGTATAATATTACAATGAGAATTCTCGTGACTACTTAGTTAAAATAAAATAAATATGTTATAAATTCAGTCATATGTAAATTTTACTTCCGTGTGTACAGTACAGTATACTGTGTAGTGTGTACAAATATACATACACATTACACTGTGTGCAGACAGTATCTTAGCTTACACGTGGGGATGTATACTGTACATTGTACATTGTACATTACATACACTGTATAGTGTAGAGTCACGTAGGTCTTCCTATGATGCACATTAGCACCATGTTCACTAATCACTATCTCCACTTCCACTACCACCATTAGCAAACCACGCATGTACACTACACACACCACGCACACCGGCATACAGTGTATAAGGCATGAACAATGAACATTGCGGGAAACACACACTTGGCAAGGCGAGTGTAAACAGTGGTTTCTGCTTGCAAATACCTTTTCAACGTGGTCGTGTAAACAGTGAACATTGAAATAGTGTAATTTATACCGTTCCAAGATATGTATTCCCACTAAACTTATTTATATATTAAATGTCCCTGAGGGTTTGGTATGGGCTCCAAAGGCTACAAAAGGACCCTTCAATTTGGTCATGTGGTCAGTACCTCTAAAACGTGAGATTAGTGATTATTTCAACATACACCGTCCTCATGATATCCCTTATTTTACCCCTCATACATGTTACACAACAACAAGGGTATAACTTTAACAAAATACAAAGGACCCTAATTTTAAAGATACCTCTAATTTAAATGTACGTTTAACCATTTAAACACGCGTGTTTAATAGACACACATATTTATGACACGTTAAATCTTACATAAGACACCTGCCTCCTCTCTCCCTCTTCTCACCGCCCATATTATTTGTTACCCACTTTTTTGTTTTGTTTTGTTTTGAAACCCCACGGTGGAGGTTGGCGTGTGCCGCAATTTATTAATCAATGGTTATTACATAAATGAAATTATAGAAGTCACACTAAAATATAATAATGTAAAATAAAATATATTAAAATAAATGCCCTACTAAAAGTACTATATAACTAACGGTCTGCAAAACTGGTTGAAGTCGCAATTTGTGAACATGCTAATTACTATTTAATAATAATAGATAAAAAGTTTTGCGCGGCAGATGTAAATTCGGCATTGCATAATGAGATAATGGCAGTGAAATTAAAATGATATGTTGTTGATAAAAGATCATAGTCATTTGTCGCGAGTGATCTTTCTTTACGCGTTGTCGCTTACTAACTCGGTGCTGTAGTCTATTTGCGAGCGCCCTTCTCTTTGAGACTTTCTTAGCCCAGGTATACTATAAAGTAAGAAATTTGGCCAATTTTCATCGTCTCCTGAGCTTTGCAGCTTGAGGAGTTCGCGCTTAGCTGAATTTTTAAAGATTTCAATCGAAAAGGTAGAACTTGGAATAGTTATATCCTTACTTTGTTTTGTAATAGAGAGCATGGGTCCTTTGAAGAAAAGAATATTTCTAAATGTTGGGCCGTTGTAAGTTGTGAACCAAGAAAGGTTATGTTCGTATGTGGAATTATAGGTGGGAATATCGTGAGGGAAAAGTTCTTTGATGGATTTAGGGAGAAGGCTTGGCATGTTCCTTACTTTGTGTAGTAGAATAAGAGCGTTTTTTACAATGACGCTATGGACTGTTAGGATATTATGCAATCTAAACGCACTTTTTGTGTGCTCCGGGGGATTGCCGTCTTTATATCTATAATTTACATATCCTGACATAACAGCTCTAATTCCCTGCTTTTGCTTGGTGAACAGAGATTCAATGTGACATTTTGAGGCAAATCCCCACACTAAAGAGCAGAAATTTAGATGGGATTGGATAAGGCTTTGGAAAATGTTTAGGCGGGCTTTGATAGGTAGAAGGTGCTTTAGCTTATACATAACTCCGAGGTAGCGACCCATCTTTATTCTAACTGCCGTAATGTGTTTTTGCCAAGTGAGCTTTTCGTCTAGGATCACTCCTAAAAATCTTGCTTCAGTCTTACGTTCGATTACAGTGTTGTCAATGGACAAATTAAAGCCGCTGAAGTCGATTCTTTTTCTAGTGAAAATCATGTAACACGTCTTTTTTACATTTAAAGATAGCCCATTAGCACCTACCCAATCTACAAGACGTGAAATTAGCTGATTAGCTTTTAATTGTATTTCTTCTAGGGTGGTTCCACTAATTAATATGTTTGCGTCGTCGGCATAAAGGATGAACTTTGCAAAATCACTAATTCCAGGTAGGTCGTTTATATAAATTACAAATAAGAGAGGTCCTAGAATGCTCCCCTGAGGTACGCCGTAAACTATGGGCATGCTAGAAGAGCAAGTTCCGTTTAAAGTTACGTATTGAGATCGATTACAAAGGTAAGATCTAAACCATTCGTGCGCGACTCCCCTGATCCCATAATGGTCAAGCTTCTTAAGCAAGGTCTCATGATCAAGCACTCAGAGTAGGAAGTAGTAGGAATAAGTAAAGTAGATATGGGGAAAAGATATTCGATTGAGATGATGAAATAAAGGAAGCTGTTTCATACGGCTTCAATACTGACTCTTTAAATCATGTTTAGCGACTTGGTACTCAATACTGGCTCTTTAAAATCATGTTTAGTGACTTGGCTCTCAATACTTACTCTTTAAAATCATGTTTAGCGACTTGGCTCTCGATGAGTGAGTTGTCCTCCCAGTCGTCCTCAGTTTCCAGATAATCAGGTACTTTAGCGGTGTAACATCCTGCCCAGGTGTGGTGGTTCCTGCTGCCCGGGAAGAAGTTGTGTCTCCGGGCGTTCTCTATGTCAGGGTTCAGGTAGGAGTAGGCTACCCTGCGAACATTACACACGTGTCATCATGGTATTATAGAATATAGTAGTAAGAGTATTAATATAGTAGGACTATAATAAACAGATAGTTAATAGTCCTACAGCAGTACAGTACTACAGTATATTATAGTAGTAGGTATAGTTTAGTGGTTCAGAGCACTGAATTGGGTGCTCTGAGTGGGGGGACTTTTTGAATAGTGGTTCTTTCAATTGAAGTTCAATCGCAATTTGATAGTGTTGCCGATTAAAAAGGAAAGGAGACAATTTTAAGAAGCTTTATTTGTCCAAATACTTACCATAAAGCTTGCAAGTTGACAGGCTTGAAAATATACTGGCCATGATTCTGAGCGGATCTGATCTTGATGCCACCATCACCATCCATCTCTATAGACATTCCTTTAGTAACTGGCAGTGCCATGGCGACTGTTATATCTCCTTGACATCCAGAAGGTGACTGAAAGTATGCAATAATATCAATATTATTGAATAACATAGGACGCATCTAGATTCTAGATACAAGTACATTCAATGTACAATTTGTTTGCTTTCACTAAAAAAATAATGTTTGATAGAATATAAATTATAAAATGCTAGTCACGGAACACACCTCTCGATGGTTGGGACAAGCAGTAACGTTCTCCGGCAGATTATTGCCGATGTTGATCCCTAAGATGGCGTGCTCACGTACGTCCTCCCCGTAACCCGGGTCAAGATGAGCACCTACCATGATCACCATGTACCTCTTCTTGCTCTCGGACGACTTCACTGCTCCAGGTACCACCTGAAGAGGTGGTGGTTAAAGGTGTGTACCAGTTGAATCTTGTCTGTGTACATTGTACAAGTTGAGCAAAATCTAACCAGTTAAATATTCATTTTATTCTGATATATCTTCTACTGATCATATATTGACTTTCAGGCCTACTGGTTCACATGCCAGTTACCATTATTAATTAACAGTTTCAAACCAGATAGCTGATATATGAGCTACATAACTGTTTTTGTTTACAGATCTAAACTTTGTGTAAACAAACTAAATAATCCTAACATTCTTGGCATGACCGTTCTGAACACTCCTGACAATTATGTCATTTCACCAGCCATGCTGAACTGACTCTAATCAGCGATAGCCGTTACGGAGTGCATTAAATGTACCGATCATCAGAGTATATTTAGCCCAAATAAGTATTGATAGCTAGCGATTAGTATGAAGTCTATAAATAATCTCTGCTTAGTTGGTGCGAAATGCAAATATCCTTGTATAGTATTTACCGCTATACACCGTCGTGAACTATTTTAATTGCGCTGATCGCATCTCGGAAGACAATTGAACAGAAATTATGTAGGTAGAGCGAAAACAGAATGTTATTGAACATGACTAAAATGACTATAAATGGAAATAAAAGTTGTCTCAAAAAATGATTAAAGCTATAGAAGCTGTATGATGAAAACAGAAAAGTGGGATCAGACTAAGATCCAACAGAAGTGAAAAACATCAGAAAAAAGCAGAAAACTTACCAATTGAATGGAATGTTCAAGGTAAGCTGGTCTCTGAGCGGAGGGATGTGGCATGACTTCATCCAGAATACGTTGAGTAATACACTTGATCAGACCTGCAGTTGAAAATAGTTTAGTTGCAGATTCATCGAGAAGCTTTTACAAACTTTCTGCGGCCCCTCAGCAACACACGTCTGGCTACTATACGAAGCACAGCTTTGATCACAGTGAATTGAATCTGATAGAGCTACAGTGCATAAGACTTTGAACTTCGCTTCTTACATGCGTGGCTCCTGCAGCAATTTAAAGAGATTCTCTACACATTTTAATTGTGATTATTTGTATAATATTTCCTTTAAAGCAGCTGCCTTTTTAAACTAAGTTTGATAGATAAGGAATCATGCCTACTCAATGTGAAACTGTTACTTGGGATCAAATGTGATTTTACAAGAGAAATAAGGGGTTAAGACAGAATCTCATGCCAGAAGCATCTTTCATACAGAAATGGCACGATGTTATCAGTATGTCGGTACTGTCATTGATCTTGACATAAAAATCACTTACGAACAAAAAGCACGCTCATTTACTTACTGACATATGGAGGTAAAACTAGAGAAATAGCAATGGTTAGTGAAAAATTAGACTTTTAAAAAGTTTATTATGAAGCAGTCGGAATATTTTGTATTTTTAAAATAAGTTCAACAAGTTTTAACTTACTCTTTTCCTGGTCCGATAAACTTTGAACTAGTCCAGGGATGTTCCTAGCAAAACTTTTGGCGGTGAGTATGCTCTCGACACTATGGCTGAAACAGTTTTTGATCAGGTTAGGATACATTTCAAACTCAGAATCAGTACCGATTAGAGTAATCACTAACCAAATTAAAATTAGGGTATCGCTATAGCTTTGGCCTATGTATTATGTTGCATCATATCGAACTGTTTCAAAAAAGCGCTCCTTTGTGCGCGCGCGTCCAGAACTGTTGCAGTGGCTGCTGAAAAATTGAAGTTTGCACTGCGCTATTGTAAGAAAACCAGCAAGCATGTCCGAATTTCAATCCCCGCTTTCGATGATTTCACAAACAATAACAATGAGCAATTCCTCCAATCCCTGAAACCAATAAAATGTGGGTAAACCGTAAAATAATGGTCGGAATATTCGCGATAAAAGTTAACGAACATTAACAATGCCGAGTTAAAGTTTGATATTCGACGGTCGGAATATTGGATACTTATTGGGTACGCTGCAATGACAGTTTCTTTATTGCAAGACAATTAGCAACGACTACCAACACTTACTGCAGACATTTATTGTGGCATAAAGGAAATTTTGTTAAATATCAGCTGTGAAGTTTTGTTTGTGCTCTGAAGTAGACACGTGACACAGCATCATCTGCTGAACTTGAACTTTAAGTAAGAAAATCAAGATTCACTCGTGTTAACAGCACTAAACTGTTAAACTAACATTTATCAGTCGATATTAATCCGATTAAACATTTTACAGACTTCCCTCAGGCTCCTGTCTGCTCCGTGAACACCTTCTTTTAGAAGGGTTTATATTCTCTTCAACATATGCCAGACTTTTTAGAGAGGTTTCGATGATAAGAATACTTCTAAATGTTGAACAAATCATAATCCAAAAGTGATGTGTGAGCACTTAGCAGCCTAACTTAATAAATTGTTAACCTCATCTCCCAAAGATGTTGCCCTGCCCCCAATGTAGTGGTACGCTCGTTAAGCCATTGTGTGTATAGTGTATGTAACTAGAGCTGTCTTACCAAGTCCACCAGAGAAGTTTACAGTTACAATAAGAACAACCTCCCCGCCTGTCATTCAACTGTTATTGGATATAAGTCGGAAGAATAATCGCACTTCACTTCTCGTACCACAACACTGCCATCTAACGATCTATCCTACACCTTGAAAGCATGATAATATGTTCATCAGAGATATGTAAAATATAGTCAAAGTTTTAAGTTGCGCCCTATTCTCAAACATGAAGAATGCGAATACGTCTTCGATAGGAATCTGGTTACCTAACTCGAAATATTTTAAACAGTTTAATTTTTCTTCAAAGAGTTGTAAAGCCATACAACTTGAATTAATATGCGATAAATCGTATGCGATACTAGAGTGGTTAAGTGTTAACTTACTCTGTGAAGGCGATTAGAAAAAGGGCTCCAGAAATTGTTCCGAAATGCGTAGGAGGGTTTAATTTACTGCAAATACTCGGATTAATATTAAACATCTTGACTTAAATGAAGCTCACTGTACTTGTGAAGTGTGTCCCACAATAGTATAAGTTCACAGTGCCCTAAAAGCTAAACCGAGCCTCTGGTCACGTACAGGCTACATCTTGTAATCTGATCCCATAAAATGTGAGTAACATATGGTGCAAATCCCTTCATCAGCTCAAAACGGATATTGTACCTACAGATTTTTGGGGTACACACGACACCGTACGGCACCTCTCACACGACAGCATACGGCACCTCTCACACGGCACGTGGGTCTCACACGGGCGACACGCCACCACGAAAACGATAAACGACACCTCATCAACACGTCTAAAATTAAACCCCAGCTACAAGCGTGATTAATAAGGAAGTGAGCAGAACTCATTAATAATTTGGGAATATCATATGCAGGGACAAAAGGATTTCGCGGCATGTACGAAATCGCGAAATTTCCCATTCTCCGCGACAAATTTTATGTATAGTTTAATGTATAGCCTGTTAAATTTCGCGGTACCGCGAAATTTGGCCAAAATAATCGCGAAATCCTTTTGTCCCTGATCATATGGGCTCATTAAATATGAGAGTTTACTAGTTTTAACTTTATGCTTAAAACCTCACAAACATTAGATAAAAAGAGAGCGTGAAATTTGAGAACTTCCTACATTGAGGTCATATTATATGCCTATTTCAATAATTTGAGCCGTTATCGGATAAGACCCGAGACCCTGTGCGTATGTAAACATTTCAACCAGTGAGGTTTAGAAAACATTTATAATTCACGAGTAACACTCTATATTATCCAGTATTACAATAAATATAATAATCAGTACCACTTTTGCCATTTATATTTGTAGTTAATAGGTTAGAGGATAATACCTAGTCGTAATTTATCATTTGAGTTGTCAATGCCAATAATTGTCACTCACAAAGCTACTCCAGTGCAAGTATCGATAAATCATGAAGGTGTTACATTGTAATTTTGTAATTTCCCCAATAGAACGAAGTTACCTAGGACCTTCAGAGTTACTACATCCAGAACTTACGTCCGAATGAAAATGACCTAACAAAATTTAGAAGACCAAAGACATAGAGTTTCAAGTATTAACCAGGCGACGGGTGGTAGCCGATCAAACCATAAGAGTGAGTCAGCCTAAGTTGTAACTAGTGCTGATTCTTTAATTACAATGGTTATATACACAAGTACACATGATTCCCCTGTACATTAAACCAGTGCGAAGTTTACGTGCCGGCACAGTGCTCCAGTTTAATAGTTTCACGCTGTACCAGATTTAGGGAGTTATAGAACTTCTATAGTAGTAGCCAGTAGCCAGTAGGGGGTGGTGTAGTGATGTACGCGTTCGGAGTAGCACTCTGGCTGCAGCAGGTGTGCGAAAATAGATGGACATTAGGTTTGCTCGGTACAGATAAGATTTAGGCTGACATGAGAACGAATAAATCACGTACGATACCCTAGTCTTGTGACAGCCCCTACCAACATTAAGGTAACATTTAGGTATACTTCTAGGTCTGACTTCTCTGAATGGAAGTTTGGTGTTCAATACGAAGAGTCCAGATTTTATAGTTTAGTGTAGAGAGAATTGAGACAAGTGGTTGCTTATTTATATTTAGAGCAATCCAGTTTTCAGATTTCAGCCAAACTTTCGACCAGTGGTTTTGTACCGATGAACCCATATCCGGGTGTACATCAGTACTGAGTACATGTCTCCATTAGGGGGAATAAAATAAGCGAACATAAGAGCAGTGCGTAATTGACTTCCCCAGGCTAATCTACCGTTACCCACGTTAACGCACTCAGATAGTGCCGGGAGAGGCCTGGTGATAATTTCCTTAAAGTGACAGTTTCTGTCACTGTAGAGTGAACTTTGAGCAAATCGGCATTGGGCCTTATCGTTCGGACCTAGTACTATTTGTTGAAATGTAAGAGAAATATGGTGAACATTTCCACCAATTGGAAAACAAGTTAACATTTTAATACTGTCGCCATCAACCATATTACACCACCATGAGCTGAGCGAATTCGTAGAAATTTAACAATATAATGAATATTAACTTCTTCATAATCCATATTACTTGACTGCCTCTTGTTTTGACCTCAAAAGGAGTAAAGGAGTGTAACTCTGAAACTACTTCTAAAGACTCAGCTTTCAAATAAATATTAGAAACAAACCTGCGTGCTCGGCTGGAAGCAGACATGACATCCTCCATATCATTAGAGGTATCACTTAACTCTGTGTCAAGAGTGTGACTCTCTACTCCATCCACAATTAAACTACTGACATCTTCTCCTTCTCCTCTGTCTTCAGTACCAATCACCTCGGATTGTACAATATCATCTGCTGTCTTCACTTGAGGTTCTACATTTTCAGTCATTTCACGAGCACCTCAAGAACTTTCATTTCTTGAGCTCCCACACAAAGGTTACATTTATTTGCTGTAAAGAAAGAGACTTTGGTTAGATTCAAGTCTCACGGTGAGATCGTCATTACATTTTTAAATGGATAACCATTACGGTAAATGAGAAGACGTCATTTCTTTGTACAATTATATAGCCAAGCATCGAATTTGATGATGCAAAATGAGACAATGTAAAGAAACATTGTTCAATGAGGTAGCCCATCGGTTGCAAAATTACGTAATCTCGGCAAATATTTCATCACGCTCAATTAATGCGGGATGGAGCAGTCCTGGTTACCAAGATTACAAACATTAAGTAAGAAAAGATTATATAGAAAAATCTGAGTAGATCCTAGACATAAAACAACGAGAGAATTATAACATCACGTAATTTTCAAATTGATGCAGACTCAAGCAGGTATGTAATTGATACAAGTATGTGAACTGCTTAGGTGATATAATGGAATGAGCATTCCAATATACCAACACAAACACTGAGATAAATTAAAGCTATAATGTGAAGGTTCAGCTATTTAAAAAACAGAGCGTTGTTTTCTATCCGTATTGTCTGGAATCTGGATGGAATGACATAATTACGATATCATGGCTCTAATTTTGTGGCTATGTATATTCAGTACCAAATTTCACGATTCATGGTTTCTGAATGAGCTGCTATAAAAACACCCTGTTCACATTGAGTAATAATTTTAGTTCTTACACTGAGTATTGTTTCAGAGGTCAAATTATATTGTGAGCTGTGACTCAAAGGACAATTTGATATTGTACACTAACCTAACACATAACAGCTACAGACAGTGGAATGTACAGCTTAGTTTGATTTGTGTTTGGTAGTGAAACTTTCAGATATGCGGTATGCCTTATCTTCTCTAAGTCTTCAGAATTGAATAATGACAATAAAATATGATCATAAATGAAGCACAACTAATGAATGTCGAATGTCGTGCTATGTATTACGAGACATGGATTTTTTAAACTTAAAAAACCCTAATACTAAATATTAGTTTAAAGTCGAAAAGAGATCTTGTTAAATGTAGCAAGCTAAGCAATCAATTATATCTGGGAAAATTAGAGGGAAAAATACATCAGATTTTCCAGTGAGTTCAGTGGGAGCAGTCCAGAAAAGATTCCTTAACAAACTTGTAAATATTTTGACAACCAGACAGATTCCAGAGTTTTGAAAAAGATAAGAAATGGAAGGGAAGATGATGCCCTCATTGGAATTCTTTTTTTAAGTGTCAAGATGACAGCAAAAGTATGGCACAACAAGCAGCTCATGCCAAATAATACATATTAGTATAAGGAATTAATGGCACTTCAAAGAATATAGAGCTATTGAAATATAACGAAAGACGTGTCATTAAGCAGTAAGCAACAGTCTGATGAGGATTGTGGCTCGGCCTCAACAATCCTCGTCAGACGAACCAGCAGATCTAAAGGTCCATGTTCTGAATTTGAAACACGATACAATTCCTGAGCATGCCACAGTAAGGACCATATGCTTTGAGATGTTTTGTCGGGAGTGTGTCCATTCTCTAGGGGGCATTAGAAGCTTCAAATTCTCTAGTTAAATCACAGAGAGATCCCGATAAAAACAGGCGAGAAGGCAGCAAAATGTACATATTATGAAAGTTACACTGATGACTGATCACCCCCTTTTTGTTCACAGCCCATTTAAAGTTATCAAAACTGAATAGCACACACAAAGCATTAAACTCCTAGCAAACAAAAACGCGCCAAAATATATGTGAAACTGCTTAACACCATGATCGCAAGCTCAACAACAATAAACAGTAGTGCATCATGAATGAATTAACTGAGATGAGCGCTCGACTTTAGATTTATAATAATTGTGCAGCATTTGCGCGGCGTTTTTACACACGTTGTACACCTCTTTTCGCGCGCGAAGCTCGCAGCGGCCCCTGTACTGGCCGGCCGCAAGATATTTCTAAGATGGGATTCTAAGATAAAAGATATCTTATATAATATAAGTACAACGTGTAGCAAGCGGTGTACCTTAATTTTTTAATGCGTGTGCACCTTAATTCTTCAAATTGCACAAATTTCAGTACATTTTATAAAAACTTTTTACCATATAATAGACTTTTCATACGTTGTATGACCCGCTGCGCGTACGAGTGCGTGGCTCCCCCTGTATCGTAGAAACTCTACTATACAGACAGCTAGTGGGGGTCACCACGTGATACAATAATAAACGGGTTGCTCTATCCAGAGCCCTTGCGCTTGCAGCAGTGGCGCGAAAGCACATGGTTAGGTAAAATAGACGGGTAATTCATAATATAATAGTCGTGAAATATTTAACCAAGAAAATTGTGACAAAGTGAATTATGGCTTTTGTCAAAGTTTGACGGATTATAACGTGCTATATATTACTGGGCATATGGGCCGCGCTCAGCCTGTCATTCCGCGCTCAGCCTAGAGCTTACCTGGGGACCCCAGGCTATTATGTTCATTAACATAATAGAGATTAGGCGGAATGACAGGCTGAGCGCGGCCCAGTAAAGCTTAGCCTGTCATTCAGCCTGAGGTCCCCAGCTAACATATCACCAATCACGTGATCGATACAGTTTTTTGCCGATATCTCGCTATCCCTACTATATAAGGGGAGCATTTTAACTTTACGTCATGTGGAGTGTTATGTGGTGATTCGGAATCGATCAGCGTTGAAATTAACGGGTGATATTCGTAAAATATTTGTTCCATATATACCGTCGACGAGTCCAACTCGGCGTGCGGGTAGTTTGTAAACCTACAACGTTGAAAATACATCGAATGAGGGATATTTATATTTCAACTGTCCATGTCAAGGGCCCTTTTAGAAAAATCTCGAAGATCGACTGTAGACTAGTGATTTAGCACGCTCGCCAGTTACTTTGACGGATGTTACTCGTCTAAATTTCTTCGAAGTAGCGCGCGCCGCTTTCTTCTCGAAATGTTGGCAAGTGCTACGAAGTAGCGCGCGCCGGGCCAAATCATTAACAATGGTTTAACGGGTGATATAGATACTCGTAAAATATCTGTTCCATATATACCGTCGTTTCATATATTGTATATACCGTCGTTCCATATATACCGTCGACGAGTCCAACCCGGCGCGCGTCCTGGTAGGTTTAGCTGCTAATCTGTACGTTTTGAATTTACATGAGCTTTGATGAGGGGAGAGACAAAATCCTAATCTTAAAGTTAATATCTCTCAACAATCCAGGGTATGGTTTAAATATCAGTCTTAACTTGACACACGCTGCAACCCCTTTTGATCGCGTGCACGAGAGGTATACAACGTGTAGCAAGTCTTAACTGGGTAGTTTGCAGGTGCATTGTTTTTGGTGAACAGATTTTGACAAAGATAATTTCAGTATTTTAACAGCGGAGTAACAAAGCTGACAACTTTGAAAAGACAGCTTTCTCAAAAGCTGCAAACCACCATGCGGTGAACTATTGAAACTAGGGACACTGATAGTGATATAATATGTTTGAGCAGTTATAGACCGGACAATTGGTATATTTTGTTGACCATTGTTAATGATCTGGCCCGGCGCGCGCTACTTCGTATCACTTGCCATTTCGAGAAGAAAGCGGCGCGCGCTACTTCGAAGAAATTTAGACGAGTAACATCCGTCAATATATTTTTAAAGCAAAAGCATACTCTGATAATTATACCCGTTGGCGTTAATGGTTAATTTCAAACATAATTTTTTTCGCTCGTATAAATACAAAATGTTTGTTTCTTTTCCTGCAATAAATTGTTTTTCTCTGGGTAAATAATTTTGTGTATGCTTAAATGATTATTTAAGCATACACCAAATTGTTTAGTCAATATTTAGTTTTAGTTACAGTTTGCACGTAAATTAAAATTTGCATTATAAATTGTTTCAGTTTATTTCGTGGTTCGTATAGATTCTCACAGTACATTTTAGTTTGGGTTGTAGGTAAAGTTTATAACGCTAGAAGTTGGAAGTAGTATTAAGCTTTTGATGGACTTTTGATATAATATTTTGTTAATTGAAAAAAATGAAATGCGTTATGGCAAAAGATTTCATGCGTAACTGAGATAATGCTATATTGTTAGTTTATTACCTTTTGCCCGCTCGAGGCTCCCCAAATATCGCATTCGTTACTTTGACCAACCACCAAATAATAACTATAAGCTGTAAGATAGCACTTTTCGGTCAGTGATCCCAATCAACAATAAAAGTAGCCCTCATATATATAATAATCGGGCCATAGTTTCAGCCCAATATTGCAGTGTATAAGACATGTACCGTTAGGAAGGTTAAAGCAGTTTGTAGCTGTCATATCAGTATTTGAAGCGAACAGACTGTATTCTCTGAATATTATAGTGACCTGCTATTTACCGGGATTGCTATGCGCTAGCAGTATAGCACTCTTGATATGAAGGACAGAATTATCTTTTATGCCAAGGATTTAGTACAGTTTAAAGTGCGTCCAGCACTAGCAGACTGGGTGATCGCTTTTGTACTGGCCAACTGTTCCACCACTTCAATTATTTAAGGTACCAAGTTGCTTGGTAAACAGTTAAGCATCTCTAAACCGTCGTGAACAGTGAGTACCATGTTAATGAGCATACTAGTTTATAATTATACTGTTTTAATGAGGACATACCATTAGTTTATCATATTAAGATTTGTTCCTCGTCAAAATTCCAATGTCATGACCCAAAACTAGCCAATGTCTTACTCTTACTACATCATAATTTGTGTTAGTGGTTAGATTTAAGCAGGTCGCCCTGCCCTCTACCCTCTGCCAAAACCGGCCAGTTTGCCTCAACTTTTGAGCAAAAATATCTCAACTCGTTGAAGTTTTCATGTTTTCCTTTGCAGAAGGCAAAAATATCGTAGGGAATAAGTATAGTAATTGGGTTTAAATATATAAGGTGGGCAAACGGGCTCTTACTATTTCGCTCGCCCAAAAATTTCGGCTCTTACTAATTCGCTCGCCCAAAAATTTCACGTGACTTTGGTTTTTATGGTTTTGCAGCCGTACAAAACGGTTTTTACATAAAC